GTGTCAACATCGTGGTCCGAGAAATGTCACGATATCGTGATTTATCGAGCCGTCGATATCTGCTTCAGAGCTCTAGAGTCGATGAAAAGGACTCGAACCGAACGTGTGACCACACAAATAGGTTCCTCGTTCGGAGAGCAATCCATTGGTGGGGTCACACGTTCGGTTTGAGGCCCATTTAGCGACTCTGGAGCTCAAAACGCGTCCGGGACTTTGCACACCTCCACCGGTCTTCTGGCCCACTGTGAGTCTGTGCCCTTCTTCAGGCTGCTTCCGGCGCTCGCCGTGGCTCTGGCCATCCAGATGCAGTGGATGCGCTACGTGGGCTCGGGGCCGATCTGGGGCCAAACAGCGGACACTGTGATGCGGGACTGCCAGCAGTACTGGTGGACGCACTTCCTCTTCATCAACAACTACGTCGGCCAGGGGTCCACTGTGAGTCTTGGACTGTTGCCGCCCGGGTAATGTTGTCACAGAAAAACAAAATTCTCTCGATGCACCAGTGTCCAAATGATTGCCAACCTCAGCCACACGCTTAAAACCTGACACAGTATACTGAGCATACATAAGACAAACTAATTTACTTCCTTACAAAGAGATTGTACTGGCAAAACAAAAGCATAAAAATTAAGCCCTTTAGGGCATAAATACTCTTTCACGCCCTTTAAGGGCGTAAATCGTTATGCCCTTGGGAAGGGCGTGAATGATATAGGCATTTTAAGCAAAATTTTAATGCCCTTCCAAAAGGCATAAACGATTTACGCCGCTTCAAGGGCGTAAATTGCGCCCGCCCTTAAAGGGCATAATTTTAATGCCTTCGTTTCACCAGTGTGTTCTTAAATTACGAATTATTCTCTTTTTAAGCTTATGTATGCTCAAAATGCTTTGTAATAACAAGCTGCTTTTCTTTGTAAGACCTAAAATAGTTTGCAAGGTTTTCTCATTGCAGCATGCTCCCTTATAGTCATACGAAGAAAACCCAAAGAACCCGGGCAAACACATAATAGAGACAATTGGCCTTTAAAATATTAAGCTTTGTATCCGTATCTGGCAAAGGAAAGCCGAAATATAATTCGTAATGTTAATCCACTTGGTTCGTGTTATGTTCGCATCGGTTTCAGGCCAGTGCCGCAATGGCGTTGATTCACTAGCACACTGAGAGAAAAGTTTTGTTGCCAGAATCGAACGTTCGGTAGCCACGACTAAACCTGTTTGGTAACTTTTGAAGTAATCAAACAGTTCGGTTCCCAGTACCGAAGTTGTTTTTTGATGCTGCTTGATGCTCATTAACAAACCAGAATGGGCCTCCGATGACCCTAGTTAGTAGCTGGGTAAAAAACAAGTTTATTTCTGACTACCGAACAATGTTTGATCGGTTGATCGACTGTATTGATCATTTTAACAGCGTCGGTCAAAATTGTCTCTGCCCGCGGATCCGTCTTTCCCGCCGGTATTCAATACCCACAGTCCATTCCCTCGCCATTCAAATGATTGTGCGCGGGAAAACTGGTTACGCATCGCCGGGAGTCGAACCCCCGCCGAACCCGTCTCACTATCCAGCCTCCAGGCACGGAACCAACTGAGCCACCGTGACAACTGTGGAGAGTGGGGATGTCGTAGCCTCTAGACTGACAGCCCGACAGCAGTGACGTCATTCGTCATGTTGCCAAATTCATCATAAGTTCTGTCGAGTGTTGTGTTATTCTATCGATACACCAACCTAAGTCCAAAATAGTTTAGTAGCCACGACTGAACTGGCGGCAATCGAACCACTTTCGTAGTGTACATCATTTTGATTTTGATTGGATGGATCAAAGTTGTTCGTTTGTGCAGACAAAACACGATTTTTATCGGATACAAAAGTGGTTAGTGTTCACGACGAAACTCTTTCTACCTGGTTACCAAAACGTTTATTACCTGCGACAAAGCCTTATCAATCGAACAAAGTTCAGTACCGGCAGCAAAACATTTTTCTCAGTGCACATACTTAGAGGATTGACTTATCTCGGTAGGCCGGGTTCATGCGCCCCCAAGGGGAAATAACTCTGGTCACATTTTGTACACCAAAATTAATCAAAAATGTGAAATTTGTTGATATTTCTCAAAATTTGTCGAAATTCTTCCAAACATTCAACTGAAAACTTGTTCCGTAGACAAAATAGGGTGTTGCTGGAGCGCTCATATGCCCTCCTTGTCCTGCTGCAGTGCATGGCGCAGACCTGGTTCCCCGCCGCGCTCCTGCAGATGTTCCTGTTGACGCCGCCGCTCATGTGGCTGGTGAGCCGGTGGACGCAGCGCGCGCTGTGGCCGGGCTGCCTGCTGCTGGGGCTGCTGCTGGCCGCCAGCGCCGTCGTGCTCTACGCCACCACCGTGCACCTGGGGCTGCCGCCCACCTTGCTCGTGTTCCCGCGGTGAGTGCCGCACAGTGGGTCAGAAGACCGGCGGAGGCGGCTAAGATTCAAAACGCGTTTTGAGCTCCAGAGTCGCTAAATGGGGCTCGAACGGACCGGGTGATTCCGTACGTAGGGGCCGTTTTAGCCACCTTAGAAAGTCACATAATCAATCTTGCTTGTTCGGCCTGAATTTTGCCTAGATGGCGTCAATAGGACACCAGGACGACACTCTGAGCGTGGGCGAGCTACAAGTTGACTTTCGTTTTCTCCCCCTATAAAATATGACGAAATTTACTGAAAATATGACGGAAATTACGCTCGACGGAAATTACAAACAGATGTTTCTAGCTCACTACAAATGCCCATCGCCTCAGAAATATGCTTTAAGTTTGGCACACTAGTCCGACGTCAAGACACGCCCTTTCACGTGTAGGATGACTTTCTTAACCCAATAGGAGAGGGGTGAGAGGGGCATACGGAAATTACATCAATTGTTACAACCCACCGTTTTCACACACAACTTCCACTCGCACACACAGCCCCCTTACTTTTTCGCCACCGGGATTCGTTCATAGGGTAAACAGACCGTGCTGATTCTAAATACGGCGGTGGTTTTCAGCAGGGAGCACTCCTAGTAGTTTTTATGGTGGTAACTTTGAAACTACTAAGTCAAAAGTCGGAGTACGGTGGACATTTTGTACGCGTTCTGAAAGGACACTTCCAATCATTATACGATCTTAAAATTCAAGCAAGATAGTCACTACACGTTAGAGATTTGATGGGTGTGTGTGAAATTCGAAGATTAGAATGGAACAAATGGTTACAGAGCCGCAAAGTTGGTGCAAGGTGCGAATGGACATGACGGAACTTACAAAATCGACCCTTTTGGCCCCTCTCCCGCGTCACATGTTGGCTTTGAAAGTCCATATACAAAGGGAACAAGCTAGTCTGGTGCCAAAAAAGATTCTTAAGGGGGGACCCTGGTGAAACTTTCAAGTAGGCTTCAAAATAATCCCAGAAAGTTGAAACTTTGCTTAATTATGAGGTTCATTATGGTGAGTTCCCAAAACAAAATTCAACCCAAAATGTTGAACGGTCTCTGAGAAAAGTGGCTTTTTAGTGTTTTTTGGAGCGTTGGGGAAAAATCTTCCTGCGTCTTTCATTGGAACGGAAAGTCTTGAAATTTTTTTTGGGTTATCCTAAAGATGTATAGAAGAGATTTTAGTGACGGAATTTTCAAATTCAACTTCTGTCCTGAGATATGAGTTTTCAAATTTCAACATGAATAAAAAAGTGATTTTTTTCCCTTTTTTCAAACTTTTAGGTGTGTTTAAAAAAAAGTAGGGCTGATATCAAGATTCCGTCACTAAAATTTGTCGACAAGTCATCAATGAATAGAGTCCATGCAAGACGACTCATGTAGGTGTCAACCAGGAACGCAGGAAGTCTTTCTACGACAAATTTTTTTGTCGACTGAGCAAAGCTGTGAAGTTGAGCGTAGAAGCCAACGACAACTGATCTCAATGTTATTTCCTTCCAAATGATAAAGAAACTACCCACTTAGCTTAAAGGTTGAACACCTGTTGAATTTGAAACCTTCTATGCACATTTTTATCTATGAACTTTGAAAATTCTATTTTTTGGAATTTTGGCGATTTTTTCACCAGGGTCCCCCCTTAAGTGCATAAATGGGCTGCACTCGAATAAATTTGCCCTGGGGAGGGTGTGGACACGAAAACGCCCTCTACGCGCGGAATCACCCGACCGTGTGACCCCACCAATGGATTGCTCTCCGAACGAGGAATCCATTGCTGGGGTCACACGTTCGGTTCGAGTACCATTAAGCGACTCCGGAGCTCAAAACGCGTCTTTTTGGCCGCCTCCACCGGGCTTCTGGTCCACTGTGGGCCGGCACTATGACGACGACAAATTCATGAAGCCAATGTCCGTTCCCGTTCGATCAGGATGCTGCCGCGACAGGGCTTCCTGCAGGACCCCACGTTCGTCTACCAGTACGTGCGCGCGCACACCAACGCCGTGCCCTACGTGGTGGGCCTGCTCGCGGGCACACTGTTCTACCTGGCCGACCGAAACAAGTGGCAACCCTCCAAGGTGGGTCTTACGCGATGGCCAGTGGCTCTTCGTGGAAACCCTTGCACTCTTAATACCTTACAAAGTATTTTGAGCATACATAAGGCAAACTAAAATACTTTGTTATACGAAGAAATAGTTTGTAAATTACGAAGTATTTTCTTTGTAAGCTTATGTATGATCAAAATACTTTGTTACAAAGTTCTTTTCTTCGTGAGGCCTAAAATACTTTGTAAGGTTTTCTCAGTGTGGAAACGAATAAAGCAAATCTCTCTCTCCCCCTTTATACTCTGTCTCACTCTTTCCTTGTCTCTCTCTTTGATCTCTCTCATTAATTCTCTCTCTCTCTCTCTCCTCTCTCTCTCTCTCTCTCTCTCTCTCTCTCTCTCTCTCTCTCTTTGCAGCGGGTGGCGACCTGGCTGCGGCTGGGGATGCCCTTCGGCCTGCTGCTCCTGGGCGCCACCTTCCTCTCCGCGTTCCCCTTCGTGCGGCCCTCGTTCGAGGCCCGGCCGCTGCTGGACGCGGCCTACGGCCCCGCGCGGCTGCTGGGGTTCTCGCTGCCCGCCGCCTGGATCATCTTCGCCTGCGCCATGGGCTATGGAGGCGAGTCAGAGCGACAGTTAATGTGAAATGGCAGACTTGTCCGACTTGTGCGACAACACTGTTACACTCTAAGACCTACACTGTAAGAATAAACCGCAACAAAGGTACACAAATTTCTGGCAAATTTTTTATCAGGAATTTATTGTACTTTCAAAGTACAACTGTACAAAGTACAATGGAGCCGGCATGACGAGTCCTGGCGCACTGGTAAAACTAAAGCGTAACTCTTTGCTTGAGTCAAGCATAAAGTTACGCTTGAAGACGTTACGCTTGAAATGAAGCATACTCTGGAAATTCCCCCAAACATTTAGATAGGGATAATCTTGGCCGATGAGCTTGTTACGCTTGATTTCAAGCGTAAACAGATTACGCTTGAAAACAGAGGGTAACACTACGCTTTAGTTTTACCAGTGCGTCGTTGTGGTTTGGGAACATTCACAAATTACGTAAGGGCGATTTGGGGCGTTTTTGACCCCCCTGCACCCCCATGTAAGGCCAAGTAAGGTTTTCAAGTCCCCCCCACCCCCCATTTACGTAAGGTTTTCGCCAAAAAAATCCCCATACAAACCTCAAAACGGTTTTTCTCTGTTTTTTACGTGCTTTCCCAGCTTTAAATCCCATATGGATATTTGGTCTGGAATATTTCCATTCTGGTTTTTGATATCCATATGGTTTTATAATCCATATGTAAATTGGAACATTTTTCCACTCTGGTTTTTCATATTCCATTCTGGAAAAAATGTCCTTAATGGAAATGGAAAATCCATTCTGGAAACAATGAGATCCAAAGTGGCGTATGAGTGGTGCATAGTGGTTATAGTTTCGTCCAAAATCTTCAGCTTTGATAGCCGACCTGATCGTCTGTGCAGGGGCTAGCACCCAGAGGGCGAAAGAGCCAAGCCCTACAATGAGTGATGTGCGACTAGCAATTCACTTCGCACAAGCCGGGGAAGAGAGTCCGCTTACCTAACTAAATCGCGACCCGTAGCGACAAGCGAGAGCAACCCAAGATTTTAAATAGCTAAGGCTATAATTATCATACAGAGGTCAAACATACGTAGGTACGTGAGTCTCAAGTAGACCTTGCAGTTTCCCTCTTCTTCGAAGTGTTGAAACATTTTCTTCCGGCTTGGGGAGCTGTTTTAACTGCTTGACTAGAAAAAGCGACACTAGCGCCACCTTGCGGACGAAGCTCACAAAATCCACTCTGGAAATTTGAAAATCCATTATGGATTTGGTCCTTTGAAACACCACTCTGGTATTTCATAATTCCATAGTGGATTATTATTTCCATTCTGGATTTGACAATTCCATATGGAAATTAAATTTCCATCTGGAATCATAATTTCCAGATCAAATCCCAGTGTGGAATCTCTCTTTTCCATCTGGATATTTCTAAATCCATATGGATAAGAATATTCCAGATGGAAACTGGGAAATCCAGAGTAAAATCCAGATGGAATTTAAAGCTGGGTTGTGCATTAGACGAGATAAGTCAGCGGTTTTAGAGGCAGAAATCAATCAGATTTCTGATTTAAGATGGCGCTGCTTTTATTGCAAAAGCATAGGTTCATAACTAAAAATCAATAAAAGGGCATTTGGCCACAATAAAATCAACGCAAACATGGCATAACAAAAGAAATTCCCACTTTTAACCCATTTCAGCGCGTTTCTGAAACCTTACTTAAGGCTTGCTTTAGACCCCCCCACACCCCCACATAAGACCCTAGTAACGATTGGCCGACCCCCCCCCCACCCCCTCGAGGCCCTTACGTAATTTGTGAATGTTCCCTTTGTACAATTCTCGTTGTACTTTATAAAATCCCTGTTGTACTTTTACTGTGCAGTTTTTTTTTTGTACTTTTGCTGTATTATTCACACTTTTTCTTGCTGTGTATGTCGACTTTTTTCTCTCTTGCTTATAGCGTTTTTTGAGCAAACGAAAAATGTACTATTTTCCCCAAGGGGGAAATCACTCATGAAAATGGTCGACCGACTATTACATTTTGAGTCATTACAGACAATTACACCTATTACGCAAATTACAGATATTACATCGATATTTCTGCTATTACAGTACCATTACAGTGCAATTACAGTAATTACAGCAACTAATCATTACGCCCATTTCGAACCTATTACGCAATTACACAGGTATTACCTATCAGTTACAGCTTAAACGGCCTTGGAAATAGGTTTTAGCCTCCAGAGGGACTATTTCGTTCCGTGGGCACGGGGTATCGCTAGGTAGTTCAAGTAAAGCAGTGGCAGCTCAGTTGGTCGCGGTTGTTAGCTGTCTCGGGGGATCTCTCATTGCCCCCCCCCCACCCAATACCTTTTATACCACTTGTAAAAGAAATCGACCGCCGCGGCCGGCCGGCGCTACCCCGCGCCCAGGTAGCTGCTGGAAGTAGCCGTCTGGGCGCGCGGAGTAGCGCCGGGCCGGGCTGGTCGGATTCTTTTGGAAGTGGTTGTACTATCTTTTTAAACAGATACGGCTCTCAACTACCCCTCCTGATAAAATTCAGCCCATGCATTAATCATTTTCCATGAAAAAATTGGGAATTGGAATCTTGGCCGAAATATCATATGACAAGAGTGTCTTTTGGCCCCTGGAACCTTTGTCTTTCCAATCACCCTCACGGCCTGGCCCGCTCACGGCCCTGGCCTGCCCCCACTAGAGACCCGCCCTCCCCCCCTCCCCCACCCCACATGCCACTTTCGGCTCGCTTTCGGCTCGATCCGGATGTTGGGCATTACTTTTATTGCAGCTAAATGAATTTTTCGCTGACTTTCACGGATTTTTTTAGTCATTTTCTGTATTTTTCTTCCCACGTATTACACCTATTACACACCTATTGCACCAATATTACACCCATTACATAGGTATTACACATTACAGGGCCATTACAGGGCTATTACAGACCCTTCGACCGACCATTACACAAGTGATTTCCCCCTCCCTTTGACTACGCACAATTTAGATCGATATAAAGATGAAATTGTCAATAGATCATGTAGAAATTAAAAATAACATTGCAAGTGACAAAAAGTCCGGTTTAATGGACTAAATACATTATACAATGAACAAAATCGTGCGAAGCTAAAGAGCAACATACAGTATTACGTTTGCTCAAAAGCCTTTTTGGCAAGAGATAAAAAGTCAATACGAGTCTCAGAGTGTAACGAGTTTCTGCCTCGTCACTGCAACCTCCAACCCGCGTGGCTGCTGCAGGCGTGTTCAACAGCATCCTGTCGTGGTCGCCGTTGGTAGCGCTGGGCCGCCTCACCTTCTCCGTGTTTTTGGTGCACCTCACCATCATCATCGTGTCTGTGGGCTCCATGCGCCAGCCAGCCCACCTCAGCGACTTCAGCCTGGTGAGCTTCTGACCAATTGCTGCGCGTTAAACTTGAAATCCCGGCAGCACACTGTCAAAACTCTACTATAGGAGTCGCTTCGTCATACGAAGAAAATGAAGGCATAGTAAAATGGACGAAGAAATGCTTCGCATTATGAAAAAAAATCCTTCGTAATACGAAGCCTTCTTCAAAATACGAAGCAATTCTATAACGCTTTCGTTTTCTTTATGAAGCAAATGCTTCTTTTTGAAATGAGTCCTGCTGTCCTTCGTGCAGGCTAGTGAAACCGTGGCCGACATTGCCATGTCCTACGCGGCCGGCCTGCTGCTGTACTTCTGCGTCGAGGCCCCTATGTTGAACCTGCAGACCATCGTCTTCGCCAGGTGTAAGTTGCGCTTTGAGCTTCAGAGTCGGTAACAGGACTGGAACCCAGCGTGCGACCCCACCAATGGATTCCTCGTTTGGGGAGCAGTCCATTGGTGGGGTCACACGTTCGGTTCGAGTCCCATTTAGCGACTCTGGAGCTCAAAACGTGTCTCGAGTGTTGGCTGCCTCCACAGGTCCTCTGGCCCACTGTGCGCCTGGATCCGCGTTTGCTCACAACGAAGTCACGTTACGCCTCTTTGCTCCACAGTGAGCAGTAAGCGGGTGTCCGCCGAGAGGGTCTTGCGAGAGGAGCCGGCGAGCGGGAAGGCCTCCGGGGCAGCCGGGGACGTCAACAAGGAGCACGAGGACGCGGACAACAGGACCTGGACCATCACCACCGACGCGTGACCAATTCGAGTACAAAATTGGCTCCTCTGCACAGTAAATGTCTTACGGTGAAAGGCTGCACCAACATATTATGGTGGAGATTTTCTCCATAATACCAACGAAATTCATCGAAATATCTAAATTATAGACCCAGAACGAAGTAAATTTCTAACAGCCATGGAGCTTTTCGTAACATCCTACATATTGAATGCTACATCGTAGGGAATGTTATCTCCTCCAGCAGTTGTTCTTCGGATGCCCCCTGGACGTATAAAAATCCATTTCGTTCCCCTTCAAGCTGTCGTTGACCGCCTCAGCATCAACCGATTGACTGTGTGGACCCTAACCTCACTTATGTCGATTTCGAAGGATGAGATAAGAGTAACTCTATTTAAGAAGAATCACGGAGGAGGAGGCCCAAAAGTTTTTATGTCGGTGAGAATCACAGGCGAGGGCCACACTCACTGTAAAAATTTGAGTCGTCATTTGATGACAATTTCGAGGCTAAGTTTTCTAACAATGTCACCAAAACAATTGACGACATTGTTGTCATGCCCATGCAATAAGTATAGGAGCTTTGATGAAAATGCCGTCAATTTGTGATCGAGATTGTCATCATTTCAAAGTGATGAAAGTATCATCCACGCGTTTTTGTCATCAAGTGACGACAAATTTTCACAGTGCTGTGCGCCACACACCGTTGCAGTGCTTCCGCTTCCGCCTAGTCGACCGTACGGAGGTACTTGTCGACAATCTCGGAGAGGAACCAGGAGTTGGAGAAGCGAAGGTGGTCGCCGTTGACGGCGAGTCGCACCAGACGGCCTGTCTCGGCGAGCTGCTTCAACCCAATCCAGTCCTGCGAACATAATGAGTCGTAGTTTAGCACAGCTTCAAAGAGGGTAAGGTGTCCAGTCCAGCACAACACGGTAACTGCATTTGTACGATTTTGTACGGCCCCACAAAATTTTGTGCAAGTGGAACTTTTCGTGGTCGCCTAACCTAACCTTAGAGCCTAGAAACGTACAAAATTCGTGCCAAATATCGTGCAAATTTGTAAGAACAGCACGCACACTGAGAAAACCTTACAAACTGTTTAAGGCCTTACAAAGCAAAGCAGTTTGTTAGAACAAAGTATTTTGAGCATACATAAGCTTACAAAGAAAATACTTGGTAGTTTACGAACTATTTCTTCGTGTAACGAAGTAAATTAGTTTGTACGTATGTATACTCAAATACTTCGTAAGGTTTTAAGGGTGCACGTGGAAAACCGTACGAGACCTTGGACAAAAAACCTTGAAAGAAATTGCATGTGAAAGTGGCGCGGTCAAGAGGGCCCTGTCAAGAGGCCCTGTCAAGAGGGTCAAGTGGTACCTCCTTGTAGATGGCGCTCTCCTCCAGCGGCAGGATCTCGCTGGTGGAGCCCGGCGCGTAGAACTCGAACCAACTGGACGCCCTGGGCACCACCATGCTGTCGTTGTTGAAGCGCACCAGGACCAGCTTGTCCAGCTTGGTGAGGTTCTCGGCGTAGCTGCTGTTGCGGTCGCTGGCGTGCTGCACGTCATTGTTGATGTCCGCCAGGAAGGTGCTGCCGCGGCGGTAGCGCTGCGGGCTGTGCGCGTCGTGCCAGTACTGCGCCTGCACCAGGATGTCCTGGACCAAGCTGCAACGTCAAAGTTGTTGCGCTGTGATTCCCAAGGCTGGAGGTGCTCCGTGGGCCAGAAGACCGGTGGAGGCGGCCAAAATCCTAGACGCGTTTTTAGCTCCAGAGTCGCTAAACTTTACTCGAACCGGACGTGTGACACCACAAAAGGCTTCCTCATTTGGAGAGCAATCCATTGGTGGGGGTCACACGTACGGTGGGGAGTTCCATTCGGGGACTCCGGAGGTCAAAAAGCGTATAGAACTTTGTCTCCGCCGGCCTTCCGGCCTACTGTATGGTTGCTCATCCTGAATGCGTGGAGACACCGCAATGCGTCCTGAACATGCCCTGTTATGTCAATTCAAGTCAATGCATGGGAAGGCATGGCATGTCACTATAATTTACAAGAGATAAATATTTCATCATGAAGTGACAATAAATTTTGACTGCGTGGAGCAGCTGCGCAGCGACAGTGCCTTGCTCGGTTAAAAATGTTCCCAGTTTTCACAAGAGCTCCCAGGACATGTTCCTACGTAATTACACTCTCATCCCAAGAACGTTACATCACGTTGAAAGGATGACGTTGTAAGGAACAGAACGTGAAGCTAATTTTTGATCGATTCCTATCCACTGAGTAAGCGCTACAAACCATTTCAGGGCTTAGAAAGAAAAGTAGATTGTTATAACAAAGTATTTTGAGCAGACATAAGCTTTCAAACAAAATACTTCGTCATTGACGGACTATTTCTTCGTACAACGACGTAAGGCTTTGAGTGTGGAGTACGAAGGCGATTCAGCATGAGAACTTAGGTCAAAAAGGTCTGAATTCTCAGGAAAAATTTTAACAGTGGAGGAACGTACGGCCAGTACGCCCCGACGGACAAGAGCTTCCGGACGGCGTTGCAGATGATGCCGGACTGGCAGTGTGGCAGGCCGTACACGCCCTGGTGCTGGCCGCCCAGGGACACCAGCACCTTCATCGGCGGCGAGGGGCAGCGCTGCGCCACGGCCCGCCTGGCAGGCGAAGAGGGAACATGGAAGGAAGAGGAAAAACAATCAGAGAGCCGGTATTTTACACTGCACTGTGAGAAAACCTTACAAACTATTTTAGGCCTAACACAGAAAGTTTGTTATAACAAAGTATTTTGAGCATACATAAGCTTACAAAGAAAATACTTCGTAATTTACGAACTTTCTTCGTACTATAACAAAGTAAATTATTTTGTACTATGTACGCTCAAAATACTTCCGTAAGGTTTTAAGAGGGTAAGTCACGGTTTAAGAAGATACCAAGGGTGTAGGCCTTGCACTCTTGAAGGCCTACGAAGCATTTCTTCGTAGATTTTACAATGTCTTTATTTTCTTCGTATTACGAAGCGACCCATCGTAGAGTTTCTATCGAGTGAAGACGCATCAGTTTTACCAGTATGCAGGTCGCTGTACTCACAAGAACTGGCCACCCTGTGACAGGCCTACAGCGTGGTACCCGTCCTTGAGGTTCTCGTCCTCCGCGATCACCCGGCAGGCCTTCTCCACTTGCTTGTTGGACTCCATGATGAAGCCGCTGGCTGAGTCCTAGGGCAAAGCACGCCGAGCATTGCCGTGGGTTCGAACCCAGGTTCATGGTTCACTCTTTTAGCTCACGCTATAAGTCAATTTTTGCTACCATCTGGAAACGATTTTGAGGTGATGAAATTTCAACCAGGCAGGCGCAGCCAGTACCAAATGGGTCGCCAGTTGGTTACAAAATTCTCACACATTTGGTCAAGCACGAAATTTTTTCCAGCGTCGCTGCACAAAGGGCCGCCGCAGAAGACCGTCGGAGGCGGCCAAAATTCCACACGCGTTCTGAGTTTCAGAGTCGCTAAACGGGGCTTGAACGGAGCGTGTGACCTCAGCAATGGATTGCCCTCCGAACAGGAAATCCATTGGTGGGTCACACGATCGAGTTCTGTTTAGATTGTGGAGCTCAACACGCTTCTAGAATTTTGGCCACTTCCACCAGTCGTCAGGCGAGGCTGGGCGAGGCCTGGGCGATTGTTTGTCGGTTGTAATCAAAATGGTTAATGAATAAAAAAAAACGCGATCGGTGTCGATTAGGAGTTTGGAAATGAAACGATTAAGACTCGATTCTGGCCCTCAGTGCGTTATGGTAACAAAAATTGCCTTGAGATGTTAAATGTGCTGAGTTCACCTCAACGAGGTTGTTCCCGAAGCACAGGGAAGTGACGTAGGTCCCCTCGCCGAGGCGGTCTGCGATGAGTTTTTCGATGCGGCCCATGCTGAAGTCATTGTAGCAGCTGTCGCCTAAACGATCGGTTTGGTTGATTATGAAAGTTACATTTTTCTCGCTGTCAAGTTCTCTGCAAATCCAAGAGGAAACGCATGCGCTGACTGCAACACCTTAGAACATGCGGCAAAACCCACATTGGGCCAGAAGACCGGTGGGGGAAATCAAAAGCCCGGACGCGTTTTCAGTTCCAGAGTCGCCACTTGGGACTCAAAACGAACGGGTGACCCCACCATTGGATTGCTTTCCTAACGAGGAATCCATTGATGGGATCACACGCTTGATTCGAGTCCTGTATAGCGACTCTCGAGCTAAAAACTTGTCTACAGTTTTGGCCACCGGCGCCGATGTTCCGGCCCACTGTGAAACCGTCTCCCATATAACACAAGGGGAAACAAGTCCAAAAAAAAATGTATATACACCAAAAGTCATTGCCTGTCTGGAATTTGAGTCAAATTTCTTCACAGTTCATGAAAGTAAGTCGAAATTCGCATGAATTCTTCGGAAAACAGTGAAGTTTGTACCAAAACTCATTGAAATTTGGCTGCAAATCAATGAAATGCATGTAAAATTCAAACATTTGCACACTGAAATTCGAACATTTCCCCTTGATAGGGTACTTTCGTAGATCCCTGAACCGGAAGCACACAGACGCCATGTTGGCGGAAGTAGATCAAAACTTGACATGGGAAAGAGACGATAGCCAAACGTATCGGCCACAATTGAACAATTACAGTCGTTTTATACTTGTTTGCAGTGCATATGTGTTTCGCGAGCAATACTTGTACAGCTCGGCTATAGTTTCAGATCCGAAGAGAGGTTAGTTTCCGGCCAATATGGAGTCTGCTTGCTTCCGGTTCAGGATCTACGAAAGTACCCTATTGTGCATGCATGCCTGTCCCAAACTTGGACTTGCAGTAGTTCACATCGAGTACATACCCATGCCATGCCACAAGACCACGGGGACTTGCGCAGCAGTTGAGCCCTTGAGGAGGCCAAGCAGACCCGCGAGGGCTGCCACGAAAAGCACCGAACGGCCCATGGCAAATCACGACAGGGACAGGACTAACGTCCAATAATTGCCCGTAAACGGGTTCGATTATCTGTCAACGTCAGCTCCCTCGCAAGTGCGATTCATCAGAGATTAGATAAATGTTTCACAAGACAGACGCCGGACCACAACATGGCGTGGTAGGGTTCGCGAGGCCTGCTAGGACAAGACAAGACACGGTCTGGCGTACACCTACCTTGTCAATGAGTCCTGAAAATCTTCTCTACACTGCAAACCTAACTGTCTACTAAGTCCACACTTACAAATGCATGCTTGCAAGTACACACTTACAAACGCATGCTTGGCCAAGTACACAGTTACAAATGCATGCTTGCAAGTACACGTTTACAAACGCATGCTTGACGCCGTAAAACTCCATGCGTCAAGCATGCGTTTGTAAGTTAGGGGCCAGCGTTGGGAGGCGACTTTCGATATCGGCTTTTCGACCGGTCTTAAAATTTTCGTTTTTTAACGCTGATTCCAGATATGTATCGGATTTTGCGATCAGACGTAGGCTTCATCACCCCACCAGCCGTTTTATGTCAAAAAGCGGCAAAAATCGCATTTTTGGCTTTTGTACTTGTTTTTTCTTCCTGTAGAGCTTCGATTGGCGGTTTGGGGCCTGGATTCCGTTCACCAACACTAATGAGTAAAATAATGTCTACTTAGAACCTAAGTGAGCCCCTTCATTCGGCGCCCAGGCCTCAAACAATACAAATTTTTAGGAAAATGTTGCTGTTTTTTCAACTATTTCGTACTCTACTGACCGCCAGAGACCTTCCCAAGGTGACCAATGTGCATGAAATGGAGGTGGGGGGAGGGGAGAAGGTAGCCCAGCCCCAGGGCGCCGACGGCGGGCTCGTGGAGGGTGCCATAAAGCCGGACAACATTGCGAAAATTGCCCATTTTTTTTCGAAACTTTGCCAAAAGCCCCCTTTTTAGCGCTCTGTAGGGCTTTGTTAGCGAATGTGCAGGTCTTAGCTCTGCAAGGAAAATTGCTTTACTTACCCATGGTCCACCACGAGGAGGTGCCTGCACGTAGCTGTCGAAGCCGACGAAAATATCTACGCGCCCGGTGTAACCGGTATGTTATATCCCCCTGCAGCTTTTTACCCCCGGCATATCATACCTAGGCAAGTTTTACTCCCCGGTAAAATGTGCCTAGGCATGTTCCCCCCACTCGTACAATGTGCCTAGGCATGTTTTACACCCCCACCCCCTTCAACACCGAGCTGTGGGACACAGCCGAGACAAAACTTAAGTGCTGACCCGTCCAATAAATGACTGTTACACCCGTTGACATCAGCTCTGCGGTAAACAGGTGACGGATTCCGAAAGTCGTCGCACTGTCTTTCCCCCACTAGGAGCGCTCCGGAGTGCGAGAGACGCGGAGCGACCAGTGGGTATGCACTCGCGTAACAGTCGGGTCACTCTGTAATAACACGCGTAATAGTATGCCAAATAGCCGACATTCTCGAGTTTTTACCAAACTTTGGTGTGTTTGGGGCTATTTTTGGTCTAAATTTTGAGGCTTAAATGAGTATAAAAGCGTAATAGTCGGTTTACAGGTATTAAGAGTGTTAAACTTGTCGCGGAACGACAAGGGCGGGTGCCCCGGGGGGGGGGGGGGTAAACGTGCCTAGGCACATTGTAACGAGGGGGGCTAAAACATGCCTGGGCACATTTTACCGGAGGGTAAAACATGCCTAGGCACATTGTAAGAGGGGGAGGGGGCATGCCGAGGCACATTGTACCCCCTACCCTCAGGGGTGGGGGTTGAGGGTAAAACAAGCCTAGGCATATTTTACCCCCTACCCTCAGGGGTGGGGGTTGGAGGTAAAACATGCCTAGGCACATTTTACCGGGGGGTAAAACTTGCCTAGGTATGATATACCAGGGGCTAAAAAGCTCCAGGGGGATATAACATACCGGTTACACCGGCGCGTATATATTTTCGTCGGCTTCGACGGCTACGTGCAGGCACCTCTTCGTGGTGGACCATGGGTAAGTAAAGCAATTTTCCTTGCAGAGCTAAGACCTGCACATTCGCTAACAAAGCCCTACAGAGCGCTAAAAAGGGGGCTTTTGGCAAAGTTTCGAAAAAAAATGGGCAATTTTCGCAATGTTGTCCGGCTTTATGGCACCCTCCACGAGCCCGCCGTCGGCGCCCTGGGGCTGGGCTACCTTCTCCCCTCCCCCCACCTCCATTTCATGCACATTGGTCACCTTGGGAAGGTCTCTGGCGGTCAGTAGAGTACGAAATAGTTGAAAAAACAGCAACATTTTCCTAAAAATTTGTATTGTTTGAGGCCTGGGCGCCGAATGAAGGGGCTCACTTAGGTTCTAAGTAGACATTATTTTACTCATTAGTGTTGGTGAACGGAATCCAGGCCCCAAACCGCCAATCGAAGCTCTACAGGAAGAAAAAACAAGTACAAAAGCCAAAAATGCGATTTTTGCCGCTTTTTGACATAAAACGGCTGGTGGGGTGATGAAGCCTACGTCTGATCGCAAAATCCGATACATATCTGGAATCAGCGTTAAAAAACGAAAATTTTAAGACCGGTCGAAAAGCCGATATCGAAAGTCGCCTCCCAACGCTGGCCCCTATTGTAAGTGTGAACTTGGCCAAGCATGCGTTTGTAAATGTGTACTTGCGAGCATGCATTTGTAAGTGTGTACTTAGTACACAGTTAGGTTTTCAGTGTATTTGTACTCGTTCATGGCATGACTTTTTTGAGATTACTGGTTGTTGTGCTGTATGCCAGCCATTTCAAAAATGTGGCTGGGAACTTATTTTTCATCTAATGCTACAAAGGAAGATTTTTAGCGGACGCTTCCCCCCGGAAGACTTGATTTCATCTGACGTGGCAGCACACAAATACTAAAATGCTCCCCCTTTGGGGACTCCAGAATGTAACGGGCCATCACCCATTGAGATTTCGGGTTAAGCTGGTGCTTTCAGGGTTAAGGATACTAGTTCAAGTTGGCAAAGTTCCGATGTATTGTCTAGAAATACAACCACACTCCAGCAGAGTGAGGAATCAAAGTACAGTTGAGAGTGCACAACATACGAACTCATATTAAGATGCAGGCAGGTTCGAATGTTATCAAAAGGTGTACAGTGCAGGTACGTTAAATAGGGTACTTTCGTAGATCCCTGAACCGGAAGCACACAGACGCCATGTTGGCGGAAGTAGATCCAAACTTGACATGGGAAAGAGACGTTTGTCAAACGTATCGGCTCACTTGAACATAAACAGTTGTTTGATACTTGTTTGCAGTGCACCCACATAAAAGCGAAATGTTCCGAAACCTGGTCGAAATCGGTCCGAATCAGTCCGAACACCCTCGGACTGTTCCATAGAGCGCCCGAGACCAGGTCGGACTGTCCGCCACGAGCCCGCGTCGGGACTGGGACTGCCCGATGGATGCCCGATCAGATGATGCTTCCATCGGACTAGCCCGTACGGAGCCCGTAGACCCTAGTCCCGAAAGCGACTTGTCCGGCAGACCGATCGGCAGCGAGCCGAGTGTGGTGGACTGTCCCTGCCGGTGCAGGCGCGGAAAAGCCTGCTGGCCCGGGCCGGTCGGAGGCGCTCTCTGATTGGTTCGGCCAGGAGGGGAGCCTTAATCCTTCGGCAACTCGGAAAGTTTTGGCCGCCTCGGCACGCAAAACGTCAGTCTCCAGCTGCCCTCCAAGGTGCACGCATCGCGTTTGCCTGCGTCAGAGTCCACTCGCTCGGCGCGCTGAAGCCATGTCGCCTCCGCGCGCTGCAGCCTTGCGCAGCCTTGTGCTGGGAACGAGCCAGTTGGACGGAAAGAAGTGTGTTTTAGTTAGAAAATTTTTTTGGCTGATGACCGTTTAGGACGCTAGTGACTCTACGCTTGCTGTTCTGTGTGCATCTCCCAACACTAAAGGGACGGGCGGTGCGAGGGCGAGAGGTGTATCATTTAATTCGCCTTTCCCCGTGCACTCTCGTCCCCAAAGTGCTTTCCATCGGAAATTATTTTTATCCTACATATCAACTACTTGATTACTATCGTAAGTTCAAATCCGGTGCCAAGTTTGCCTGCCACAAAAGTGGCACGCCGTTTTGAATGCTAAACATTGGCAAGCCCTGACCTGAAATCTTCCAGTTTGCCCAAACTTAGCGCTTCGGCCGCCAGCAATGCCCAAATTTAGCGAACTCGGAAGTATTTCAGGTCCAGGCTTGCCAATTTTCAACATTCAAAACGGCTTGCCAAGTGCACCGGCTTTGCAGTGTTGCCTGCACTGCACTTGCAGAGGGAGGGGAGGGGATTCCGAAGGGAGGAGAGGGGTTTCGGGAGGGAGGGGAAGGGTGGGGGGCGGCGGGGAGCAGCCCGCCCTGCTCGCCGGCCTTGCTTCGGGTTAGTCCGAAAAGAGTCCGAATCTAGTCGTCGGACAACACCCGAAACCTTGCCGGATTTCTAACATTCTGGATGTCAGCCGGACCAGTCCGGTGGAACCGTTTTCGGACATAGCCCCCGCTCGGGCTGTTTTTGGAGCCTTTCTTTTTCATATGGGCATATGTGTTTCGCGAGCAATATTTGTCAAGCTCGGCTATAGTTTTGGATCCGAAGAGAGGTTAGTTTCCGGCCAATTTGGCGTCTGCTGGTCTGCTTGCTTCCGGTTCAGGATTCTACGAAAGTACCCTATTTATTTATCGAATGAACAGAGCTCTGAAATCACACAAGTGATAACAATATCGGGATCTGGCAAAATTACCCAAAAAGTTCTTTGAAATGTATTAAATCACCCCAATTATTGTACGAAGGACGGCCCACACGGCAAGAACGTTTCCTGGTTAACCAGCCTGGTTATTACCTGAAAGTTTCCAGAAAAACAAGGTGTCCAGAATCTGGGCACCTTGCTCGCCCAGGAACTGGGCACCTGTGCATGCTCTACCATAAGGGAGGGCCAGTTGCTGTATGGCTTGTGCACCCCGAGACTGGGCGACAAAGGTGCCCAGAAATTTGCACTGCTAAAATTTGTTGTCACTTTACGACTGAAACCTGGATGATACTTTCATCACTTTCATATGATAAAAATCTCATCACAAATTGATGACATTTCTATACAAGCTCCTATACTTATTGCACGGGCGTGACAACAATGTCATCAACTGTTTTGATGACATTGTTGTAAGGAAAATTAGCTCTGAAATTGTCATCGAGTGACGACTCAAATTTTTCACAGTGTGGACTTTAATTCCACAAGCATTCAGTGTGCAGCCTTGGCGCCCCTCCGGCGGAACCTCACTCGCGTCCCGCCCACGAGGTGGGACGAGAGGTCGAAGGTCATGTTGTCGGTGAGGCTCTGCAGGTCCTTGTGGTCGCCGACGGGCAGCACCTCCAGGTCCCTGAGCGCGGTGGCGAGGAAGGTGGTCATGTTCATCACGGCGTACGTGTCCCCGATGCACTTCCTGGGCCCCATGCTGAAGGGCATGTAGGCGCAGGGGTGGCGGTCCTTGCTGCGCTCGGGCAGGAAGCGGTCCGGGTCGAACTGCTCGGGCCTGTCCCAGTGCCTGGGGTCGCGGTGCACGCCGTAGATACTGATGAAGACGGGGGTGCCCGCCGGGATGGTGTGGCCGCACAGCTTGGTCTCCTCGTAGCAATGCCGGCCGATGAAGGGGATGGCAGGGAACATGCGCATCACCTCCTTGATCACGCGATTGAGGTACTGGAGCCTGAAAAACAAATAGTTAAAATGGAATGGGCTCAACATGACACTCACCCGCCTAAAAAAAAGATTTTTCAAATCACGCCTTTCGCTACAAATAGGGCCAAATGCGCGAGAGCAGGGAGGTGGCCGGTCGGAGCGTGTTATCAGGAGCGCCCAGCGCCGAGCAAAAGGCAACCCATCGTACTCCCGGTTCCTCCGTTTCCAATGCGATGTCATCGCTTATCGTGTGCGAGCACGTCATGTTTAGGGCATCGCACGAGAGGCTTAGCCCGGAAAGGTCAATAACAGTGAGCGTCTCGCCCCAGTCCAATGTTGTCTCAAACACTCCGCCAGGTGTAAGGCGCGCTTACACTGTAAGCGCGCCTCGGTGCGGTGTTAAGCGTAACCCAGCCTGAGCTGCGCTGTGCCACGGAGTGGGAGTGTGCGCCGCCGTGCCGCATCGCCGTCTGGCTGGAGAGCGGTGGGCAGCGCGCTCGGGGGTAAGGCCGCGGGGGCCACAGTGGGCCAAAAGACCGGTGGAGGCGGCCAAAACTCTAGACGCGTTTTGAGCTCCAGAGTCGCTAAATGGGACTCAAACCAAACGTGTGACCCCTCCAACGTATTTCTCTCTGAACGAGGAATCCATTGGTGGGGTCGCACGTTCGGTTCGAGGCCGTTAAGCGACTCTGGAGCTCAAAACGCGTCTAGAGTTTTGACCGCCTCCACCGGTCTTCTGGCCCACTGTGGGCCGCGCGGTCGTCAACCGGGCCGGTGGCCGCACTCCATCGGCCGAGTGGCCGCTTGAGGTCGTAAATGTCCAAATAACAAGATAACGCCGGTTCAGCGTGCTTGAGCAGTGATGCAACACGGGAAGCGGCTAATTAGATATTTAAATGAGGCCATTGGAGTGTATAATTTTGGAGTTCATGCATCGTTTTAATAGAAATATTTTTAAAAAAAAATTTCGTTTGTCTAACTCTTAAGTACTTTATAAAGTTACTGCTCTTGTTATAATGGCCGGCTAACCTGTTTTTAGAACTTGGGCGGTGCCTTTTGGGTTCTGTTACCAGCGCGTTGGGTTGGGTCCAGAGCTTTTTCATCACGAAACCTGCAGCCCGTTGACTTTTGCATACCGTGAGCTGGGGTGATATGAGACAATTTCAGGGTAATTTGAGGCATGATTTTAATCCTAACATTTATAATTCTAGTTGCATTGAATGACTCCGCTGTCGAGAAGGTGTATAGTCAAGAAAAGTGCGCGTGTTTTAGTGTAAGCCCTGAGTGACTAAATGGGGGTTAAGAGTGTGTCTTAAGTTAACTTAAAATTGGCTCACATCACCCCAGCTTACAGTAGTGTTAATAAAAACACATCATTTTGATCAGAAACCAACCAGATAACACGACAGAAAATTTGTACGATTCAATCACCGTTCAAAAACAAAAAACGAACGTCCAGAGTTTGTGACCCTCTCTCTGCCCCCCCCCCCCCTCTGCCTACAGAGAAATGCCGTGCAGTGCAGTCATAATTTAAAGCTAATTCCCAGTACTTAAACGATTCGAATATATCATAGCACAGAGAAATTTGTTGGTAATGTGAAGACACTGGTCTACAGCGAACTCTTCACCACAGGTTACTACCTTCGCTGCGCAGTCTTAACATATTAAGCTTTTTGTTCGTATTACGAAGAAAAAGCTCAGTACACTCTCAGACTCGTATTGACTTTTTTCTCTCCATTATTGACATTTTGTCCTTTGATTACGTAGTTTTTTAAGCAGCAATAATATGTAGTATTTCCTTTGAAACCATGTACAATATTGTTCACTATAAAGACTAAATTGTCATCAATTATTGAATATTTTTTTAAGTCGATTGCGTATTGACTCTTTGACAATAGCAAATTGACTTGATGTCAATATAACGAGCAAAATCCTACATAAATATTGAGGAAATAGTACTTTTTATTGCTGTGTAAAATACTCTTTCACAAAGGACAAAAAGTCAATAACAGTCTGAGAGTGTAGGATCTTGGCAGTGTAGCACTTACTCAGCCAGGTCCTCGACGGAGACGCTTCTGTCGCTGTCCCCGAACACCGAGTCCAGTTCGGCGTGCACTCGTTGCTGCACGTCGGGCAGCAGCGACAGCACCTTGAGCGTCCAGCCGAGCGCCGAGACGGTCGTCTCCACGTTGGCGCCGAAGAACGTGATGAACTCGTCCAGGATGGCGTTGCCCTCCGTGAGCTCTTGCGACCCGGTCGGGGGGTCCAACATGATGTCCATGAGCGTCTTGCGCGCTTGCTCGAAATCGCTATCGTTCTTGAAGCTTCCGATTTCGGCCCGCTTCTTTTCTATGAACCTGTTGCCAAGGGGAAATAACTCCAGCCAAATTTGTACACCAAAATTCATCAAACATGTAAAATTCACTAAAATTCATTCAAAATCATCAAAAATTGACTGAAATTCATCGAAATTCGACTGAAATTCATCGGAATTCGACTTCGATTCATCGAAATTTGATTGCAATTCATCGAAATTCGACTGAAATTCATTGGATTAGTACACTGAAATTCACAGTGATTTCCCCTTGCCTGTTGCAAAGCTTGTCGATGACCTGCTTGTCCTTGTGCACTCTCTTCCCGAGCGGAGTCCAAGCGAACACTCGATCGGACCAGAGGATCGGGTTGAAGGAGCGGTTGTTGATGGAGCGGAGGAAGAGTTCGAGAAACGCGCAGCAGTCCATGGCCTCGTCCTCGTACTCGGAGGTGTCCGACGACATGGAGGTGCGCAGGAAGTTCCTCACGGAGGCCTTCTTGAGGTTCGTGATGACGTCCACGTCCCGGTCGGCCTCCACGCGCTCCACGAAGGCCCTCCCCTCCTCGCTGAAGATGTCCACGAAGCGGTGCAGCACGTTGACGTTGAAGCCCGGCTGCAGCCACTTACGGTGTGCCTTCCACTCGGCGCCGTTCAGCTGGATCAGGCCCTTCTTGGCGATGATGTGCAGCAGGCTGTAGATGAAGCTGGGCTTGTCGGCGAACTTCTTGGAGCGCACCATCTCCTCGACCTCCTCGGGGTCCTGCAGCCACACCGTCAGGTTGTTGAAGAGGGAGAATCGGGTGATCTGCCTCCGGCCCCCGATGACGGCCAGCAAGGTGCGCATCACCGTGTCGGGGGTCACGACGCAGAAGCTGAGCGCGTTGCCGAGCAGGAACAGCGAGGGCGGCCCGGGGATGGCCAGCTCCAGCTTCCGGAAGTGCAGGTAGCTCCTGAGGTAGCGCGCCAGCAGCACCACGACGCCCACCACCACGGCCAGCGCCGTCACCCCCGTCACCGCGGTCAACAACGACATGTCTGCTCGCTGCGTCCGCGTGGTGGAGACTGCAGCCAGCTTCGAGAACCGCGCGTGAGCCCCTCCGCACAGTGCGCCCGAGGACCGGTGGAGGCTGCCAAAACTCGAGACGCGTTTTGAGCTCCAGAGTCGCTAAATGGGACTCGAACTGGCCGTGTGACCCCACCAATGGATTCCCCGTTCGGAGAGCAATCCATTGGTGGGGTCACACGTTCTGTTCGAGTCCCATTTAATGACTCTGCTGGAGCTCAAAACGCGTTTGTGAGGGCCTCGTTGTTTGTGTAGTGTAAGAGGGCCTCGGCAACTCGTTTTGATGTTCGTGGAGTGTAAGAGGGCCTCGGCAACTCGTTTGGATGTTCGTGTAGTGTAAGAGAGCCTCGATGTTTGTGTAGTGAAAGAGGGCCTCGGCAACTCTTTTGGATGTTCGTGTAGTGAGGAGGGCCTCGGCGGACGGGTTAGCACACTTCAAAACAGTTGTGCCTTGAGTTGTTTTTTTCATAAAATCCGAAGTATCGCTATTCATTCACTCACTGATTTCCAACGCCAAGTCAAAGGAACTTCCCGACCAGGTATCGACGAGGGGTGAATCACTAGTGTACTCATGTGTACAAATTAGCCCGTACTCAGTGTACTCACAAGTTTAAAAGGGTCGAAATTCACCAGTTTTTCGACCGATTTGGCGTTGAGTGCCGTTTAAAACGCTAAATAAAGCCTTAAAACGTTTACAAATGTGAAATTTATGAGTAAAATATGGTGTACTCATCCGTACTCATGTACTCATGTGTACATCAGAACGCCGAGTGATTCACCCCTCGGGTATCGACCTGCTGATGGAAGTATGCGTCGCCGAAAGTAAATAAACTTGAGGAACAAAAACAACGAAAACAGATTTTGTTTTGTATTTTTTGGAGCGGGCATTGCGATTGATACTGCCTACTGTCCCAGTCCGTTTCTGTCGCTACCAGAAAAAGTACACTGCAATTCCAAAGGTTATGAACGTACAGTAAGTAGCCCGCATGGTGCAATTCATGAAGGCATCGTACTGCATACTGTGAGAAAAAAAACACATAAAGAAACCTACAAAACCTTCTGGCAAATTTTTTTACTGGAATTTATTGTACTTTTGAAGTACAACAAATGCTGTTCAAAGTACAATGGAGCCGGCTTGACGAGTGCAGTCCAGGCCGCTTTGTTGATAGTATAATTGGCGTTGCGCAGTGGGCCAGAGGACCGGTGGAGGCGGTCAAAACTCTAGACGCGTTCTGAGCTCCAGAGTCGCTAATCAGGCCTCGAACAGAGCGTTTGACGTGACCCCACCAATGGATTCCTCGTTTGGAGAGCAATCCATTGGAGGGGTCACACGTTCGGTTCGAGTCCCATTTAGTGACTCTGGAGCTCAAAACGCGTCTAGAGTTTTGGCCGCCTCCACCGGTCTTCTGGCCCACTGTGCGTTGGGGTATGTACCTGATAAAAAGTTGCCAGGAATTTTTGAAGGTTTGTTGAGGTGTTTTTCTTGCAGTTTGGTTCCAGGTCATTCCACTTCGGGGGAGCAAGTCATGTCTCTGACCGACTTGGTCACGGGGCCAGCTGATAAGGACATTAAAAGGCCCGTCTACACTGAGAATCCAAACGCTATGAGTAGCGTCAATTGGTGCAATGCAAAAGCATTGCACATAAAGTGCAATGCCTCCCCATTCCCATGCCTTCGCATAGGGCATTTTCGGGACGCATTGCACGTAAGGTGCAATACGGCTATGGCATTGCACGTTGCGATATCTCAGCTGCATTGCACTACGTGCTATACTCATAGCGTTTGGAATCTCAGCGTACCAAATAGTTCAGAGGCTTGTGAGTCATCTCGCGGTAAAGATGTTGGCAAGTTAAGGTAGTAGTACACTGTTATTCAAATTGCGATAACCACCGTATATATTTTGCAATAAAAACTTATCATATTTTTTTTGCTATAATGACAACTTAATATCTGCAATAAAAAATTTATAGCTAAATTTTGCAATAAAGTATCACATTTTTGCGATAATGACTACAAAGAAAATGCAATAAAAAGTTATCGCAGAAAAAAATGTGATAAAAGTTACTACAAAACGCTCTTTTATCGCAAAAATTATGAGGTGGTTATTGCAAAAAAAAAGTGCAATAACAAAATTATCGCACTCCAGGATGCGATAAATCGTGGGAATCGCAAACTCGGTTTTATCGCAGAAATTTGTAGTAAAAGTATCGCAAAATGAATGACAGTGTAGAGCTCGAAAACAAGCCAAGCGAGAGTCAAAAGTTAAAAACACAGTATTTTGAGAGTGAAAAAAATTTCTTTGTCTTGAATTAATGTCAAAACTTTGGGAAAAGACGTCAACATTTTCGACGGTGACTGTCCCTTTTCTTTACGGATCTAGATTCAGAAGGGTTCAATGCATATTCTCTGAGAGTTTCACGACTTGACCTTTATGTTGTGCTACTACTACCTCACATGGTTTTGAAAAACGGCCTTTACGTCTGGAGTCAACGGCACACATGGCAATTAGTGTCTTAGGCGGCCGCACAGGACGGCTTATCGCCCGACAGCAAGTGGCTGAGCATTGTTATCATTGCACGCGCATTAATTATTATCGTGCACAGTGGGCCAGAAGACCGACGCCGGCGGCCAAAACTCTCGACGCGTTTGGAGCTCCAGAGTCGCTTCAACACGTCCACTCCGAAGCACTCGTGTAAATTTTGTCAGAATTTCAGAAACATGTCTGAGATCCTGATCAAAATTCGCGCACCTCTGAAAGCTGCAATTCTGAAAACTTACTCCGATATTGATGGTTTGAGTTCTACAGAATGTCAGGAGATGTTTTCAGCTTTCAGAGGTGCGCGAATTTTGGTCAGGTTTTCAGACAGGTTTCTGACATTCTGACAAGATTTACACGAGTGAGTGAAATTAAAGGGATGGGAAATCGCAGCAAGGGACGAGAACACCAGCTTGCCATTGGCCCTACGGCCTGCATTGGCATAGTTTGGCAAGGTGGGGAGTATTTCAGGGCCAGGCTTGCCAATTTTCGACATTCATTACGGCTTGCCAATTTTGTGGTAAGCCAACTTACCACCGGATTTGCAGTGTGCAGTATAGACTTAGTGGGTCTAGGAGATTTGCAGGGAGTCCTAAGAAAACCAGGAACCATTCGATTTCTGCCCCGAAGATGAAGTTTCTTTATAAAAAGGGCATGTATGAATACTCTATTGCCGTATGTTTCATTTTTTTTTTTTTTTTTTGGGGGGGGGGGTAAGTTTCGTCTTGGCGTTTGGTTCCCCTGGAATACACACGGACCGACACAGTGACCCAATAACGCTCCCGACGGAGATAGTGCCACAGCAATTACTCGATAAGTAACAATCACGCGGCCTTATGTCACAGCCGATGTGACGTCACCCGGCTAATGAAGCCCACCCTTGGCAAAGGCCAACGCCTGCCAAGCCGGTCAGTTCCCTGCCAACTCCGGTCAAGTCCTGCTTACACCAGGCCGCGCACAGTGGGCCAGAAGACCGGTGGGGGCGGACAAAATACTAACGGCGTTTTCCGCTAAACTGGCCTCTAACAAAGCGTTTGACCTCACCAATGGATTCCTTGTTCGAAGAGAAATCCATTGGTGGGGTCACACGTTCGATTTGAGTCCCACTTAGCGACTCTGGAGCTCAAAACGCGTCCGGGATTTTAACCGCCTTCGTCCGTCCCACCGTGTCCCGCTGACACTGGGCCCAGGTCCGGAGTGGACTAGATTTGGGTTTCCAGTGCGTAGACTAGAAAAGGGGGGGAACACGGCCCCTAAATCAATGAGGGTTTGTTTACCCCCAACCGCCGCATCTTCTTCTTTCCTTTCTCTCCTATCGCAAAATATCTCCTTGAGACATTGACGGTTCAAAAAATGCATCCCCAAAACATGATATTCATCCTACCAAATTCTATTACCTGAGTTGCTGAAAAGGCAATCTCACCAGGTGGAAAATTCAGACAGCCAAGTGGTCTACAAAGTCGGAGTGAGCTCTGAAAATTCAAAACATGAGGTTTCCAAATTGTCTTTACTAAACGTAGATAGCCGGTTCTTACATGGGGGTACCGAAACTTTATCCTTTAACGGTCTTGAAATTTCGACCTATTATTTTAAACTATGCCTCACAGGTGCTCTGGCCCGGAAGAATTTGAACACATTGGAAGTCTCAATTGAGAGATCCCTTGAGAATGGCGAATTATCTTCCTCTCAAACAACGCGCGTTTCCCTCAGAATATGCCATATCTTACTTCCGGTTTAGTCCTGCGTCTTCCGGCTTAGAGCTCCTTACAAGTACTTTCCTGTATTTACGAAGGCTCTGTATCTCCTCGGCGTGACTCCTTAAACCCTATCGTAAAACGCAACTGCCTTGCTTAAGGAGAACTTTGAGGGCACTCTGCTGAATGTTGAAGCGGAAGGACACTACAAATCCAAAAGCGTAAATTGTATGCTCTATACCTGGAGCATGCCTAAGCACGCTCTAGCTAGCGCATGCCTGCCAAGCATGCACTTACAAGTGCATACATGCCAAGTACACGCTTACTGAAGCGTGCATCTAGTGCATAAGGGATAGGGAGTTGTCTGCATCAGGAAGCGTGTACATGGCATGTATGCACTAGTAAGTGCATGCTTGGAAGGCATAGCTAGAGCGTGCTTGCAGACATGCTCTAGGTACAGCGTACAATATGGCATACAGGACATGAGCCCCGTCCCGTTTGAGCCCCGATGGTCTGAGCCCCGACCTGAGCCCCAACTTGAGCCCGACTTGAGCCCCGACTTGAGCCCCGACCAAAGCCCCAATATCCAGAGACCGGATTGAGCCCCGACCTGAGCCCCGTTTGAGCCCCATTTGAGCCCCATTTGAGCCCCGTGGCAAAAAATCATGCTAAAAGTCTTCAAAAATAGTTATTTTCGGCCACGGGGCTCTAACGGGGCTCAAACCGGGCTCAAATGGGGCTCAAACGGGGCTCAGGTCGGGGCTCAATCCGGGCTCTGGATATTGGGGCTTGGGTCGGGGCTCAAGTTGGGGCTCAACCCGGGCTCAGGCTGGGGCTCAAGTCCGGGCTCAGAACAACGGGGCTCAAACGGGACGGGGCTCATGTCCTGTATGCCTACAATATGTATGCTTTTGGATTTGTAGAGCAGTAAGCCCTTACTCTACAAAACGAAGAGTGTACATATGCTCTAACTGGAGCATGCCTGCAAGCACGCTCTAGCTAGCGCATGCCTGCCAGGCATGCATTAACTAGTGCATACATGCCATGTACACGCTAACTGAAGCATGCATCTAGTGCATAAGGGATAGGGAGTTGTCTGCATCAGGAAGCGTGTACATGGCATAATGTATGCGCTAGTAAGTGTATGCTTGGCAGGCATGCGCTAGCTGGAGCGTGCTTGCAGGCATGCTCAAGGGGGTATTCACTCTGGTAATAGTCGGTTGTCTACTATGTAATTGATCTGTAATAGTTTTGTAATGTAATTGGTAATAAGGGCAGCAAGGAGGAATAATAAGTGGCAATTTCGTTTCTTTTTAGACCATTGTTGCCTTTGGAACTTTTTGAAAAGTTTTTCGGTTCTGATAGATTAACGTTACGCATACAAAACCTGCACCCAATAAAAGGGACGCATCACCGCATTCTTATAAAAATTAAAATAGCCCGGAATGGCCAAAAATGCTTGTTTTACGCTTAAAAATTCCAGCTCTGTAACGAAAAGTGTAATAGGTGTAATTGGTGTATTACTTTCGGAAAGGTAATAGTCGGTTGACCATTTTCGAGAGTGAATACCCCCTTGGGCATGCTCCAGTTAGAGCATACCATGTGCACTCTTCGATTTGGTGAGTAGAACCGCTTCCGCGCATGAGCAGAAGTTCCACGGGAAAGTTATTTTAAGAACACACATGGTCTTGAAGTGTAACCTGGAAGACGAAGAATAAAAGGGGAAGTCACACAAGTTAGGGTCTATGAGGAAATTACACGGCGATCGAGCTTCCGGCCTCATCTGCCCTGTATGCACTGGAGCGATTCTCACGTTTCGGGGTAGTTTTGGCGTCTCTGATTTGCCGAAAGTGAGAAATATCCAATTAAGTTTTTCTAAATATTGGGGTCCTGGATGATACTACAGTTATGGCAATGGTATTTATAGTAAAGACCTTGTACTACCTTCCTAAAAACATGAGCCATAAGGTATTCCCATACGTTTTAGTGGGTGTTTTGATCACGGAAATTACGTTATCACGGAAGTTACAAAGTGTGAAAATCGGCTTTAACGGCTGACTCGGGCTTGCTGTGGCTTAAAAGTCGTTCCAGGGTCAAATGATACTCTAAGGCCGACATTTAAGCGGAAAATTTTTTCACCTAGTGCTGCTGCAACATTGGGTAAAGGGTGCCACGGAAGTTACAGGTAATTGTTGATACACGCCATTTTATAATGCTCTAGCCCGCTTTGAGACCGTGTACAGCATCTTAGATTTCCGCGACCCATGCAATCACGGAAGTTACATTTGGGGTATTCCAAACGCTACGTAGACCAATCCAACGAACGTGAACTTTTCGAAATGTATGCGTTTAGTGGGCAATGGCCCTCCCTAACATCAGAAACAAACCCCATGTCGATATCTGCGCTCGTTTGGGCACAGGAGTCAGAAGAAACGAAGGGACTCCACTTTAATGGCTTGTGTCATGGAAAGTTAAAAGTTTGGCTCGGGGAGAAGTCCAGAGCTGCCTTTTCGAAATTTGTGTAGTGAAATTGAATATACGGAGGACATTTTTCGTTGCACCATAAGTACCTTTGAAAGAAGTCTGGCGTATTGGTCTTCGGTTGAAATCAGCTCGAGACATGCCAAGCTTCGAATCCCCATCGACAGTTGGCAGCATTTTCGAACCCCACCGCCACACTGGGGGCGGGAAGTTCGAGTATGTTCTCTTTGGACAATCACGGAAGTTACATTTGGGGTATTCCAAACGCTACGTAGACCAATCCAACGAACGTGAACTTTTCGAAATGTATGCGTTTAGTGGGCAATGGCCCTCCCTAACATCAGAAACAAACCCCATGTCGATATCTGCGCTCGTTTGGGCACAGGAGTCAGAAGAAACGAAACTACCCCGAAACGTGAGAATCGCTCTCCTGCGTCTTTCATTGGGACGGAAAGTCTTGAAAATTTTTTTGGGTTATCCTAAAGATGTATAGAAGAGATTTTAGTGACGGAATTTTCAAATTCAACTTCTGTCCTGAGATATGAGTTTTCAAATTTAAACATTAAAAAAAAGTGATTTTTTTTCCCTTTTTTCAAACTTTTAGGTGTGTTTTAAAGAAAAGTAGGGCTGATATCAAGATTCCGTCACTAAAATTTGTCGACAAGTCATCAATGAATAGAGTCCAAGCAAGACGACCCATGTAGGTGTCAACCAGGAACGCAGGAAGTCTTTCTACGACAAAATTTTTTGTCGACTGAGCAAAGCTGTGAAGTTGAGCGTAGAAGCCAACTACAACTGATCTCAATGTTATTTCCTTCCAAATTATAAAGAGACTACCCACTGAGCTTAAAGGTGTTCAACCTGTTGAATCTGAAACCTTCTATGCACATTTTTATCATGAACTTTGAAAATACTATTTTTTTGGAATTTTGGCGATTTTTTCACCAGGGTCCCCCTTAACACTCTTTTACGCCAATGGCGTAGATCGTTTTACATCCTTGGGAAGGGCGTGAATGGTACAGGACTTCCAAGCAAAATTTTTATGCCCTATCGAAAGGCATTAACAATTCACGCCACTTCAGGGGCGCAAATCGTTTACGCCCTTAAAGGGCATAATCTTAATGCCCTTGTTTCACCAGTGTGGTACTCTTAGAAACTGCCATTTATGACATTCGCTTTCATTCTGCGTCTACTCGACCAGAGCTCCTTGCAAAGTTCCTAACCCTAACCAAGCTTCCTTTTCAGAAGCACCACGTCCATTGAACGCCTGGTGACTACGTGAACCGACTTCCGCGGCACCACAAATCGAAGCTGACTCCGACTGACTCGTCTTGAACCTGTGACAAGACAACAATCTCAAGATGGAGTCTGGAGAGCCTCCGAAGAAGCAGCGCGCGACGCAGCCACCTGCGGACAGACAGGTGAGTGCAGCCTACCTTCACTGTGAAATTTGGGTTAATAGTCACTTCTGGCCTGGAGTGAAGAACAAGAAGAAGATTATAACCGGGAAACAGTTGCCAAATGACGCTTCTTTCTTGATGGCGAATGTTTACTTTCAATCCAAACAAACAAAGAAGCTTAATTTTAGGATAAAATTTGATTTTAACCTGCCGAAACTCGCGAAAAAAGGCCGATGGCTCGTACTGTTTCCGGTCAATTTTCTTCTTCTTCACTTCGGGCCCTGCTAGAGGTATCTATTGGGGACTTCGCGGTACTTTCGTGGATCATAGAACGGAAGTCATAACATGCCGTGCGTGCAGGGTGCTGTGGCCCCGAATTTCGAAGAACAGTAACGGAAGTCTTCAGTAGCGCATTCGCCGCTTATATTTTTCTTCTTTATAAATCCATTTCTGGCTTCTGTTTTCGTTGTGCGTCTTCCAGTTCAGTACGTAGCCTTGTAGTGGCCTATTGACTTGAATCTCGTAGTTGAATAATCGGTACTATCTGAGAAAATTTTCTTTCCTTTTTCTTCTTTTCACTGGTGAAACAAAGGCATAAAAATTATGCCCTTAAAGGGCGTAAACGATTTACGCCCTTAAAGGGCATAAATCGTTAATGCCTTTGGGAAGGGCATTAAAATTTTGCTTGAAATTCCCATACCATTTACGCCCTTCCCAAGGGCATAAAACGATTTATGCCCTTGCAAGGGCGTAAAAGAGCATTTATGCCCTAAAGGGCGTAATTTTTATGCCTTTGTTTTACCAGTGTTCCTAAATGGGGTTGAAACGATAACGCTCCACTTCCGGTAAAATGGTGACCGTGACTTCCGGTTAAGGGTCCACGAGAGAACTGAATGGAGCACTTCATTTTACCTTGAAACGTATGAAGACGAGAGCCCTGAGAACAGAGAGCTGAATTTAATGCTTTGTTTTGTTCTTCGCCTTAGCACTGAGAATCCAAACGCTATGGGTATATCGTCAATTTGTGCAATCTCAACGTGACATCACGTTGAAACGAACGTGACAAAATGTCGTCACGTTCGTTTGAGCATTGAGTTACTTTCGTTTGAATGTGAACAAGCTGATTTTTGGCCTATTCACACCCAAACTAATGTGACACAATGCTCAAACGAACGTGACATTTTGTCACGTTCGTCTCAGCGTCACTGATATTTCTAATGTGATAAGTTTCATACAATTTGCTGCGCTAAAAAGGCAAGTGTAATTGCTTCAAATAATTATCGCATCAGAGGCAGCAATAAAAAATTATCACATTAAAAATGCAATAAGTCTCTAAAGTTTTGGCCGGTCTGGGCTCAGGTTATCACAGTTTTGGTAATGATAACTACGCTAATAATGCGCTAATGCATTCAATAATTATTGCACTTACAATGCAATAACTTTTTCAAGGTGCTACTAATGCAATAAAAATGTTATTGCTTTTTAAATAAGTTCATTATTACACTTGCAAAATCAATGGTGATGTCACATTCCTGGAATGAGAGTGATGCAAAAGCATTGCACATGAAGTGCAATGCCTCCCCATGCATTAGCATAGGGCATTTTCGGGACGCATTGTACGTAAGGTGCAATATGGCTAAGGCATTGCACTTGGTGCGACATCTCAGCTGCTGCACCATACGTGCTTTACTCATGGCGTTTGGAATCTTAGGGAGGTCGCGTGGAGACGCGTCACTCTTTAAAGCTTACGAAGCATTTCCTTCACGACAACAAAGAAAATGAAGGCACGAGGTTGGTTTAAATTAGGGAAAAATGCTTTGCTTATGAAGGATTTTGCTTCATAATACGAAGAATTGCTTCGTGCAAAGCCTTCGTTTTCTTCGTTTCACCAAGCGATGCTTCGTAGGCTTTGTACTCCTGCAGAAATGCTTCTTTCTGCATGGGCTTCTTTCTGCAAAGGCTTATGGCGATGGTGCGTTGAGAAGGAAAGTGTAACTTAACAATGTTCTTTTCCGGTTTTCTTTTATAAATTCTTTTTTTTGCTCACAGCCAGACACACCTCTACAATTTTTGGAATGCTGCTCTGCTCCTTCCAAAGCTGCAACCAGTAATGGGTCAGTGATGGATGCATTCACTACTGACACACCTGAATCAAGTTTAATTTTCTATGAGTCTGGAATGCTGAATGTCGAGATAAAGGAAGAGGAAGAAGATATTTTGGATGAAAGCAGTGGTGATGAAAGAGTGAGTGAAGTGAAGGAACAAGCAGCTCCTCACAATATGAAGCCAATCCTTGACAGTAAGACTCCATTCAAAGACACAAAGTTTACCTGCCAGTTGTGCGGAAAAAGTTTTTGCAATAAATTCAGCCTTACCCGGCATAAATGGTCCCATTTAAATGAGACATCAACATGCAAATACTGTAACAAAATATTCAAAAACCGCGAAAGTCATCAGCGGCATGAAAAAATGCATGAGAAAGGAAACCGCTACCAGTGTCATTTGTGTGACAAGTCATATGTGTCCAGCACATCTCATGCAGCTCACGTTCGAAAACACACTGGCGAACGTCCTTACAAGTGTTCTGATTGCAATATGTCATTTTACCTTTTATCATCGTTTGAAAGACATTTTGTTAAACATAGTGGTGTGAAAGAATATGAATGTGAGATATGCACTGCCTCTTTCTGGGTGCCAGATGACTTGCGTGCGCATGTCAATCGAATGCATTAATGTCAACTTACCTGGCTACTGTAAAAGACCGTTTTCATCAAACTTAAATCGTTGTTACTTTAAAAATATTTTCATACATTTTTACGGTTAGGAGCTGTAATGGCTTTGATTGCTGTTGATCTGTTGTGAGTTGTTGATGTAGATTGTGTTGCAGTACTTTTGTAGTCCTTCTTAACTTTATCTGTTAGGAGGCAATATTCTCTTTTTAATTAAGTGACTATCTGTAACGATATCCTCACAAAGCTGTAAGTCCATACAACGCTTTGAGCACATCAAAGGGTGTTTGGGACTCATAAATTTGGAGGCACCACATGTTCAATATTTTCTGTAGTTTATTTTAACTTCGAAATAACAGGAAATTAACTTTGGTAACAAATATACCATGTTAGTTTTTTCCATTAGTTTCTAATTAAAGCCCAGCCCAATTTTGATCAAGTTCCCGTCAGCTTCATTCCACTGGGAGAGTCAATCACTCGCTGTAAAGCGGAGGATGCGAACCTGGCGTATTCCTAATGTCCTATCAGTCACAGAATATACTTGCTTGAATCAGCTGCAGGCACTAGGCACATTAACAGAACCCTTTACTCCACGCTCCACCAACTGCTCGTATATACTTTTTGGGTAAGAGCTAACATCAGGAGGCTTCAAACAGATATTTGATAGTTGCCGTTTCTTACTTCCGGTTCTGTTCTGCTACTTCCGGTCCGGAGCTCCTACCAAGAACTCACTGCAAAGCCAGTGGTAATATTGCTTGCCACGAATTTGGCAGCCGTTTTGAATGCCAAAATTTGGCAAGCTTGGGTCGGCACTCTTCATAAGCTTGGCAAATTTTGGCAAGCTGGGGAGTATTTCCGGGCCAAGCTTGCCAATTTTTGGCATTCAAAACGGCTTCACTGTGGCAAAAAGCTACGGAAAATTCTGTAAACAGCTTGTGGTAATTCTCCGTAGGCCCCTTATCAATATTCTCCGTAGGCTCTTACAGTATTTTCTGTAGGACCGCACAGTATTCTCCGTAGGACCGCACAGTGATCTCCGTAGGACTATACAGTCTTCGAGGTCCTACGGAGAAGACTGTGCGGATTTACAGAGAATACTGTGCGGCCCTACGGAGAATACTGTAAGAGCCTACGGAGAATCCTGGCAAAAATATTAAAAGGATTTTCCGTACTTTTTTGCCACAGTGTTGCCATTTTTGTGGCATGTAAACTTACCATGACATTGCAGTGCTCTCCTGTATTTACGAACGTTCTTAATCTCCTCGGTGCGGCTCCTCATACCGAGTCCCCGAAGAACAGCTTCCGCGCATTCCACGCTTCATTAACTGCTCATATATATTGCTGGCTGCAGCTCCTCTCCGCAGTGCCCTTTCCGCCACCGAGTAGAAACAGGGTACTCCAAAACATCTCTGCACTACAAATGCATGTGCTTAGTACACAGCTGTGGCGGTAACCTTGGGAACACAAATCTGAAGGACTGCCTGTCAAGCACACATCTACAGACGTAGTCGAGGGCAAGCATGCATCTATAGGTGTGTACTTGGGCAAGCATGCTGTGTACTTGGACCAGCTCACATCAATAGGATACTCCAATGAATCGTGAAGCGGATGAAGAGCGACAAAATTAAGCCCTAAACAATGCTTCTGCGCATGCGCAGACGTTCCCCACCACCCGATACGCACGCGCAGAAGCTGTGTTTGCGGCTAACTTTTGTTATTCCTCTTCCGTTTCGAGATTCATTAAAGCAGCCTATAGTAGTGGGCTTTCAATTGGGTGTGATAAATGTATGCTTCTGCTAGAACACATCTATAGATGTATGCGTGTCAAACACACTCCTACAGACGTATGCTCACCCAAGCATACTCCTTGTGTGCTGACAAGTACACTCCCTCCGCCTCCGATACCTGTGCAGTAAGAACACACGTGATCTTGCAGTGTGACGGGAGACGAAGAATAAAAGCGGAAGTCACACAAGTTAGGGTCTATGAGAAAATTACACGGGGATAGAGTATTTCGGAGCAGCCCTGGCCCGGAAGAAAAAGAACAAAAACGGAAGTTGGAAATAATGTCACTTTATATGAGAGAAAATATACGCTGCGGATGCTCATCCGTAGCGTATATTTCTCATATAAACTGCCATTTCTAACTTCCGTTTTTGTTCTTTTTTCTTCCGGGCCAGGGCTGCTCCGAAATACCCCATTGGGCTTCCGGCCTCATCTGCCCTCTTTGGCTCTCTTAGATCCCGCCGTTTAAGACATTCGTTTTCATTCTCCGCTTACTCGACCATAGCCCCTTGCAAGTTCCTTATCTAGCTTCCTTTTCAGAAGCACTGGGTCCACTGAACGCCTGGTGACTCCGTAAACCGACTACCGCGGCACAACAAAGCGAAGCTGAATCCGGCTGACCCGTCTTGAACCTGAGAAGACTAAGACACTAATCTCAAGATGGAGTCTGGAGAGCCTCCTAAGAAGCGGCGCGCGACGCAGCCACCTGCGGACAGACAGGTGAGTGCAGCCCTCCTTTACTGCGAAATTTGGGCTAATAGTCACTTCTAGCAGGGACTGGAGTAAAGAAGAAGAAGAACATAAGCCGGAAACAGTTGCCAAATAACGCTTGTTTCTGGATGACAAATGTTTATTCTCAATCCAAACATTCAAGAAAGCTTAATTTTATAATGCTATTGGATTTAAACCTGTCAAAACCCCCGAAAAAGACCGATTTCTTGTACTGTTTCCGGTCAATGTTCCTCTTGTGTGACTTCGGGGTACTTTCGTGGATCATAGAATGGAAGTCATGCCGTGCAGGGTGCTGTGGCCCGGAATTTCGAAAAACACTTACGGAAGTCTTCAGTAGCGCATTTGCCGCGTATAGCTTTCTTCTTTATAAATTTATTTCTGGCTTCCGTTTTCGTTGTGCGTCTTGCAGTAGCGTTTTAGTAGCCTATTGACTAGAATCTCAAAGTTGGATAACCGGTATAATTTGAGACAATTTTCTTTTCCTTTTCTTCTTAATGGGTTTGAAACGATAACGTTGAACTTCCGGCAAAATGGTGAAAGTGACTTCCGGTTTAGGATCCACGAGAGCCATGGAGCACTTCACTGAATCTTGAACCGTAGGAAGACTATCCGTAGCGAGCCCTGAGAACATAGAGCTGTATTTAAGGCTTTGTTTTGTTCTTCGCCTGAAGTTTCAAGATTCTATGGAATGCTGTGTAAGGTCGCGCGGAGAAGATTGAGACCGGAAGTGCACATGAGCGTCGCTCGGCCGTGCTGGGCGTTAGTGTGGGCCACTGAAACCATGTTCCGAGATTCCTTCCGGTGAATCCCGGTGGATTTTCCTGGCTATTGACGGAGATTCCTGGAGATCTAGGCGATGGGGATGGTTTTACTTTTTATAGGTTGGGCATATGCAAGGTACAAGCCATTTAGATTGTTTGATGAAGAATTAGTTTGTGTATTACAATTTCAAACTAGCTTGTGCATCATGTCCGGGGGGGCGCATGTCCTCGATCACTGGTTATCAGGGAATGTGACGTCAAGTTCGTTCAAACGTGAATCGTGTCACGTTCGTTTGAATACTGTGTCACATTCGTTTGAATGTGAATCTAGCTTCATCCAGACCCGGGACCCGCGGATTCGCGTTCAAACGAATGTGACACAGTATTCTAATGAACGTGACACGTTTTCATGACCGTGAAACGATTTCACGAACGTGACGTCACATTCCCTGATTCCCAGTGAAAGATTACCACCAATAGTCCACGCTACACGGTAAAAACGGTACCTGGTTTTCCCAGGAAGCCTATGGAAGAGACATACACTGTTATTCCTGGGTGTTCAATAACTAAGCGCCTTAAGGCGTTTGCCTCAAAAACCTAGACGCCTTGATGCGCTTAGTTACTCAACGCCTAAGGCGTTTAGTTACTCAACGCCTAAGGCGTTGAATTACAAGACACCTTTGCTTGGCCTGTACCCACCACAACAGCAGTGGGAGTACTAATGCAATACAAGCTGCCTCTTTCCATTGCCTCAAGGCGTCTAACTACTATACGCCTTCCAAGGCGTTTAACTGCTAGACACCTTGGAGGTGTGCAGAGGCTGAACAGCTTGACTGTCTTTGAATACAGCCATGCCATCCCTTGTTTGAACCAAGGTGTTTAGCAGCTACGCACCTTTGAAGGTGTCTTACCATTAAACGCCTTGCAAGGCGCGCAGCAGTTAAACACCTTGACACAATGGGCCAGGGCAGCCTGCACTGCTAATGTATGCATGGAGATTTGTCCATATTTTTCCATTTGTTTTAATAAGCTACACATACCTGTCAAAAATTAGTTTATGATGCTGAGTTGTCAATATCCAATTAAGGATGGAGACAGCTGTTGTCAATACGTGTGACCAAACCGCAGAATGTTTTTGTCAACGAATAGCAGTCATCACTTACTATTGTCCTAAAATTAACTTGAGTCTTATTGTTGGTTGCAAAGTAAATTAACACAAAGGCGGCAATATAAATTTGGCCTTGAAGGAAAGAAGCACAAATATAAGTCCTTTTCTCCATTGTGAAGAATCCACAATGGACCAGGCGCTGGTGAGGTTGGGCTGCCCCAGTAGATGGAGACATTTTCAGAGTTTAGAGGCGTGTCAACATATGTGACGCACTGTCACATCCCCTTCGTTCGATTCGATTCATGATTTCACTGCCACGAAGCGCTCAAATTCGTGTGCAACAGTCTAAAAACGAAATAAACCGAGCCAAGAAGCACACACGAACTCGCACGTAAACATTTGAGACGCAACAAAACAAAATGCTGCCAACCTATGAAATGAAAAGACAAGAACGAAAAAAAAAACAGACGTTCTTTTCATTTCATAGGTTGGCAGCATTTTGTTTGTTGCGTCGCAAATGTTTACGTGCGAGTTCGTGTGTGCTTCTTGGCTCGGTTTATTTCGTTTTTAGACTGTTGCACACGAATTTGAGCGCTTCGTGGCAGTGAAATCATGAATCGAATCGAACGAAGGGGATGTGACATTGCGTCACATATGTTGACACGCCTCTAAACTCTGAAAATGTCTCCATCTACTGGGGCAGCCCAACCTCACCAGCGCCTGGTCCATTGTGGATTCTTCACAATGGAGAAAAGGACTTATATTTGTGCTTCTTTCCTTCAAGGCCAAATTTATATTGCCGCCTTTGTGTTAATTTACTTTGCAACCAACAATAAGACTCAAGTTAATTTTAGGACAATAGTAAGTGATGACTGCTATTCGTTGACAAAAACATTCTGCGGTTTGGTCACACGTATTGACAACAGCCGTCTCCATCCTTAATTGGATATTGACAACTCAGCATCATAAACTAATTTTTGACAGGTATGTGTAGCTTATTAAAACAAATGGAAAAATATGGACAAATCTCCATGCATACATTAGCAGTGCAGGCTGCCCTGGCCCATTGTGTCAAGGTGTTTAACTGCTGCGCGCCTTGCAAGGCGTTTAATGGTAAGACACCTTCAAAGGTGCGTAGCTGCTAAACACCTTGGTTCAAACAAGGGAAGGCATGGCTGTATTCAAAGACAGTCAAGCTGTTCAGCCTCTGCACACCTCCAAGGTGTCTAGCAGTTAAACGCCTTGGAAGGCGTATAGTAGTTAGACGCCTTGAGGCAATGGAAAGAGGCAGCTTGTATTGCATTAGTACTCCCACTGCTGTTGTGGTGGGTACAGGCCAAGCAAAGGTGTCTTGTAATTCAACGCCTTAGGCGTTGAGTAACTAAACGCCTTAGGCGTTGAGTAACTAAGCGCATCAAGGCGTCTAGGTTTTTGAGGCAAACGCCTTAAGGCGCTTAGTTATTGAACACCCAGGAATAACAGTGTAGGCGATTTCCAGGGAGTTCTTGGGAAAACCAGGAACCGTTTTTACCGTGTAGGAAACGTGGCCCAAGCTGACAGTAAATAGTTATTAACTATTGTAGTCCATATCTATGGCCATATGTGTACATAGGCGAGTAATATACAATTTTATCAAATTAAGGACAATTTTTCCATATTGTACTTATTCATTTTTAACATATGTACAAACTTCTACATATCTTTCCTATATGTTTAAATATGGCCATTCTTATGAACAAGAAGTCCTTGAGAATTTAGTATGGATGCTTCGCAGCGTTGAATTCCTCACAGGCTAGCCATCCACACTTGCAAGTGTGGAAAAAAGCCACGTTTTTAGCGTGAACTTTGTTCGCACGTGGATTAGCAGTGTATGCTGAATTCAGTGCAAGCTGTGCACTTAAAACTTCGTGCAAATTCAATGCATCTGATTTGTGCTCGCGCAGGATGGCGACGAGGCCAGTGTGCGCTGGTCGGAGCTGCCAGCCCGTGCGTTGGAGAAGACCCTCAGCCTCCTCTGCGCCAGCGACGTGGTGTCTGCGGGCCAAACTTGCCGGTCGTGGCGGGCCGCGGCCAAGGAGCCCGGCGTGTGGCAGGAGCGGGACTTGGCGTACTCGACAGTGTACGAGTTGATGGTCTTCATGGACTGGCCGCTGTCGAACGGGCTGCGGCACCGCGACGCGCGCACCTTCGTCCGCGTGGTGCGCTTCGCGCCGTGCCTCCACTGGCTCAAGACGGCCGAGGTCATGCTGCCCGCGGCCCGCAAGGCGCTGACCAACTCGAACATCAAGGTGAGTGGGACGCAGAAATGTTTCTCTCTTTGCCAAAATTTGAAAGCATTTGCTTCATAACTACAAAGAGCGCAGTTAAAACGGTATTTAGTTTTCCCGGGAAGCCTATGGAAGAGACATAGGCGTTTTTTATGGAGTTCCTGGGAAAACCAGGGACCTTTTACCGTGAAAATGAAGGCATTGTAAGATTACTTTGTATGAAGAAATGCTTCGTATTGCAAGGGATTTTGCTTCACAATACGAAGCACGCCCTCGTAGATTTTACAATGCCTTCATTATCCTCGTATTAGGAAAGCGATTCTTCACACTGTGTTATGGTGATTGTGCATTGAGAATTAAAATGTTACGAGGAAAAATTTGAGGGGGTCGTACCTTTTAAAGCTTTTGGATCGCCCTTTGGTCAAAATAGAGAGAAAGAGTCAAGGACCCAACCGTAAAATCGCCGGCCCGTATGGAAACAACGTACTATGGGTTTTTCTCCTAAAACCTCAAAACCAAAAAACTGTCCTGAACTACCCCCCTCTTTTGTTTCTGCCGTTTTCGGCCGTTTTGCTTTCGTTCCGACGGGAACTGTGTTGCTCAAATTGCAAGGTTTGTTCCTGACGCTCTCTGTTCCTCGCAGTTGTTCGGCATCGAAGTCAACGGGCGCTTGGCCTGGCCCGCCAAGCTGCTGTCGCAGAAGGAAGAAGGTCTGCAGGAAGTGACCCTTGTCAACCCCAACATGGGATGTCTCCTCGCTGCCCTTCGCTGCCGCGACTTGCGCAGCCTCAAGATGAAATTCTGCCAGGACAAGAAATACACCTGTCCTGTGCTTTCCAAAGACGTGCGGATCGAGCGCCAGAACCCTCTCAAAGGACTAGTCTGCGACGGTGGCGTAAGTGACCACACACTGGTTTTAACTATGAAGATTTTTTTGTGGACAGCAGCATAAAACTGAGTGTACGCGTGAAACGCAAAATTTCATGCGTAACAACGCAGACTTTGGGCTTGGTTTCGCACACTCTCGTGCATTATAAAACGCACGTAGAATTTTGTGCAAGCTGCAGCTTCACTGCAAAGCTAGTGGTAAGTTTGCTTGCCACAAATTTGGCAAGCCGTTTTGAATGCCGAAATTTGGCAAGCTTTGGTCGGAAATCTTCATAAGATTGCTAAATTTTGGCCAGCTGGGGGTATTTACAGGCCAAGCTTGCCCATTTTCGGCATTCAAAACGGCTTGCTAATTTTGTGCACTGAGAAAACCTTACAAACTATTTTGGGCCTTACAAAGAAACGTAGTTTGTATAATAAAGTATTTTGAGCACACGTAAGCTTGCAAAGAAAATACGTCGTAATTTACGAACTATTTCTTCGTATAACAAAGTATTTTAGTTTGTTATACGTATGCTCAAAATACTTCGTAAGGATTTAAGAGTGTGGCAAGCAAACTTAAAGTGAGAATGTAAGAGTCATGATCATGACTAAAATTTTGGGTGAGGAATTCTTTATTACCCAAATTTGGATCATAATACTATGGAGCCTTATAGGGAGCTGATACACCCTTCCTCACCCAAATTTGGGTGAGAAAGTAAACCTCGCCCAAAATTGGGTATTGATCATGACTTTTTCATTTTTAGTGTACCACCGGCTTTGCAGTGTTAACATGGTGTATAACAGTGCGTATAGAATGCTTTTCCACTGATGGCTGGGCACGCTCTGCGCGCAGGCCTTCCCCGAGGCTGTGAGCAGCTTGATGGAGCGCTTCGGCGACACACTGGAGGAGGTGTACGTGTCCTGTCTGCCGAGCAGCGCCGCGCTCGCCCGCTGCACGGGTCTGCGTTCGCTGGGGGTGAACCTCGCCCCGGCGTCGCCTGAAGACCGCGAACAACTTCTGGCTGGCCTCCACGGGAAGCAACTCGACTTCATCGTGTTCAAGGCAGTGTAAGTAGCGCCGTACATCCAGCAGCACACGCTGAAAACCTTCCGAAGAATTATTTTGAGCATACTTTGTTCGTACTTTAGTACGGAAATGGTACAGAAAAATATAGTACGGAGGTACGGTGAAAAGTACGGAACGTCCGTACTTGCTCCATACGAACCCATGTGAATGGGTTACGGAAAAAAAGTACGGAAGTTCCGTAGTTGGCAAGTACGGACGGTCCAGGCAAATTATTGACCAGTCATGTTCCGTACTTTTTCTGTCCTTTTTTTCTCACAGTGTATGTAAGGTACACACTGTTTAGTGTGTTTCACGAAGAAATAGATCGTTATTTACGAAGTATTTTCTGTGTAAGTCTATGTATGCTCAAAATATTTCGGCATACCCAGCTATCTTTGTTTTTGTAAAGCTTAAAATATTGTGTAAGGTTTTCTGAGTGCACACTACAAACGGAACGAACTAAATGGCTATGTAGTTTTCTGTGCAGAAGCTTTGCACAAAATTGAGCAAGTGTTTTAAAACGCACGAATTAGTGAGTATCGAAGCACGAAAATGTGCGTTATTTTTCATGGATTGGTGCATTTCGGGCGCATGCTCAATTTCATGCAAAAGCTGTGCACAGAATTACACAGTAATTTAGTGTGAACTGTCTACTACAACTGCACACACATTAATGCATGTGTGGCGCCGCATAACTCGATGCTACGCGTAGGCATTTGTGTGTACTTGCCAACCATGCATAATGATAGTGTGTACTTGCACTCATAAGCTTGCGAAGCATTTGCTTCATAACTAAACGAAGAAAATGAAGGCATCGTAGAATTGCTTCGTATGATAAAGAAACCCTTCGTATAACGAAGGATTTCTCTTCATAATACGAAGCATTTCTTCCTACACTGCAAACCTAACTGTCTACTAAGTACACACTTACAAATGCATGCTCGCAAGTACACACTCACAAACGCATGCTTGGCCAAGTACACACTAACAAATGCATGCTTGCAAGTACACACTTACAAACGCATGCTTGAGGCCGTATACTCCATGCGTCAAGCATGCGTTTGTAAGTGTGTACTTGGCCAAGTATGCGTTTGTAAGTGCGTGCTTGCAAGCATGCATTTGTAAGTGTGTACTTGGCCAAGTATGCGTTTGTAAGTGCGTGCTTGCAAGCATGCATTTGTAAGTGTGTACTTAGTAGACAGTTAGGTTTGCAGTGTAGATTATACAATGCCTTCATTTACTTCGTATTACGAAGCGATTCTTCGTGGAGTTTTAACTGTGTGGCCATGTAGGCGTTTGTAAGTGTGCAGTTCCAAGCATGCATTTTGTTAGCGTGTATAATTTAGTGTCAATGCTATGTTAGTTCCTTATATCTATATCGAGGGGTCCTATTCATAAGATCTTATCTGGGCGTCCCCCCCAAGACAATCTTATCTTAAACGCAGGTGAATTTCACATAGTTTGATCATTTGGTACAGCTACATATCAATATAATTTGTGAGTTTGTTCAAGTAAATCTAAAGATGGAAGATCACAGAAACCAAACGTGCATGTAGAAATATGTTTCGCTTACCGTCGTATTTATTCTGATTGATCAAAATGAGTGAAATTTGCCGGTGTTTAAGATAAGATTGTCTTGGGGGAAACGCCCAGATAAGATCTTTTGAATAGGACCCGTCGATATCAGCAAATTTTGAGACGGGTCTGATCTCTGTTGCAGGAAAGACTGGGACCGACACCCGAAAGAAGGCTGCAAAGCTTTTCGCCAACAACTGCAGAAGTTCGTTCGTTCAGATGTCCGGTGCAAGATGTGTGCCTAAACTTTCCTCGGCGCATTGTCGCCTTTTGCCTTAAATGTTAACTTTTGTTTTATTTTTAACACTTGAGCATGCTTTTGCTATCACATAAGGTCAATTTATATTTTGCTTTTATAATATTAGGCGTAGTCTTGCCATCACTTAATGTCAATTTTTACCAGGCCCCTCCAATATTAAGCGTACTCTTCGAGTGTTTGTGTTTGTCTAATGTTCTATGTTGTAATTTCATCTTTCTCTTACGAAATAAATGATTGACATTGCTTTTCTGTTCTATTTCTGGTTCATTCCATGCCAGTTTGACGGAGCTCGGACGAACAACTTGTCGGGGACCATTGCCTTTGTGAGCGATTGTCTGCCTTAAAATACTATTCGAAAATGCCATTTCACTTTAATGCAAATCTGCGCCGGTCCGAACAAGCCCGTGGGTGCACATGCACTAGTGAACCAAAGCCATTAAAACCACGCCCTTAACTGGTTTTTACCATCAAACTTCCTCTCTCCTCTCTCGACCTTTTATCATGTGGTTACTATCCAACGAACTTCGACACTGAAAAGCCACGGATGCGCACTTGCCACCACATTCGCTAGCGGATGCCGTTGGATCGCCTTTCCCTTGAAAATGAAAGGACTATGAACATCGATTAAATCGACGTTTCAGGGAGAGTTGGTGCCGACTCATTAAATATAGAAATGAAAAGGGCTAATTAAATAAAAAAAATGGTTTAAAAATTCTTGTAGGTGTATAGGTATGTAATGTTGCACTAACTTAAAAGTGCATTCTTCATATTTCGCTTCTCCAAAATAAAAAATACAAAAGCACACATAGGACGTAGCCAAAACTCCCTCCTCGCTCCTCGGGGATTTAGGAATGAATGGGCGACCTCTCATATTTGTAGAAGAAGGCAACGAGGCAAACAGTTTGGTTGATAATTTATTAACATAGTTAAAGGCTATTGGGAATAACAAGAATAGTGCTTGCTAATGTAGGCAAAAATTTCAATAGAAAAGACCTCTCATTCTAGGAAAACATTTGTAAAATAGACAAGGATAAAATGGGTCGCAACAGTGGGCACACTAAACTATGGTGGTGTCGATGAACATTTCGAATACGCCCTTGGCGATATCGCTGTGCTTCACATCGCAACCGGATTCATCCCGGTGACTGAACAGGACGACCCAAGACTGGTCATGAAGGTCGTGGCAGGCGTTCTCGTCGCAGAACTCGCAGCCTGCTCTTTCAGTCTCTCCGCGTCCCATAATGAAATGCAGCCGGGGATACCTTCGAAGAAGTTTTTGAACCGGAAGGCTGTGAGCTACTTTGTGCTGGCAATCAGTTGACGGAAAGTGGACTGACAGCTTCTTGAGTCCAGGCAGAACCCGGCCGTCTAGCGTCTCCAAGAAGGCGTCCGAGGGGGAAAAGAAATAAATCTCCAGGTTGGTTAGGTGCGGCAGGCGGTGCAGGATGGACGCCAAGGGCATCAGGGATGGCACCGGGTCGCTGCCGTCGTTACTGTCGACCAGCACCTCCAGGCTGCGCAGCGCTGCCGGGGTCTTCCCTTCGCCCAGGCCCAGGAACAAGTTCTCCTCTTCGTGACTCACATTGTAGAAAACCACGGACAGCTCCTTGAGGCGCGTGGCCACCGTGCGCAGCAACTGCCGCGCCCCAGCCAGACGTGCCACCACCGTTGGTGTTTCCAATGAGGTGTTCATGAGTTCGAGGTGGAGGCTCTTCAACTGGCACTGCTCAAGCAACGGCATGTCAGGCAGCAGATGGCATTGCAACTCCCTCAAGCGGGGCATGGAGGCCAGCAGGGGTACCACTCGCCTGTCGTCCGTCCACACCGACACGTCCTGGAAGAGCGGAGTCAGCAGTTGAAACACTCGTTGAAACATTAATTTAAAGTTAACTTTTACTCCATCGCTTTGAGATTGTTTTTGTGCAGACGCTGTTTTCATTTCACTTCCTTTTGGTACACAGCAAACCGATGACAAGGTCCCTAGTGTGAGTAAGGAAGGCTTCCTCACCAAATTTTGGGCGATAAAGCGTGTATCAATAGCGAACTGACTTTAAGTCAATCTAACGAACAAAATCTTACAAAAAGATAATGAGGAGATAGTACTTTTAATTGCTGTGTAAAATACTTTTTAACTAAAGATCAAAAGTCAGTATCAGCCTGAGAGTGAATATGGCTTGATAATATTATCAGCCAAATGTGGGTGATAAAACTATTCTCACCCCACCAAAATCTGGGTGGTAAAATTATTCTTACCCAAATTTGGGAGGTAAAATTACTCTCACCCGATTTTGAGTGGAAAAGAATACCTCATCCAAAATTCTACACCTCATGATTGATTATGACTCTTTCATTTTCAGTGTGAAGATATGTCCTTAGGTCAAAACAGTCCAGAACAGCCCTAAAATCGGTCTTATTTGGAAAGTTCCGAAAAGCTTGCAAACAAAAGTACTTTGCAATACGAAGTACTTTGCAGCACGAAGTACTTTCTGTCTTTGTATTACTAACTCCCTTGCGAACTTTTTTCTTCGCATTGCAAAGAAATAGTTCGTAAGTTGCGAAGAAAAAAGTTTGCAACGTTGCGAAGCATTGGTCTGGTTTGTAAATTGCAAAGCATTTTCTTTACAAGTTTCAAAGAAATACTTCGCAATCCAAAGAAAAGTGCTTGTAAGAGAGTTTGCAATACAATGACGGAGAATACTTCGCAAACGTCTTTTTAGTGAACACGCTGTCGCACAGTGGGCCAGAAGACCGGTGAAGGTGGAGAAAATTCTAGACGCGTTTTGAGCTCTAGAGTCACCAAATGGGATTCGAACCGAACGTGTGCCCCACTCACTAATGGTTAGCTCTCCGAACAAGGAAACCATTGGTGGGGTCACACGTTCGGTTTGAGTGCCATTTAGCGACTCTGGAGCTGAAAACGCGTCTAGAGTTTTGTCCGCCTCAACCGGTCTTCTGGCCCACTGCGCGTCGCCTAACCTCCAATGTGGGCGCGTGCCTCTCCAACAGCAACAGCACGCAGGCAGGTGACTGCTCAAGGTCGGAGAAATTCAGTCGCTTCAGGAACGCGGGCACTGGTATCATTGCAGAACGAGCTTGGCGAACGACACGGTCATCCACGTTGAAAGACAAAGCCAAGGACTCCAACCCTGGGTACATTAGTGGTAATGTCTTTGATTCGACACACTGCAAATCCAAGTGCGGGACAGGCATGCACTCGATAACGTGGGTCAAACTGTCCCATAGTAAGGGTGGAGCAAACCCGGACAAACCATTGTCCCACACTTGTAGCGTAGGATAAATCCGTGTCCCCGTCCCACGCTAACAAACGCGGGAGAGTTTGATCCACGCCTGTCCCGCACTCGCATTTGCATTGAAGTGTAACTACTCACCAGGAGTGTGGCATATTTGCAGGAGCAACGCGCATAGACCTCGCTCCAAGTGTTGTCCATTGGCACTGTCGTCACCGGGGCCATTGTACAAGCTCAAACCTACTTCCTTCAACCGTCCCAGAGAAGCCTGCCTGCAAAAGTAATCCCTAGGGATTACTGTACAGCTGTACAAGAATACTGTACAGTACAGTCCTACGAATAACAATGTAAGGTCCTAAGGAAAATACGGAGAGGGTAAACACTCGCGTAATATCCTGCACACAAAAACCGTGTATTACGCGTTGTAAATGAGAACACACGGGGGCGACCACTCTAGAAATCTTGTGTCCCCAAGCGCTAGAAATCTCAGTAAATCTGAAATCTTACCCCTAGAAAGGACCCAAAACAACCAAATGTTGGGCGTAATATCGAGTAAAATCTTGCGAAATCCGGCGAAATCTTGTGTCCCAAAACATCCTATGTGGTCGCCCTCTCGTGAACACAACACCATTTTTTGTTCCGATGTGCAAAATTATGGCATTTTAAGGCCTTATACACGTGTAATATGCTCGTAATACAGGGCAACACCGAGAAGTCTGTACACGATTTCTTGAAAGGTTTTTGCCCTTGGAGAATAGTATGAGGTCCTGCGGAGAATTCCCTACGGTGAATATTGTCAAGAAGGGCTACGGAGAATTATTAAGTTGTCTAAAGAATTTTCCGTAGCTTTTGGCCACAGTGGTGAGCAACTACCAGCGTATAGTGGTCCAGAAGACCGGCATGGCGGCCAAAACGCTGCGTTTTGAGCTCTAGAGTCGCTGTAAGGGACTCAACCCGAAAGTGTGACCCCACCAATAGATGGTTCATACCTTTGATGGGGTCACACGTTTGGTTCGGGTCCTGTTCAGCGACTCTGGAGCTCAAAACGCAGCGTTTCGGCAGACCGCGCCGGTGTTCTGGCCCACTGAGCAGCGTACCTTGACAGTAACAGTGCCACATGCCAAGCGTCCGATTCTTGAAACGAGATCATTAATTCGAAAATGGCGCAGGATGACGAAAGGAGAATGTCCCACGCGTCGGTCTTGTAGGAATGAAGGATGATCAATCGGCGCAGGCAGGGCGCAAGGCTCAGAACAGCGACATAAAATTTACTTCTAAGTAGAGAAGAAAGAAAAAATTACACAATCTCACCTGTGACACCTATTTAAAAAAAAACAACACACACACACAAACACACACACATTTACGACGGTTCTTTTAAAAGCTTTACCCTAATTCGGCACGACATAAGCAGCACCCGGGACTCCCAGGCCCACCCTGGAAAGTGGAGTCTATTTTTCAAGAGCAGCCTGAGAACCAGGCGCTGCTTTTCTCGTCAGTGGATGGGCAAGCATAAGTTAAATTCGCTCAACTAAGCTGCATAGAACACGGTGAAAACGGTTCCTGGTTTTCCCAGGAACTCCTTGGAAATCGCCTATGCCTTCACCATCGGCTTCCTGGGAAAACCAGGTTCCGTTTTTACCGTGAAAGCTAAAATAAAGGCCAAAACCGCAAACTGGACATCACTTCGGATTAAGGCTTGCAAGAGAACATAACGACTAAATTAAATGCCAATCCAATCACAATGTCCCATTCTTGCTGGTATTCACTTCTTTCGATGTGCGTACTCAGTTCCAATCCCCTTGAGAGACAGCGTAACAATCAAGTTATTTTCCCTGACTTCAAAATGAAGTTTGCGGGAAGAAGTTGTAATAAGTGATACGCATGCTTTTTTAGGCACGAAGTAGCCTTATAGTATCCCCCAGGATTCAGCCTCGCTGGGATTTGATCGCGTGGCCCCTTATGCAAGTCGAAACCTCTCTGTACGATTTTGATGAGATTTTGCAGACTGGTAGAATTCTGAGACGTGATTTCAATTCTGGAATATGGTTGAAATCTTAGCGATAAATTTTGAGAAAATTGCCGTCAAAATCACTGTTTCCATAGCAAAGCTCGACTCGTCAACGAAAAGGGAAGAGAGAGGGGGGAGCCGAGCCAAACCCAACCAATAGCATGGCTCCTTTTCGCTTGTGTACAGGTTACCCCAAAAACGGTCGCTGCTTTGAAAAAGGACGTTCGAATAAAAAACTTTCCGCGACCGTGATAGAACAGATGTAACAATAGCACAAGAGGGTTTTTTGGACGCAGTCTTTTCATTGGCACTGCCTGATGAAAATTTTTAATGGGAATGTCTTTGCTCATGCGCGGAACATTTGTTTGATGTTTCTTTTCATTCAGTTAGCACGATGACCACATCGCTCCACCTCGCGATTTTCAGTGCTCATGTTCCTCGAACAAGACTCACCTGCGATTCGAAACCATCCCTACTGAGTTTATAAAGTTTGTCAAACCAACCGTCGTGGTGTTATTACGTTGTGAATGAGAACTATTACACATAATTGAAGAAAACATGACTAGAGAACCGCCTTTTGAAACAAGCCAAACAATTCAACGTCAGCAACAATGGCGGGGCAGTTTTAATGCGCGACTACTCGTGTTTTCGGCTTCGCTATTTTCGCAAGGGCGCAGTTGCCGAGAAGATTGTTGCCAACCCGTGAAAGTTAATTTACTGCCTCCTTTCCCCCACGAACATTTTAATAATGATTGACTTCAAAGATGTTCCAGTGTGGAATACATTAGCATTGGAATTTTTCAAATTTTACGGCATTTTGATTTGATTTCTTTTTGTTGCCAAGTTTAAATTTTGACGGGTGGCACATCGACCACATTGATACCCTTGCCATTCGTACCTAAACCACCCCCTATCCCTTTTACACAACTTTTTTCCTTTCTCCACACTCCTACACAATAACTATATTGACTTCGTGACTCCTAGGATTTCTTGAAATCGTATTTTTAGGCACGAAGTAGCCTTATAGTATACCCAGGACTCAGCCGGCTCGAGATTTGATTTGTGTGGCCCTTTATGCATTTCGGAAGTTTTCTATACGATTTTAATGAGATTTTGCAGACTAGTAGAACTTTGAACGCTGATTCTGATGTTGAAATCTGGTCAAAAATTTGGTGGCCAATTTTGAGAAATTTGCTGTCAAAATCGCCGTTTCCATGGCAAAACTCGACTCGTCAAAGGGAAAAAAAGGGAGTGGGGGGAGCCGAGCCGGGGCGGACCAATAGCGGAGCTTCTTTTTGGGTCTGTACAGCTTACTCCAAAAGCTGAAAAAGCAACGTTCGAAATGAAAAATTTCTTTGACTGCAGGTAGACAAGATGCAACAATAGAATTGGTGCCGGTTCGAACGCAGTTTTTCGGGTAGAACTATCCAATAATACTTCTTGATTGGAGTGTTTTTGGACATGCGCAGTGTTGTTGTTGTGATTCAGTTAGCACTAGGACCACTTCGCTCCACCTCGCGACTTGCAGTGCTCATGTTCCTCGAACAAGACTCACCCGCGTTTCGAAACCATCCCTCCCGAGTTTATGAAGTTTGTCAAACCAACCGTCGTGGTGTTGATACGTTGTAAGGGAGAACTATTACACAGAATTGAAGAAAACATGACTAGAGAACCATAGCCTTTTGAAACAAGCCAAACAATTCAACGTCCACAACAATGGAGGGGCAGTTTTAATGCGCGACTGCTGGCGCTTTCAGCTTCGCGATTTTCGCAAGGGCGCAGACGCCGAGAAAATAGTTGCCAACCCGAGAAAATTAATTTACTGACTTCTTTCTGCTAAGAACATTTTAATCATGATGGACTTCAAAGATGTTCCATTGTCAGAACACTGCGGAATACATTAGCATTGGAATTTTTTGAATTTTCCAGCATTTTGATTTCTATTTATTGTCAAGTTTAAATTTCGACGGATGGCACATCGACCACATTGGTACCACTGCCATTGGTAGTCCCCTGAGCCACAACTTCACAACACCACTTCTTTTCTTTCTCCACACTCTTACACAATAATCAAATTGACTTCGTGACTCCTAGGATTTCTTGAAATCGTATTTTTTTTCTTTCAAAATGTTTTTCTTAAGTCCATTTAACTTTTGAAATTTGACGCACCTGGGGTCATAGTCTAGTCGCCTGTTGAGCCAAAGCGTCGTATGCAGTGCCAATAGGCTCCACCGGCGGCAAACGGAGCGGCACTGCAGCAGCTGTTCAGTGCTCAAGTACTTCAGCACCTCCAGCAACTCACTGTCCGGCAACGCACTGATCTCCATCTGCGGGTCAGAGAAATGTAGTACTCGATGGGAACTGCCGACTTTTAAAGAGAGCACACTTTACACGCAGTAAGAAGCAAGAAGGAAAGACATCAAAGAATGGATATCACATGGGAGGGACTCGTTCTTTACAAAGCTAGATTGATGTGTCAGTCGCTGATCGTTACATGAATTGTCCTCTGACGATTTGTAATTTTGCCTTTTAACGAACGCTTCCGGTTGGTTCTCCTCTCAGGCAGGAAACATCGATGCATCGCGATATCTCGAGATATCGATTCTCGTGCAAAATCGAATTTACACTTGAGTCCGTGCTAAAAACCTGCTTTTTTCCATGACAAAAAACCCTCAGAAAGACACATTAATTTTAGAAAACAGTCGAATGAAACTCATTATTTCATCTCTCATCTCGAACATAAGACATGCAACACCTTCAAAAAGAAATTCATTAAGATGACACAGCTTGCAGTTCTGAGATATGTATCATGGTTATGGTCAAACAATGTTTCGTTATTACCAAATTTCTCAAAATTATCCAGTCACTTGGAAAAAACCCTCCTAGATTTTTGTTGACCAAAGACGTCTTGTCGTTCTATTTTGCGTTTCAGTGCGGCGTTCTACATCAAAAGATACAAACGCTTGAAAAGAGGTTAGTTTCACATAATGCACTAAAAACGTCTCTCTTTCATGTTCATTTTCTCAAAATTTCTCATTGCAAGTAAAAAAAACTTCATTTACGATCGAGCGACTGACACTCCATCTTTCATTTGATACCACTCTCATTTTCCCACATGCTGTAAGATCTGAGATGAGTAATGTCCCCCCAAAACTGATTTTAGAACACAATACTCGTTCTCTTCACATAGCGTTTTGTATGTTTGTGTGTGGTGTGTAAAGAACGAGTAAAAATTCGGGTTATTTCGTAAACGCACGAGGAATCTTCAGTCTAGCACTGAGTAAGCAATAACACTCTCGGCACGTTACCGCCTTTTTTTCTCAATAAGTACATGTTCGTTTAGGCAAGGATGATACTTGGTATTTTTTTTTCTAAGTAAGGCCAATTTTTCTTCTTGTAAACTTTTTGATGAAAACAAATTGTCTATACGTTATTTGATTAAATAATTTCTAAGTTGATCTTTCAGAAACGAAAAGAGCGTGTAGTGGTTGAGCAAAGTACTTGCACACGTACAAATAAAATGTGCAAAAAGTCAGTAACGCGCTGAGTGTGTATTCTCAAAGGTACTCCAAATAATCTTGAAATGAAAGTTCAAAAGTAAGTCCTAAAAACAGTCAAGGGGGACCAAAATTGTATCACCCTCGGGTCGGATGTGCTTTGATTTGCAACATCCAAGGGACTCGGACAAAATAATATCCCATGTCTTTTAGTGTCCAGACTTACGGTCCAGGATCCACGGAATCACCCAGGAGGATATTTCGGAGAGGGGCTGGAACGGAAGTCGAGTACAAATAGAGAAGACACAAGCCTGACTAATGTAAGCGTTGCGTTACGCAGGCGACAGAACTGGGTCAGACGCTCATTCTCATAAATTCGGCATTACTTCCGTCTTCTTCATTTCGTTTCCACGTCCCTTTCAGCGCTTCCCCGACAATCAGGAACAAGAACAGAGTCTTTCATCACCCCGAACATATCTGACCCTCTTACATCACTCTCTTCAGCGCAACGGGTGCGTCAGGCAAGTGGGTAAGTTCGGCCGGGTCCCGTGAGTGAGCTCTCCTCTGATCTGACTTGCCTTCCTCCACGTGATCAAGACTCGGGACGCTGTACCCAGGGAAGTTGAACGGACACTGACCGCACGGACGCAGCCAACTACTACACTGGCGAACTACTTACCTCAACTTCAGAACAGAAGAGACTGACGACTGAAAGTCGAGAAGAAGCCGAGCTCGACCTTAACAGTCCAGTAAGAGCCACAGGTGCGCACCAGGAAGGACAAGAATCCCATGCGGCTGTAAGGGCCAAGTTGTGAGTAGACCGTCAGTCAGCAAGGCTGAAACCAGCGTCTGGGCATGGGCCAGACACAGATCCAGAACTTTCAGGGGCGCACTCAGCTTTCACGCAAACTGAGTTACTAACCGGAAGGAGGCTAGGTCTTGCCCGAATCCGCAGGGATACTCCGACGCGACTGAAGACCGGAAGGACACTTATCAACCAGGATTTTGTAACGAGCTGTCGGTGTGAAGACAGCTGGTCGTTGGTTTAAAGTAAACGTAACAACTTGAAACACCGTCGTTGATTGGCAGGCAACGTTCCTGAATCAACAATTGGGCAGATCGAGATTCGTTCCGACTTCCGGCTGCGCCAGAGCACCTTTTGGGACATTCCACGTGAATCCAACGACGGTTTGGAATCGAGGTCCTCGGATTTCGACCTAAGTGGTATCAATCGATTCGGTATCGGCCCCTGACTCACCATGTAAATTTTTTTGAAAAAATTTTGAACGGTTTAGTTTTTGCACCAGTTTTATGGTTTTAAAAGTTTTAAAATAGTAAAAACAAAAATTTTTTTTCAAAATTTTTTTAGGTGTTCTTTAGGGTTTAGGAATGAGGGAAAAGCATTGAAAGTTGTTTGAGAACCATCTGGGAGGTTTTAAGGGTAGTGAAACCGGTGAATTTTGGTGAAAATTTGACAAATTTCACCGTTCTGAAAATATGTCATCATGGATTTTGGCCAAACTTTTTTTTTCTTTTCCTCTACTATTGGTGCATACTCCCTTAAGAGGGTTTGGATGGCCCGCCACAATTTTTTCTTCTGGAGCCTATAACATGTCTAATTGCGGCATATTTTTCCCTTTAATTGACTGTTTTTTTGTCGTTTCTCTCATGCGCTTACTTGGTCGACCATGCAGATCACTCAAAGTAAGGATATCAGGGCCCAACACAACTTCTGATAGCTAGCTCTTCTATATGCAGACTTTTAGGGACCCATGCAATCATTATCATAGTTACTTTACACAAATTTATTTTATTTTGAGCACATTTTCACTCATAGATCTCGACTAACCTGAGACATGGAGTTTTGAAGTGGACAAAAGTTTAGTGACAACTCACTATTTAAGGATGGCAAGATTCAGAAATTCTTAATGGAAAGAGTAATGGAGTTGAAACATGTGCTGTACTACATAAAGTCCCCTTCGAAACTCCGTGTCTCAGGTTAGTCGAGATCTATGAGTGAAAATGTGCTCAAAATAAAATAAATTTGTGTAAAGTAACTATGATTGCATGGGTCCCTAAAAGTCTGCATATAGAGGAGCTAGCTGCCAGGAGTTGTGTTGGGCCCTGATATCCTTACTTTGAGTGATCTGCATGGTCGACCAAGTAAGCGCATGAGAGAAACGACAAAAAAACAGTCAATTAAAGGGAAAAATATGCCGCAATTAGACATGTTATAGGCTCCAGAAGAAAAAATTGTGGCGGGCCATCCAAACCCTCTTAAGGGAGTATGCACCAATAGTAGAGGAAAAGAAAAAAAAAGTTTGGCCAAAATCCATGATGACGTATTTTCAGAACGGTGAAATTTGTCAAATTTTCACCAAAATTCACCTGTTTTACTACCCTTAAAACCTCCCAGATGGTTCTCAAACAACTTTCAATGCTTTTCCCTCATTCCTAAACCCTAAAGAACACCTAAAAAAAATTTTGAAAAAAAATTTTTGTTTTTACTATTTTAAAACTTTAAAAACCATAAAACTGGTGCAAAAACTAAACCGTCCAAATTTTTTTCAAAAAAATTTACATGGTGAGTCAGGGGCCGATACAGAATCGATTGATACCCCTTGGGTCGAAATCCGAGGACCTCGATTCCAAACCGTCGTTGGATTCACGTGGAATGTCCCTTTTATGTTATTGAAATTTTATATCATGAAGTCGGAACCTTCCCTAACATTGGCTTTTGATGCTGGTCGATTGTAAGAGACCAGACCTCGCCGGTGTAAAGTACCTTTGACGACTAGCCCAAATATCTGGGAGAACTCCAAGTCATCTCTTGGCGTACCAAGATCCTCAATGCCCGGCGGCGTCTGAAGGTACAACCCACGGCGCTTGACGCGGGTAGTGAACACTCATCGCGCGAGTGGAGTTCGCCTCGCCTGTGTGATTTCGATTTAAGTTGTTCTGACCTTCTTCCTAAATCGCAGCTTGGTTCATCCGTCAGCAACCCTGCATTTGCACTCGGCTGTCAACTTATTGGCCTCGACCGTAAGTCCTTACCTAGTTTGGACAACCTCTGGTACGAAGTTACGCTACTTAACAGGGAGGGGGCACTCGACCTGCGTAACGCTGCGGTTCTTTCGGTGAAGGGGATCGGGTATAGCGTAGTATAATGAGATCACATTGCTCTCACATGATATAAGAACTTTCACGTGACGCTGCACGATAGAGGAATAGAAGCGTTCCAGGCTAGCGTAACGCCAACGCCGCGCTTGGTAAGAGGTGTTCTAAACTGCGTAACATACTTTCCGAATAGCTCTGAGTTTTTCCTCAAACCTTCGTCTTCGCTCGCAATCCAATAGGGTATTTCGGAGCAGCCCTGGCCCGGAAGAAGAAGAACAAAAACGGAAGTTAGAAATTGCTGTTTTTATGAGAAATATACGCTGCGGATGCTCATCTGGAGCGTATATTTCTCATACAAACTGTCATTTCTAACTTCCGTTTTTGTTCTTCTTCTTCCGGGCCAGGGCTGCTCCGAAATACCCTGTTGGGCTTGGCCTGTGATTCTGTCTGGAGCTCGCGCGAGCTCGCGTGAGCTCGCGCTACCTTGACTCGCCCAACGAGGCGGAGACGAGTCTTGCTTTGCTCTAGAGCCAACTGTTAGATTGGTGGTCTCTCAAATTTCTTCAAGGTGTTTGATATCGTACCTTCGTACTGAATCTTTATGTCTCACGTTTTCGTAGCCGAGGTCCCATAAATCTTCTCAGCGGAGTTGGAAGCTCAAAACACTTCAGTCAAGGTACCGAAACGAACACCTGTAACTATTATCATCAAATCGCGTTTCGGCTATTTCGCCAACTCCGATCCGTGGACTAAGCAAATACACCGGAAGGCGCGACTGAACTTTCGTAGACGGACAGAAAGGATCACAGCGAATCACAGTGACACTGAACAGGGTACCTTCGTGAATCCGGTCAAACCGGAAGTAGACTCCGAGACGGAAGTAGAATCCGGCAAGTTGTCAATCTGGCCTTTGTTAGGCAATGCTCCGGCCGGCCGTACTCGCTCAAATAAGGTACTTTAAGGAATTTTGAAACTGAAGATAAGAACAAAAGTAAGCCCCAAGAAGAGCTTCAGAAGCTGTATTTACGGCTTACTTTTGTTCCTCTTCCGTTTCAAGATTTAAAGACTATTTCAGCGGACTCGAGAAGATGAGCAAGAGTCGACCGGGCCGTTTCCGGTTGGGTCTCATCAAACAGGCTATCAACCGGCGGTTGTAATTTCATCATATTTACACCCGAATGAGTCTTTGATATTATGTTTCACCTTTTGAAATGCTGTACAACTTCCTGAAAGAGATTTTCTGTGATATTTAATTTATTTGTCGTCCGTTTGTTGTGACCCAAACTGAAGCGGCGCGCTCGTTTTATTCTTATCCTCGGGTACGTTCAAATAGTCGATTGGAGAGCCCTCTTCGCTGAAGTGCCTTAAATGACAATTTCAAACGTGGTGCGATGAGGTCCTTCAGAGCTCTCTCTTCGGCACTGGTTCATATTGAGATGCGGCGAGCTGTTCTGCTCCAGCATTTACACCCCATCTGGCTCATGATCTGGCTAATGGCTAGCCAACGTTGAACTTGTCTAGTCGTCTAGCGATGGTCAAAAAGGAGAAAATCTGAACTACCGTCGACTTCCGTTTCTTAAAAAATTTTTGAGTATTATACCGAGCGCTGCCATAAGTGTACTCACACTCATCCTCGTATTGTCTTTTTGTTCTTGGCTTATGAAGAACTTCGTGCAGCAATAGCGCCAAGGGGATTTTATTTCATACTACAGACAAATTTTTCTGTTACATTGTGTTTAAATTGTCTTCTGCACCACTGAGCTAAGGGATAAAGGACAATTTTAATTCTACGTAACGGACAAAATAGTCTGTAGTAAGGAATCAAATCCTCTTTACGCTATTGCTGCACAAAATCCTTCTTAAGCCAAGTATAAAGAGTCAAGTCAAAGGATAGTGGCGTGTTCATTAGTGATTTACCCCTTTCATTATTCCCTTTCGTTTCTTGGTCTGTCTAAAAGCTCGGTTGATAATTTGCTTCACTTGAACCTCCTCTTTTTCAGGTTCTCCAGTGAGTTTTTATCCGAAGATATCATGGAGTCCGCCATGTCTGCTGCCAAGAGACCCAAGCTGTCTGGGGACGCTTTGAAGTCGGTAAGTGGCGCTGTAAATTATTATTTTTTTTATTTTTTTTTTTTCAAAATCGATTTCTTCAAAACTTGATTTTCCTGGAAATTGGTTCGCCTGGAAATTGATTTGCCTGGCAATTGGTTTTCCTGGAAATTGGTTCGCCTGGAAATTGATTTGCATGGCTATTGGTTTTCCTGGAAATTGGTTCGCCTGGAAATTGATTTGCCTGGCTATTGGTTCGCCTGGAAATTGATTTGCCTGGTGGTTCACCTGGAAATTGATTTGCCTGACTATTGGTTCGCCTGGAAATTGATTCGCCTGGACATTTATCTGCTTGAAAATTGATTCGCCTGGAAATTAATTTGCTTGGAAATTGATTCGCCTGGAAAATTAATTCGCCTGGAAAATGATTCGCTCCAAATGTCGCTTATGCTTCACCGTGCAGGTTCAGTTGGGGTAATTTTGGGACACGGGGTTAAAATGAAATAGCCGTTGTTTCTTGATCAAGATTTCATAATTGATACGTCATGGTCCCATTGTGAAGATGGCTCTCTGGAAACCTTACGAACCATTTAAGCCTTGCGAAGTAAAGTAGCTTCATATAGCAAAGTATTTTGAGAATACGTAAGCTTTCAAAGCAATTAGGTCTGAATTTAAGAATTGACTACTCGTATAATGAAGTAACTTAGTTTTTACTGTGCATGCTCAAAATACTTCGTAAGTGTTTAAGCATGAACATTTGGAATGGCGTGAGTGCTAAAACGCCAAATCTGGATCAAGAAACACACTGCAAGAACGAAAACTGTGCAATAAAAGTGCAACGAGAATCGTACAAACCATGCACTCTCAGCATCTCTATGGACTTTTTTTCCAATATATCTATAGTAAAAAGAAATTTACTGTAGTCACAGTGAAATTTACGATCAGCCGTAGTAAAAATATACAGCAAACTAACTGAATACCTTTTATTGACTTTATCTTCTGTAAAGCACAGTAAAAACCTACAGAGAAAAATAACTGTGTGAATGCAGTAAACATTTTTCATGAATATAGTATTTTTTACTGTAGATTATGGGAAAAGTAATGTGGTACTTATAGTGAAATTATACTGCGTGTACCACGGTAAAAGATTAATGAGTTAATTTAAGTGGCCTAAATGGGCATTTATTTGCAGCAATTGATTTGTATTGACAAGGCGAACAAAAAATGTCAAGGCATGACATAGGTTTGGATGGGAAATAAAGAAGTTATTGAACACATTTTAGCACTATCGAAGTTCCCAAACAATTCCAAAATATTTTTCTGTAGACTTACAGATTAACCTTTCTGTGCATCACAAAGAATTTTCACTGTTGTTGTAGAATAGTTTTACTGTATGCACAGACAATATATTCTGTTGTCATTGACATTTTTTCTCGTATCTGTCCACTGATGATATTAAATTACTATTGCTGCAGAAAATATTTGTCTGTAATACTGTATTTTCCTTCATGAAATTATCTGCAGCTCACAGAGATTTTTTTCAGCAAAATACCGTGATTTTTTACTATATTATAGTTACGCTCTAAAATCACTAAGCCACAGAAAAAAATTTTCATAATATAGAATGAAAAGTCTATAGAAGATTGAGAGTGCATGGTTCGTCGTTCGTCGTCGCCTGCGCCGCCACGCCGCCTCGCCGCGCCAGTCCCCACTCCTCACAGCCACCCCCTCCCTCCTTGCCCCCTCTCTGCCCGGCTTCCCCGGCCGGTCCACGGCAAGACCGCTTTGCTAAGCTTGCCTTAGCGGAACTTTTTTTTTCTTGCAGTCCAGCTGTTCTAGCTTACCCTGAGTGCCAAAATAACCCCCAACTGACGCTACAGTAACAGTGAAATCGTTCCGTTTCAGAATGGAGTCGAGCCGCAACCTGCCTTGAAGTCGCCCCCCGGTGCCGCCATTGATTGGGAGGCCAAATGCCGGCTACTCCAGCTTGACAACGCCAGACTGTCGGAGCAGCTAGCCGAAGCCCAACGACAACTGCAGGTTCGTTCGACCCTTCGCGATACTTGCCAATAAAGTTAAAATGACTGTGCAAATTTTCACCCTGTAAGAGAGGGTGGGGCCAGGGGAATATCACTGAGGCCCTGTAAGACAGGGTGGGGCCAAGGGGTAATCACTGTGGTACAAATCCAATGAATTTCATCCAAACATCACTGAATTTCGGTCTAATACTACTGAATTCTGAGAAGAATTTCGATGAACTTAAGTGAATTTAAGTGAATTATAAGTGTTAAGTGAACTTTGATGTTCAATATTTGGCTGCAGTTATTTCCCCTGGGCGCGCTGTGGCGCAAGCGGTAGCATGCCGAGCTGGCAATCCGGGAGACCGGGGTTCGGTTCCGGAGAACGCAGTTCGGTTTCTCCGGGTGTTCGGGAGTACAGGAGCGACGGAGCGAATGTGTAGGAACGAACGGTCGTTGAGGTTCAAATTTTGTTTATAAAACGACAAATTTTTATGATTTTTGCATTGCAGAATTCTGTAACCGGGAAACAGTTTACCGTAACGCGTGAAACAAAATTTTGTATCAGTGCTGATACAAAATTCTGAAACATCTGTAGTGGAAATTACTGCATAACCATGTTACAGAATTTTGTATTGAAATTTTTTTGAGTGATAGTGTAGTTCGTAACTAACACCCATATTTACTCGATGGGAACTCCTGAAGGACATTCGAGTTTGACTTTTCGTTCAAGGATCGGCAAGGTCTTAGGAATAGGTAGAGGGACAGTTGGGGAATAGGCTTTTGTAGAGAAGAGAGTGAATATTCAGATGGAATTTAGTAAGAACTGCCGTCATTTCCACCACCCGGGTTTTAAGGATTTCAAATCGACAAGGTCTTTCACACAGTAAGAGAAAAGAGTGAAAATTGATAATTCTGTTAAGAACTGTCTCATCCTCCCTTGCTTCATTTCTCACTTGAGGCATGTAGTTGCAAAAACCTTAAGGCTAGTAGTATGTGCACACACTAAATGTCATGGGACTTTTTTTGTCCCATGAATGATGCAATTTTAAGCACATCCGGTGGTGATGCAATTTTGTGTCCGCCAGGCGGGACAAATTGTCTAGTAAAAATACAATTTGCAGCGGGCGTCGGACAAAATGTGTCGCCAGACGGGAACAAAATTGCATCAGCGTCGGATGTGCTTAAAATTGCTTAAATCGTGGGACAAAAAAAGTCCCATGACATTTAGAGTGCAGTTATTTACCAGAGACATGCGTTCCTACAAATCGGTGAATGGGCAAGGTGTATTTTCTGGCTTCAGTCTCAGTACAGGCCTTTGGCCTTTGGTTTTTGCCATTGTCTTCTCCGACTTCATTCAAACACATGATCAACACAGTCGGTTCCTTTCCGTTCCTTCACTTAATAAAATCGACGTCACAGATTTTGATGGTTTTAATGAATTTCCAGCTTAAATGTCAGGGATAGGGTGGGAGTGTCACTCTGGCGTGAGAAATTTCGACAACCAACCACAGTGAACGTTTTCTTGTTTCAGAAAGCCTCCTCTGATGTTGCCGCCAAGACTCCATCTGCAGCCCCAGCCAAGCAGAAAGCGCAAGCGGTGAGTCGACTTCGTTTACACACTAAACTCTAGTGGACTTTTATTTTCATAATTATGCACTCAATATGCATGCACAGATACGCAAGTAAGATGGGTATTGTATTATGCATCACTGTACATTTTAAGCATTTTACATGATCTAATGTTCACTGTGATGCATAATATGATACTCATATTTCTTACTTACCTGTGCATGCATTATTATGCGTATGAAAAACAAACAAGAACTTACTGTGGAAGGAATACAATTTTTTGTACCCACCAGATGTAGTTGTTCAATTTCGTGTGTTGTGTCACAATTTGAAACGTGCGAATTTCATTTGTGTATTACAGTTTGTAAGTTACAAGTTGCACGCTTAAAACCTTTTGGCTGGAAACTTCACTCTCAGCACGTCATTGACTTTTTGCTCATTTAGTCAGTACCTACGCAAGTAATTTGTTCAACTGTAATACGTACTTTTCCTTTATTAAAGAATTACTTAGGAAATATTAACTAATGTGCTGATAATTTCGTATTGTGCATAATACTGCAAAGGCAATTTAGTCATACTAATTTGGAAAATACTCCGTTTTATTGCTGTTTATACGAATACGTAAATAATGAGGAAAAGGTCAGTAACGTTTTGAGAGTGTTGAAATTGACGGTGTGTTGGTTCCGGCGGCAGGCGGTCGCGCTGGAGGTGCTGAAGTACACCGCGGAGCAGCACACGGCCTTCCTGCGCGCGGCCAGGAAGGCGCCGGCCATCGCGTCCCTGGACCTGTCCGCGCTGCGACGCACCACGTCGAGCTACGCCGCCAACAGCATGGGCCTCATGGCCCTCTTCAAGCCGCCCAAGTGGCGCCCGGACAAGAAGGTAAGCTGACACACTGCTTTGCAAGGAAAAATGTGAATAGTACAACAAAAGTACAACGGAAACTGTACCTAAATCACACTTAATTCTTGTGTGAGGCCTGTCCCTTATTTATAAAAAAAAAATACTACACGTTTAATTCTTAAGGACTCTTTGTCCGTAACTATTGTTTTGTGCATATGTCAGGTACAGTAACAGTGTATTCGTGCTCAAGGATACTGTAAAGTAAAATTTGGATAATAAAACTCGGAATCGGAAGTTAATTGCGTGCCCCTAATTCACTGAGATTCTAAACGCTATGAGTATAGCAGGTATCGTGCAATGCAGCTGAGATATCGCACCTTACGTGCAATGCGTCCCGAAAAGGCCCTATGCATGGGAATTGGGAGGCATTGCACTTCATGTGCAATGCTTTTGCATTGCACCAATTGACGCTATACTCATAGCATTTGGATTCTCAGTATTGGACTATCATTTAACGGATGATTTGGAAAATTTCCCCGTTAATTTTGTGCGAACTTTTTCGTAGCTTCCGCTTGCACGACAACACGTCAAAACCAACGTCCGGGTTTCCCAGGCGCACCCTGGACAAACAGCGCCTTTTTCCAGGTTGTGCCTGGGAAACCCGAACGTTGGTTTTGCCGTGTAATGGCCATATAGTTATGGCCAATAAATGTGCTTAAACATTTAGTGTGCCGAGGCCGTGTGGGTCACACGTACGGGTCGAGTCCCATTTAGCGACTCTGGAGCTCTAAACGCGTCTCGAGTTTCGGCCGCCTCCACCGGTCTTCTGGCCCACTGTGCGCTTGCCCCACTGACTCGGTCACCTGCAGGTGGACTCGGTGATCGCGGCGCTGACGGCCGGCCCCGACGACGTGCGCCACCTGGACCTGGGCGACGCCGAGTGGGCCACGGACGACAAGTACGCCAAGGAGCTGGTGAAGCTGCTCCGGAAGTACAAGAAGACCGTCACCAGCTTGAACATCACCATGCGGGCCCTGGTGCAGCCCGCCTCTGCCAACATGAACAAGTCTCAGGTATGCTACACTGTAAATCTAACTGTCTTCTAGGTCACGCGAACTCATACTCCGTGGCATTCAAACGCTTGCCTTGGAATACTAGAATTGAGTACACACTACTTCCAGTTGCACATTTGGCCAAGTATCGTAAATGCGGGTAATATGGACCACCAGCGGGTAATGTGGACCACCCCTCAAATTCTTCTAAATGATTGACTCGAGCCAAGTAACTTACAAGTTCGGATGCTAGTGGCCGAAACGGTTTTCCATGCCACAGGTAGGCGGCATCACCGATCACGTAAAAGAGTTTTAGGGTTGGTCCACGTAACCCACCGGTAGTCCATTTTACCCGCTTTCACGGTACATATATCTGCTTCACTGTCCTTCGAAGTGTGGTACAGCCTACAGATAATGTGTGGTAGGCGCAAAACTGTGGTTACCCAAATTTACCACACGTGGAATTCCAGTCAATACCCCTAAAAATCAGTGGTCAGCAAAGTACCACCTAAAATTCATGGTGAATACCACAGGAAATAGGTGGTCAGTCCTCCATACCTCATAAAATGGTGGTCTTAACCACCCAATACATGAGGTAACGGCTAAATTATAGGCTTTTACTCCACTTATTTGACGGGCTGTATTTCTTACCACATTTGTTCGTGTGGTAGAATGCGGTAACCACACTTTTGGTCTCACCACAGCCAAATGTGGTCACTTCACCACACTTTCGATTTCAGTGTTGCCTCCGGCGGCAACTCAAAGCTTCGCATACGCAGTGTATTAATTGCACTTGTGAAATTTAGGCATGGGTACGCTTCAAGCAGAAACTTCCCTAAGGCTTTACATAGGGGGATGTTTTGGTTATGCTCACCCTTTAAGATGGGCGAAAGATAATACGCTGGAAGAATGATGTACCTTCTCGCTCTTGTATTCCCTGCGTATATGGATCTAATATCCTATCATCACTACCTCATCTGCTAGCTATGAAAGTCCTGTCAACATGTGGGGGCAATTCTCGCTCCTGTAACAAGCACACACGAGTTCTGTGTCGTTGAAGTAGTTCCATGTAACTTCAAGCATTCATCTTTGTCAAATTTCATTGGTCTCGCTGATAGTTTTTCCTTACACACGAGATTGCTATGGATGTTTTTCTGCGCGCCAATGAATTAAACATGCACTTTGTAACGCATTAATTTGCGCGCGACAATGCACGATTTCGTGCGCGAGTGTGCAGAAAATCGTGCATTGTCGCGCACAAATTTGTGAATTGCAAAGCACTTGCATGTTTAATTTCGTGCATTGGCGCGCAGGAAAACGTTTTTAGTATGTGGTTTGAAGAAGATTCTTATCAGCGCACTCTTTCAGGCGAATGCCATCGACATCATCAGTGCCATGCCCAACCTGACGACCCTCGAGCTGACCGTCACCTCCGTCGACAACCACTTCAGCGCCTACAGCGGTGAATTCCAGACGCAGATCGAGCAGTTCGGCAACAAGCGGCCGAAGGTGTGCTTCGCCAAAGTCAAGGAAATCGAGCTGTATTTGACCAGGTAAGTAATTTTTATCTATGAACCAGTAACAATCATTATATTTTTAGTTTTAGCGCGTAATTGTGACACCTGCCAAATCTTCTCTATGGTTTCTCTCTATGGGATAGGCACACTCTTATGTAGCGTGTACTTGCAGGCACATATTCTTATTCAGCGTCTTGCAGGCACACTCTACTTAAACGTGCAAGGGGAAATAACTGTGAGTTTCGGTGTACATGTATAATGAATTTCAGTCAAATTTCGTTCGAATTTCGACGAAATTCAGTCAAATTTTGATGGATTTTGGTGAATTTTAGTGAATTTTACATGTTTGATAAATTTCATGGTGCACAAATTTGGCTGGAGTTATTTCCCCTTGTAAACGTGTGCCAGGCAAGTATGCTGTGAATGTGTGCTTGTAGGCATGCTTAAATAAGAGTGCATTACGTTCACACCTCGGTTCCTAGAGTGAACCCCCTAGACATTACGGCAATCAGTTGTACGCATTATTAATGTTACACGTCAAAAACAGAAAATTAGAACGTGTATGGATGATGATTTTTCAGATTTTAAAAGGTTTAACGTTATGTTACATTCATGTATTCACTTTTGTTACGGTAAGTTTTTCAATTTTGTCCGTTGGTCAAAATTATGTTTAGAATTTTTATATTGTTAGTTGAAGTTTTTGTTGGTTTACCTTTACTGTTATGCTATGCTAGAAGTTAGATGTCAGACCCGCCCAAACCGGTGGTCGGTCGTCTTTACGTAGTGTTCACTTACATGAATGATGGTAGTGAGGTAGGAGCGCGCCTTACCTCGCGCGGGTAGGCTGTGCCGCAACACAGACGTGCTCGACGGGCTGGCCCATGCTGCAGGCTGTTCGCTCGAAATGTCGCTCCAAACCTTGCTCCAAACTGCGCCTCGGCGGCGCTTAAATGAAGCGTAGAACTTCGCTTACGCTTGAATGGGGCGTAAAACAACACATTAGTTGTACCAGTGTTATCTTCCACTTCCGTGTTGTGATCTCTTGCGTTTCCCTTGCCCTCCCCAGGGACTGGTTCGACAATCAGTTCGGCAGCGTGGACCAGTTCGGCGAGTACGACGAGTTCAGCGACAGTGTGGGTGGCGGCGGCGGCCGGGAGGAGTACGAGGACGACCGGGTGCCCGACCTGCTGCAGCACCGCAAGGACGCCATCACGCACCTGGACATGACGGGCTTCAAGAAGACGCGCGTCGCGCTGCCCATCGTGGACCTGCTGGCGGGGCTCAGCAAGCTGCGCAGCATCGCCCTGCGCTCGCACTTCCTGCGCATCGTCGCGGACATGACGCTGCTGGAGTCGGTGAGTCCGCGGCTTGCGCACAGTGGGCCAGAAGACCGGTGCAGGCGGGCAGAATCCCGGACGCGTTTTGAGCTCCAGAGTCGCTAAATGGGACTCGAACGGAACGTGTGACCCCACCAATGGATTGCTCTCCGAACGAGGAATCCGTTGGTGGGGGTCACACGTTCGAGTCTAAATTATAGACTTGGACACCACATTTTTTAAGGATTCTAATTCTTGCCACATTTGTACGTAGGGTGGACTGAGGTAACCACATTTTAAGTCACACCACAGTCAAATGTGGTAAATTCGCCACACTTCCGATTTCAGTGTACGTATGCTCAGATTACTGTGTTATTCAAAGTCACTTCGTAAGAAAATTTTCATAGTGTGTTTTTGAGCGTCTCGACTGCGCGGTAAACACGGAACCTGGTTTTCCCAGGAGGCTAATGGTGAACGCTGTCATTCATGTTGCGATACTTTTACTAGAAATTTTTGCGATAAAACCGAGGTTGCCATTCCCACGATTTATCGCACCCTGGAGTGCGATAATTTTGTTATTGCAATTTTGTTGTAATAACCTCCCCGTTATTTTTGCGATAAAAGAGCGTTTTGAAGTAACTTTTACTACATTTTTTTGCGATAACTTTTTATTGCATTTCTTTGTAGTAATTATCGCAAGAAAGTTTTATTTTATTGTAAAATTTAGCTACAAATTTTTTATAGCAGATGTTAAGTTGTCATCTTGGCAAAAAAAAATGTTATTATTGCAAAATAGAGACGGTGGTTATCGCAGTCTGAATAACAGTGAAGGCATAGGCGATTTGCAGGGAGTTCCTGGGACAACCTGGAACAGTTTTTAGCGTGTGCCGTGGAAAATGGGAATGCAAGGGCCAATGCAACTCGGGTGCTCCCCCTGCTGCAGATGGAGCTCCACGTGGTGGGGGACGTGTCCGCCGCCACGGCCGACGGGCGCGTGTCCGGCGTGCTGGCCGGCCTGACGGAGCTGGAGGTGGCGGTGCCGCCGGCCGCGTCGACCGCCGTGGACGCGGCGCTGGGGGCGCTGGCCGCCATGTGCGCGCGCCTCAAGAAGCTGAGCCTCATCGGCAACGGGTGGCGCGACGCCAGCGTGGCCGCCATGCTGCAGGGCGCCGCCAAGGACTGCCTCGAGGTGGTGCGCCTCTCCAAGTGCGGCGGGGTGCAGGTGAGAAAGCCCACAGTGGGCCAGAAGACCGGTGGAGGCGGCGAGGGGTGAATGACTAGTGTACTCATGTGTACAAATTCGCCCGTACTCAGTGTACTCTTAACACGTTCGCTGCGATACGAGAACACGCGTTCTCGTATCGGGCGGGCCAAAACTGCGGTTCGAGAACATGCCGCCTCGTATTTTGCTAATTTTTTTTTTCTGGCCAGAACGAGGAAACGGGCATAGGTAGGGAAGTGAGACCAAAAAAATTTTGACCTACAAGGTCTCATGAAAATTTCGGCTGTTGTTTCCACGTCCTACGACCATTTTCGTACGAGAACGGTGTTCTCGTATCGCATTTTGATCAAACGGCAGTTACGAGAACGGTGTTCTCGTATCGCAGGATGCGCCTTGGCCAAATTATTTATCCGACGTCTCCCAATGTTGCCTGCAAGGGAAATCATTGTGAATTTCGGTGTACAAATCCAATGAATTTTAGTCGAATTTAGTTGAATTTCAGTCAAATTTCGATGAATTTTCACGAATTTCAGTAAATTCTAAACGTTTGATGAATTTTGGTGCACAAATTTGGCTGCAGTTATTTCTCTTTAGTTGCCTGTAGTGTCTTTAGTGCGTGGGCGAAGAATTAATTTTTGGCCATGGCGCTTCCTGCGATACGAGAACACCGTTCTCGTAACTGCCGTTTGCCCAAACTGCGGTACGAGAACACGCGTTCTCGTACGAAAATGGTCGCAGGACGTCGAAACAAAAACCAAAACTCTCGGGAGACCTAGCAGGTAAAAAAAATTTGGTCGCTCTTTCCTACCTGTTCCTGTTTCCCCGTTTTGACCGGAACAGAAATTTTCTCATACGACCACGCGCGTTCTCGTATCGCAGTCTGGACGCCGCGCACTGGCGGAATGGCCCATACTGCGATACGAGAACACCCGTGGTCGTATTTTTTTTATTTGCTCGTTGGTGTTTTGACCCCATGAGAAGTCGAATGGTATGTGCCCGAGCTTTGTGCGGTCAATAGTTTTCTCTGGGGAGGCCTTCGCAGTCTGGGCTTTTCCACCCAAAACCCCGTCGCAGCGAACGTGTTAAATTATAAAAGGGCGAAATTCACTAGTTTTTCGACCGATTTGGCGTTGAGTGCCGTTTAAAACGCTAATTAAAGCCTTAAAGTGTTTTCAAATGTGAAATTTATGAGTAAAGCGAGGTGTACTCACTCGTACTTATGTACTCATGTGTACACCAGAACGCAGAGTGATTCACCCCGCGGGAGGCGGTCAGAATCCGTGACGCGGTTTGAGCTCCAGAGTCGCTAATTGGGACTCGAACCGAACGTGTGACCCCCACCAATGGACTGCCTTTCAAACGAGGAATCCATTGGTGGGGTCACACGCTTGGTCCTTATCCTCTGAAGCGACTCGGGAGCTCCAAACGCGTCTAAATGTGTGGCTACTTCCCCCGGTGGGCACTGCAAGGATTTCCTGCCACACTCTTATGTTCGTACACACTAAATGTCATGGGACTTTTTTTGTCCCACGGTTTATGCAATTTTAAGCACATCCGACGTTGATACAATTTTGTTCCCGTCTGGTGACACATTTTGTCCGGCGCCAGCTGCAACTTGTACTTTCACTTGACAATTAGTCCCGCCTGGCGGACACAAATTTGCATCACCACCGGATGTGCTTAAAATTGCATAAACCGTGGGACAAAAAAAGTCCCATGACATTTAGTGTGTACAGTGAAGGTTCTCAATATCATAGTGCAATTTCTCTACAATATGATTGTGCAGCTTGCTTCAAGTTAGCTTTGAATTTTTTTTTTTTTTTGCAAATTTAACATACTTTGCCGATCTTCTTTGGTATTTTTAGCAGATGATACCTTTAGTACTTTAAAACGTACCTAGAACAATATAAAACACTTAAAGGTGTCAGCTAGCTTTTACTGGAGAGTCCCTAACAATAATGGGGGCTGGCTGCCGGGGCGGGCTGGTGAGTGAATGCGTGAAGCTCAGCCTGCGCGACGCATCGACAACTCCTCCTCCGGGTACAGCGCGAGCGGCGAGGGGCCATGCACTCGCGTAATAGTCGGTTCACTCTATCTGTAATAGCACGCGTAACAATGCGCGTAATAGTCGCGTAATAGCCGAAATTGTCAAAATTTTATCAATTTTGGTGTGTTTTAGGCCGTTTTTAGCTATATTCCGATTAATTTGTGGCGTAATAGAGCGTAATAGCGTAATAGTCGGTACACAGGTTCAGAGAGCGCATACCCCCTCGGCGAGCGGCACCGGCCAACAATGCCCTACCCCCTCTCGCACAGTCCCTCCCCGGTACAGCGCACAGAGCAGCAACAATGCCTCACGGCTCGGCACGGCCCAGCGCGCTCGGGGCACGGCGCGGCGGTGCATGCCACAGCTCGGCTTGCACCAACACTGTCCAGCTCGCTTAGGTCTATGTATTTTATTGGGCTGTCTATTTCACTTCATACACAATTATGAATAATCCCGAACTACTACCTAGAAGAAAACCAAACGAGTATCATCTGCTTTCATTACCGTTCGTTGAATGAGATTTTTTGAGTAAATCTCGCTCATGTTGCTGCTGCAGTCTTTAACAGTTAGACATTTTACAGTGCACGAAATTGTCCAGTCGTTTTGAATGCCGAAAATTACGGCAAGGCTCATCTGAAACGTTCCTTTGGTTGTTAGTACTTCTTGACGGAGATTGGGCGGTCAGGTTATCCTCTGTTCTTTCCATGAACGTTACGGTTTCCCGTTATACTTACGCCCTTGTATCTGACAGGATCGTTAAAGTTAATTTTGTCGTTAATTGCGCACATTTTTTTCGACATCTTTGGTTAAAATCAATTTTATCATTACTTTGAGTCTCTGTGTTGGGATAGTTATTATAGACTCAGAAAGGTTCAAATATTCTAGGAAAATTTTCAGTTGGATGGAATTTGTGATGCTATTGCCTACAGAAGGAAGAAAAGTCAAAAATTTTTGCAGTGTTTTTTCGACAATTCATTCTCAGTGATCATATATGACTAATATACAAGGAACATGCAGCCTGTCTACGAAGTAATATGCTAGAGTTGACGGTCCCTCGGTGTTCTTTATGTTGTTGAAGTCGAAAGTGTCCGTGGGTCATCGCGGCCGTCCTTTAATTCATAGTCTTTCTCTCGGCAGGCTCAGCACTTCCCCGCGCTCGCCAAGATGCCCTGCCTCAAGCACCTGTATCTCCCATTCCGACTGCAGGCTGTCTGGCCCGTCGACTCCAAGCGGCCGGAACTCGTCCCAGTGTGGGAGTGACCGTCGCCCATGTCAGTTTTATTTTGAGTAGACCGCAGTTTTTCCCTCGTGGCTCTCCTGCGTGTTTGACAAAGCTTAAGTTAAGCTGTTATCTCTAATTTTTCTTTGAAGCCTCTTTTCTGATACTTTGTCTAGCTGAAGAGATGACGTGTCAAATATTATAATTTTTAACTGCTCATTTATTATTTTCTGTCTACTTGTGCTTTTTCTTCTGTCAGTAAACTTTTCACATGAAACCCCGTCCTTGAGTTTTCCTTAGTTCCTAGGTTGTTGGCTTCGCCTTGTTCACAAGCAGCACTATTTCGAAAACAACAGTCTCAAATTCTGCCTGAGCTTCTGAGAACGTTCGCTGTACTTATTGGCAAGCGGGAGTGATCATACCTCACAACATATATAATGTGTAGGGTCAGTTGGGGTAATTATGGGACACGGGCTAAAAATGGGACAGCTGAATTTTAGTCAAGAATCGAGATTTTAGAACTTGTGCCGTAACAAATGTGCCGTAGCAAAACCAATAAAAACGTCACATTTAGTATGTCATGCGTTCAAAAATGTCAAATCTTGACTAAGAATCAGCTGTCCCATTTTTATCCCGTGTCCCATAAGTACCCCAACTGACCCTAGCCGAGGCGATGGGAAATCGTATTCTGAGCCGTTCTGAGCAAAAGTGAGCGAACAAAGATATAAATGTAAACTGAAACCATTACCACAACATTTCGAGGAAGACGGGCTCTTGCAATCGAAAAGTCGCACATTTTCTTTTCAACATGGATTGTGAGCAAGTCCACCTGAACACTGACGTGTATGTACCCGTTGAACGGAATCAATGAATAAGGGCAGAACAACATTTCCTTTCCAACGCGTCTTTTTTTCTCGATTTGTTCGTTTTTTTGAGCGGGCTTGCATTTTTTTATGGTTTTAAGTTTGACGGCGTCGCGGCACGTAAGGTACATGAGGACAGGGTACTATGCTGTTTTCGTTTGAATTTCTGTGTGTATCCCATAACTACTGAGATATCGTTACGGTGAGGTTTCAGTCAAAGAAAACCATAATTTTTGATAAAATTTCTATAATTTGAATTGCAAAGCAAGCAAACATTTCGATAGCAACCTTTGCTGCTCGTCACATATCCAACATTTGCGAGAGAGCAGTTGCATCGTTAACATCCAAGCGCTTCTGTGAGACAACTAGGTGTGAAGCAGATACCCAAAGCTATGCACATATTCTAAACTACTAAGAACTTAAAGGGAAAAACTCATGATTTTTTAAGAAAAAAACTGGGATTTCTCAAACACGTCAAATAAGTATCCTTGGAAAAAAATAGATAATTTCATCTTCGTATCAGGGATCTGTAACTTCCACAGGGTATTGTTGTCGGAAGCGCAAAAGTTACAACTCTTAGGTTATGTTTCTAGTTCATCGACTTTGTCATTGGAAGTGCTTGCAACAGTTTCATACCCTTAACCGTTAACGAACGTTGTCTTATATGTTACGTTAGGAAAGCTGTGAAAGTAAGATCTTATGTCAAGGATCCCTGCTTTAGATGTGTTTTTCTATACGTGAACGGGATGCCTACTCTACAAACTCAAGTGTGTACATAGTACCCTCCACCTGGAGTGTACTTGGCATGTACACTCCAGGTTGGCGTGTACTTGCTAAGTACATGCCAGGTGGCTCATACCTGCAGCAGGGAGCCAGCAACAGTGTACCTGAAGGTACACGCCAACCTGGAGTGTACATGCCAAGTACACTCCAGGTTGAAGTACACGTACATGCATGTTTACTCCAGGTGGAGTGTACTATGTACACACTTGAGTTTGTAGAGTACGTCCGATGGTTGAATACAGAAAGAGCTTCGTCTTCTTTGTCTTCAGCAGACTTCTTGCCCTTTCAAGGAGCCTGTGAAAAGAAAACGTTATGTAAAGGTTTGTGAAGTTTTTCAACCTATGAAAATATTAATGTTTGGAAAAGATATACGTTTCGAGGCAAACTACTAAACTTCATTCATAATCGCCCTTTGCACATGAAGTCCTTATTTTGTCTGTTCTTTTTCTCACCTTTTATCTGATCACTCAGCACGCATCCGCCAACCTTGCCGCATTAATCCTTAAAAGTGACCTCCACGCTCTCTGTCGAAAGAAATTCGGGCATGAAAGGCCAAGCAGCTCCGATAGCTCCTACCAAGCTTGCTCGCAGCGAACTCAAGGCTTGCCAAACAGTAAAACCTCTACGAAGAGTCGCTTCGGAATACGAGGAAAATAAAGGCGTTGTAAAACCTACGAAAAATTTCTTCGCTTTGTGAAGCAAAATCCTTCGTTATACGAGCAAATGATTCGTAGGCTTTTAAGAGAGCAGAGGCGGGTGATGCGTGAAACAACTTGAATTTCGGTGTAGGCACTATTCCCATGAAATAAGCTTTGAAATAACTTGAATTTAAAATAACGGCTCACACAATTTTTCGAAGCAGTTTGCCCCTCGGCGAGATGCCAAGGACAAATTTTGAGCATTTGCCGCACTGCGATTCCAAAAGCTATAGCCCTAGCACGTGCGGTGCAATGCATTTAGATATCGCACCGTTGCGTTTGCACGAAATCAAACATAAGGGCGGGAAATACACAAATTCACACGCAACAAGGCACACTTTCGTGCTTACGCTCAAATTCGTGCAGTTTATAATGCATGCTCAATTTCTTGCTAAGTTACACTGCAAAGTTTGCTTGCCACAAGTTTGGCAAGCCGTTTTGCCAAAAATTGGCAAGCTTGGCCCTAATCAACTCCCCAGCTTGCCAAAATTTGGCAAGCTTGGCCCAGATCCACTCGTCAGCTTGCCATAATTTGGCAAGCTTTTAAGGATTTCAGGTCGAAGCTTGACAAATTTTGGCATTCAAAACGGCTTGCCAAATTTGTGGCAAGCAAACTTAACCATGGTTTTGCAGTGTTTACAAACAAAACTGTATATTGTAATTTAATGTGATGCGTCCCTCACCAATTGGTGCATTGAAAACGTCCTCGAACGAATTGCACCAACACTCATTCCGGGAACGTGACATCACGTTCAAACGAATGTGACACAATGCTCAAACGAACGTGACATTTGGCCACATTCATTTGAACGTGATCTCACGTTCCTGGAATGAGAGGGAAAATCGTTTGGATTCTCAGTGCGCTCTATCGTTGGCGCACTGCACAGGTCTAGTTCACTTTGAGAAAAACGTGAAGTGTTTATTTTGTATCCTGAGAGAAGGTTTTCAGCACACCGTACGGGTGCTAAAAAGTAGTATCTGCACTGTTAAAAAAGGTTATACCCCAGAAGGTAAGCTAGTAACACAGAATTATTACGAATCTGACAACGGGCTAGAGTCCACTTACCGTTTTTGGCGCCAGTCGGTCCAGTTAGGTTAAAAAACCTGAAATAGAATAAGAGATAGGCAAGTAGCGTAGAGACATTGTAAAGTTGAATTCCAACAAAGTCTCCTCGTGAACGAAAGAGATTTCGTGAATGTAGTCATTAATCAACAATTTTTCAATATTGAACTGGTTGGTGGGTCTTCATTAAAAGACTTCGGCATTTTTTTTTTCAAGTAGCTACCCCACATTGCAGGGAAATATGGGACGACAGTCGAAGCGCTGATGTAAGGTCCCTACTATGCACAAAAAAAATCCGAAATTTGGTGGGAGTGTAGCCAAAGGGTCAATGAACCTGTGATTAACACCTCAGCACCTCAAATTGAAATCAAAAGGGTAAAATTCACAAAAAAAAACTTGAAATTTGTCTCATATTTCCGCGTTTTACGGTACCTTACTATGTTCAAAATACTTCGTAAGGTCTTAATCTCGTGGTGGTCTTTCCGCCCATTGTGCGACGCCTCGGTCAATGAAGGAGGTTAATTTCAAGTAGTACGAATGCAAGAGGATGCTCATGAAACAAAGCTGGTCTTAGTCATACCTGGTGAATACCCCCATCTCTCTGAACATCCATTCCGCAGATTTGTACGTGTCCGTAGGCTGCGGTTTCATTAGGTAGATAACCTTTCCTACTCCTTTTTGAATCATGCTTTTGGCGCACTCGTTGCAAGGGTGTTGCAATGTGTACAAAGTTGCGTTCTTCAAGGCGGGGCCAGCGCGCAGTACTGCTATCATTTCGGCGTGAACTTCTATAAAAAGGGAAGTATTTTAGCTTGTTAGACTACACTACAAACCTAACTGTATACTTCGTACACACTTAAAAATGCATACTTCGCCAAGTACACACTTACAAACGCATGCTTTTGACGCCGCACAACTCTATGCTAAGTATAGGCATTGTAAGTGTTTACTTGGCCAAGTATGCATTTGTAAGTGTGTACTAAGCAGACAGGTTTGTAGTCCAGCCTCCTGAAATAAAGAACTAAAACATAAGAGAATAGCTGAAACCCTCCCATATTTTTAATCAAGGGGCTACTGACTTCAATAATACTCCGTACACGACATCAATAATACCGATAATACTAGCTATTCTGTGTCTATTTCGTCATGCCGCGCGTCTATTCTGTGTCTAGGTTTTACTAAGGATCAAATCTGATTAAAACAAAATCAAGACGCTCTGCTTTGTGTGCCGGTGGTAAATGTTTACGTGAAGGTGTGAAGATAAATGATAAAGTTGCATTTTTGTCAAAAAAAAAAAAAAAAAAAAAAAAGATAACTGAAAATTTTCAAAAGTGCAACGTTTCTCTGTAGACGGTTTCTGTGATTTGTATTTTTACGTTGGAATGGACTACGGAACCATGTTTACTTAGTTCTCCGAAACGAGGTGGAATTTAGAGGCAATAGAAGTGGAACTGAGGTCTGCGTAAAGTCTTTATTTCGGTGGGTTATTTTTGGAGTTACCTAGAGATGGGGAGTAAAGTTGAGTTGATTATACATTAGATTCATAAAGACGCAAGTTGAGTTATCTATCTCGTTTTGCCATTTAGTGCAACGGAGTCATGTGGATTTGCCATGTTGAGTTACCTCCATTTTCCAATGAAATTTAGACCGTAAAAGGGGTCAAGTTGAGTTCTATCCATCTTTTTCATATGGCTTCTCTCCTAATCTGGTAAGACCTGGGTCCAACAATTTGATGTAACGATGAAAACCATCCTGAGGCACAAAAAAAGATAAAAACCCAATTTGGAGATAGGTCCAATTATTCCCTTCTTCCGCTTCCTGGATCACTTATACGTGCCAGGCCCGTCCGCGAGGCCCTAATCGACGGCTCAACGCCCCGCCACAAACCAAGCAGGACTTATTTTTGGCCCGTCCCGCGTATTTTTGTTCATGCGTCAGATAGTAATTTAAAGGGCTTTTGGCGGGAGGGAGCATGAGCCATCGCTTGCAAGCGATAACGAAACACTGTCTACGGGCATGGTCTCCAAGAAGTCTTAGAGACCATTATGTAAGTCGCCAAATGCCCACGCGCTGGCCGTTCCGGCGTATCCCACTATAGGGATTATGTTCATTTAGGAGGCTTGGTGGTAGTCTAAAGCGAGTTATTTACACTCTCAGCACATTACTGACTTTTTGCTCATTTTGTCAGTAATATGCAAGTAATTTGAGCAACCATAATTACGTACTTTTCCTTTTTTAAAGAACAACTTAAGAAATCTTAAATACTGGACTGACAATTTAGTTTTGTACATAATTTTACAGAGGAAGTGAGTCATACTTACCAAGAAAATACCAGGTATTATTGTTGCTTGTACGAATACATAATGAATAAAAAGTAACTAACGTGCTGAGAGTGTAGATCTTCTTGCCGGGGGGGGGGGGGGGGGGGTAGGGCGGTCCAAAAAAAAATGAAGTTGCTCGGATCGTCCAACGCCGCCCGAATTTGGATTCTACATCGAAAAAAATGAAATACGCGTTTTTTCCTTTTTCGAAAAGATGATTTTTAGGACCTCCTCAAAGCCCTCAAAGTTTTTAACAGTGCTATTAATAGGAAAAAATCGAAACTTGGTCATTTTTTGACCGATTTTCAAAAACGAAACGGGGATTTGTTCGTTTTTGAATGCTTATTACGAAAAAAAATATGCCCAACCCTCTATTTGGTTTGCCTTACTTTCAGGGGCAAAAAATGACTAAATTTCGGCCCAAATTGGCAAGAGTTTCAGTTTGTAGGCCGCTACAGCCACTCCAAGTCCACCCTGTCAGCATGGCGGGGTGCCCCCACCACAAGGCAAGCCCCATGAACAGAAATGAGATGCCGAGTGCAATTTGCCTACCTCACAGGGGCATCAAATTGTGGATTTTTTCGAAAATCTATCAATAGTGGTGTCTCTTGGGGCCTCAGATGGGCACCCTTTCACCCGGTTCGGTACCCGCACTACGTGATAAGAACAAACAATAGGAATTGACTGTTGAGCACCTCATGCCTACCTCTCAGGACCAGAAAAACGTTAAAATTTAGAAAATCCCTTCATTTTGATGGCTTTTCTTGTGGCCTTGCGTGCCCAGAGGCCCCAAGAGACACCACTATTGATAGATTTTCGAAAAAATCCACAATTTGATGCCCCTGTGAGGTAGCCAAATTGCAATTGGCATCTTATTTCTGTTCATGGGGCTTGCCTAGTGGTGGGGGCACCCCGCTATGCTGACAGGGTGGACTTGGAGTGGCTGTAGCGGCCTACAAACTGAAACTCTTGTCAATTTGGGCCGAAATTTAGTCATTTTTTGCCCCTGAAAGTAAGGCAAACCAAATAGAGGGTTGGGCATATTTTTTTTTCGTAATAAGCATTCAAAAACGAACAAATCCCCGTTTCGTTTTTGAAAATCGGTCAAAAAATGACCAAGTTTCGATTTTTTCCTATTAATAGCACTGTTAAAAACTTTGAGGGCTTTGAGGAGGTCCTAAAAAACATCTTTTCGAAAAAGGAACACTGTGGCAAAAAGGTACGGAAAATCCTGTTAATTTTTTTGCCAGAATTCTCCGTAGCCCTCTTATCAATATTCTCGGTAGGCTCTTACAGTATTCTCCGTAGGGCCGCACAGTATTCTCTGTAAACCCGCACAGTCTTCTCCGTAGGACCTCGAAGACTGTATAGTCCTACGGAGATCACTGTGCGGTCCTACGGAGAATACTGTGCGGGCCTACAGAAAATACTGTAAGAGCCTACGGAGAATATTGATAAGGGGCCTACGGAGAATTACCACAAGCTGTTTACAGAATTTTCCGTAGCTTTTTGCCACAGTGAAAAAACGCGTATTTCATTTTTTTCGATGTAGAATCCAAATTCGGGCGGCGTTGGACGATCCGAGCAACTTCATTTTTTTTTGGACCACCCCAAGGGGGGGGGAGGGGGCAATAGCGTCTGTGCATCGGTGCAACGTGAAAATATGAGTTGTCACTTCATGACAATTTCAAGGCTAATTTTCCTTACAAGGATGTCATCAAAACAATTGATGGCATTGTTGTCACGCCCATGCAATTAGTATAGGAGCTTTGATGAAAATGTCATCAATTTGTAATAAAGTCACAACAAATTTTCACAGTGTGGTTTTACAATTGTACACTCTGAAAACCTAACAAACTATTTTAGGCCTTACAAAGAAAAGCAGCTTGTTCTGACAAAGTACATTGAGCATACATTAGGTTACACAGAAAAAACTTCGTATTTTACGAAATACGTCTTCGTTTAACAAAATAAATTAGTTTGCACTTTGTATGCATACGCTGAAAATACTTTGTATGGTTTTAAGTTTTAAGCGTGCATTGTATGCTTTGTTGTGCTTTGTGTGCATATGCTGAAAACACTTTGTATGGTTTTAAGCGTGCAAGCGTGTGACAAACATGGTTCACTCTTATAAGCGTGACACATTTTGGTTCACGACAAACAGTGTGAGACATTTGCAAAGCAATTAAAAAGCACTGACCTGTTTCAGGCTCACTGCCAGCTCTGCGATTGTGCCCCCACCCGACGATGTGGTTGTCCTCATTTACGACGCAAGCACCGAGTTTTTTTGTTTCATCGCTCTTTTGAGCTTCGATCAGGCAGATGGCGAAGAACAGGTGTTCCCATTTCATCCTGTCCACTTTCTTTTTCGAGATCGGTTCTTCAACTTCTTTTTTCGAGATCAAATCTTTAACTTTCATTTTCGGGATCAGTTCTTCAACTTCCTTTTTCGAGATCAGTTCTCCTTCCTTTTTCGAGACTATAACTTTCATTTTCGAGATCAGTTCTTCAACTTCCTTTTTCGAGATCAGTTCTTCAACTTCTTTTTCCGTGGTCAGGTCTCCAACTTCAAACCTAGAGTTGTGGCGTATATAATATACATAAAATGTAATATTGGCTTAAAAAATAAACAAATAATTTTCCCTGCCATACGCAAATTTTTAAGCATTGAAAGGCATATGGGTACACTGAGATTCCAAACGCTATGAGTATAGCACGTATGGTGCAATGCAGCTGACATATCGCACCATATGAGCAATGCCATAGCCATATTGCACCTTACGTGCAATGCGTCCCGAAAATACCCTATACTAATGCATGGGAATTGGGGGGCATTGCACTTTATGTGCAATGCTTTTGCATTGCACCAATTGACGCTATACTCATAGCGTTTGAATTCTCAGTGTAATTCTTTCCGATTCAACACACGTCGAAGTGTCCATGACTCCGATTGGGCTCCAATTTTGCAGCTTGGTAGTATGTACTTGATAACTGTGCAATTTTTTTTTTATTATCTCGAATAGTTCCTGAGGTATCGGACTTTGAAGTTTTTAGGTAAAAAAATTAGCCAAAATGCAAGTTTTTAGAAAAAAATTAAGAAATTTTGTGTAACTTGTCCCAGGCCTTATGTCTACTTTTCCCTGTTATAAGTGACTATAAAGAAAGGTTTTGAGCCCCAATACGTCAACTTCAGCCAATTCCCATTCATGGGTTACGCTACTTTTGTGCTAAATTACTACAACTTACGCTTATTAGAAGAAAAGTTTAGCACAAAAGTAGCGTAACCCATGATCGACTGAGCAAAGCTGTGAAGTTGAGCGTAGAAGCCAACGACAACTGATCTCAATGTTATTTCCTTCCAAATGATAATGAAACTACCCACTTAGCTTAAAGGTGTTCAACCTGTTGAATTTCAAACCTTCCATGCACATTTTTATTTATGAACTTTGAAAATACTATTTTTTGGAATTTTGGCGATTTTTCACCAGGGTCCCCCCTTAGAAAGAAAAGAAAAGCAAAACGGTGGATTTAAACACTTAAAACTACGCATGCGCTGACCGATAGATGGGGCTTCCGGCCGAACCTGGTTCAGCTGAAGGCCAACCGCCTTTGCGAAAAAGGCCTAATACTCCCTCCATGAACAAAAATGCGGGGATCGTGTTGAAGTACAACTAATCACCCGCATCGCGATTTTTTCCTAGTCTATTGTTACGAACTAATTAGCTTCAGCCCTTTCCAAATTACCCTGGTAAAACTAAGGCGTAGTATGACACCTTTCGTGAAACGCACAGTCTACGCCCTTCTTATATTGAAGCGTACAAGAGCTCATCCGCTCTTTTCCTCTTATCTTACACGGAAAAAAGGAATTCGTTGACCCAGCGAAAAAGTACGTTGATTCCGTGATAACCGAAAAAAAATTGTTTAAGTTACGAAAAGTTTGTGCGCGTAAAGAATAATTTGTTGTTAAGACGAACAATTCGTTGGTGGAGCAAGACAGTTAGTTGGAGAGACAAAATCATGACTGTGTTGCTTTGGCGGATCTTTTGGTTGCGCTGACAGATTGTCAGTTTTACCAACAAAAATTTCGTTACTCAAACAAAGTTTTCGTAACTCCAACAAATTTTTTCGGTTATCACGGAATCAACGCACATTTTCGTTACGTCAACGAATTCCTTTTTTCCGCGTAATGCATGGGGGGTATCACCGTGAAGCGTAGTTGTACGCTTTAATGAAGCGTTGAACAACGCTTTAAATTTACCAGTGTACTACAATCAAGAAATAAGAATAAGAATCTGCGCCATGAAACAATCGGTGCTACCTTTCTTTAAAAGAGGCAAATGAGTCGTGAGCCATCAATGGAAACTGCGGAAAGTGAATCGTGAACTCACGTTATTTTCTTGACGCCACCTTGTGGTTCCCTGTTCGGAAGACGGGCTGCTCCCTTTTTGAATATTTCACACTGTGTGAAGTCAAATGTCACCGATGATCGAATATCAGTCCTGTTCATAATAGGAAAATAAAGATAAGATACCAAGCTATTCCATTTTGCAAGTTGGTCGTCTCGCTCTAACTGTACGCGGCACGGAACGATATTTGGCCCGCCAGAGACCTTTCCGGTCAAACAAAAAACAATTTAAAAAAACTCATCATCAAGCATGGACTCCAACAAGCTCCCTTGCTCTGTAAAAAAACAGGCATTCGTGAGGCCTAGCCAAACACCTAGTCAATCATGCTTGAACCTACCAGCGTATCAGACCTGTCAGAATGCTTTCTGCATTCTTTATTTCCGTTTCTCTTCCTTCGTTGCTTTGCACGTCCAAGTAGTAGACATGGGATATGCCTACTGCTTTTATTCTCATAGCACACTGTATGCAGGGGAATGTAGACACATACATGGTGCATCCATCAAAATCCGTTAAGTTGGAAAATGCAATGGCATTCATTTCTGCATGACAGACTGAGAGAACGACACAAAAGAAATAATGATTAAACACATTTGCTTTAAGGTTTCATATAAACTTTCTAATCATTCTGCTTCTCCCACATTCTAGAGAAGGGCTTCACGATGTGTTACGTACCAAAAAGAGTCTTGGTTTCCAGGTTGCTCGTAGACTCTTTGCCCCAGGGAAATGTATTTTCCGGGGCATTATTGAGCATTCCATTGTATCCTTGCCCAACGATGTGCCCTTCTTTATTCACAATGCATGCACCTACTTTCCATTTGGGATCCCTACTGCGCGTAGAGAGAAGACATGCAAGTGCCATGAAGTAAGAATGCCAATCCTGGAATGAAACCAGTTACAAGAACGACCTCAAAATTTGAGACACATTTTGGAACTCTTGGACTTAATGTCATCCTCAGTATTTCTGCATCGAATTAGGGTATTCAGAATGGCTTTGCGATTCGTTATCCGGTTACTGACTTCGAATTTGTGAAATCATACTGACTGATTATTCATACTATTTAAAAAATCCTAACATTTCACTGACAATGCATGAGTCACCATCACCCCTCAATCGGGTGATTCAACTTTGCTGCACTGTTAAAAAATTTTGCTGAAAGTTCAGACTTTTTTGACTGAAGTAAATATGCAGAACATCCTACTGAAAATTCAGACTAAATCCTGGTCTGAAATTTTCAGACTTACACAAGTCTTAACCTTTCAGACAGGTCGTAGTCTGAAAAATTCAGACAAAATTGTCTCAATTACTACAGGGTGAGTTTTCTCAATGTGTCAATAATTTGCAGGCAGTTTGGGCATCCCTAGGGGACCATTTTTCACCAATGAACTAGTGGGCGCAAACGTCTAGATACGGAGATAATTGGTGTTTTGAATTTGGATTTTGCGCCTACAAGGTAGGCACCCGGTGCCACTGAGTGTGGCAGGACCTGTCGAGGGGGTGTCGTGGGACTAGCAGTACTCGCGGGAGTGCCACTTACCTCGCGGAAGTATCCGTGGAATCCTGCCACCCTCGCAAAGACAGCCGTGAGATCCACTGTAACGGGGGCCACCATGACAGCCCCTTGAGACCCGCGGCAACCCCTCCCAAAAGACATTTGCAAGGTCCGCCGCACCCCTTCGAGACTCGAAGCACCCCTCCTAGACCCGCGACACCCCCACGTGAGGTCCTGCGCCCATCAGTGGCAGCGGGTGCCTACCTCGCAGGCGCGAAGGTCAATTACAAAACACCAATTATCTCCGTACCTAGACGTTTGCGCCCACTAGTTCATTGGTAGAAAATGATCCCCTTGGGGTGCCCAAACTACCTACAAATTATTGACACATTGAGAAAACTCACCCTGTAGATTGTTTTGTCTGAAAGTGGCAGCAGGAAATTTTCCCGTAACTCGGTGAAATGATAATGTTCGCATCCGAACCTCAAAGGAGAGACGTACTCCAAGGAACCGTCTACGTAAAAAATTGAGTGTAGGGCAATGTCCCCGATGTGGGACTCTTCCCTGCACTCATCTGGAGCTGGCATGACGCACCCTAGGGAACGACGGCACGGAGCCAACCGCGAGAGGTAACTTCAAATGTCAATTGTTAAACTCGCGCGTTTGCTACAGATATAAATTTGGTATGGGAGCGTGTGTTTCGTCATAGCCAATGGAGTAATGGCCATTTCGGGTTAAAAATATTAAAAATTTAACAGAATAAAACGTTTTTAACAACAGCAGGCTCTTTACCGACACTGGCGCCACCTAGCGGAGAGAAAAATGCTTTCGTTTTGTCTGAAGTCCCCGAAACGGAGTCGGATTAAATTGAATGTAAGACTGATTGTGAGTTAACCCAATGTTAGGTTGGAAGAAAGTTGTCCAATTTTCTCTTATGTTTGAACATATTTCAGAAAGTAGTCTGAATCCGAAATTCAGACTCTTGAGGTCTGGGAAGTCTGACGCAAGTTCATATGAATTTTGAGAATGAGTACAAATATTAAGACACTTCGAGTCTGAACCAAGCTTTCAGACAAAGCGTTTAAGAACTAAGACAAAAACTCTGATTTTTCAGAATTTAGTCTGATTTACAGATTCAGACCGCTAAGTCTGACAAAATTGGTCTGAATTTTCAGAATTTTTTTAACAGTGTGCCCAATTACGGATGAGGAAAAACTCATCAGCCGTAATTTGGTAACAGGCGGTTTCTTGCCCAAGTCAACGCTTATGTTGTGAGGTCCCCGATGACGTCCTTCCGGGGCCACCATGATGACCTCCAAGTGTTCGTTACTCGTTTACGAGTTTTGGCGACGAGTTTCTGACTGTTCAAAACTAAGTCACCACCGACTTGTCACGCAGGGCAACGGACGTGACTCTTTCATTCTCAGTGAATTAGGACTTACAACACACTAAATGCTTTTATACCAATTTTGTATGAGACATACAGTTTTTTTGTGCACACGAACTTTTCGTACAAATTTGTACAAAATTTTGTGCAATTTTGTACAAAAATGGCGAAAAATGTGCAGTTTTTCGTACAAAAATTGTACGAAAATTTCGTGTGCACAAAAAACTGTGATGTCTCGTACAAAATTGTACATAACATTTAGTGTGAAGGTAAGTCTTACGAGAAGCAGAAATTTTTTGCCAGAAAGTCATTGATGGTCAAATTGAGTTCCCCGTTCATTAAGGGTATCGGAGAAGGGCTGAAGCGGAAGTGGAACAGAATTGAACAAAGTATGCGAAAGTGGTAAGAATAAGCGTCTGCATCATCGCTCTGCCGATTACAGGTAGCTAGTACAACCTGCCTCTCCTACGATTAAGGGGGGACCCTGGTGAAACTTTCAAGTAGGCTTCAAAATAATCCCAGGAAGTTGAAACTTTGCTTAATTATTAGGTTCATTATGGTGAGTTCCCAAAACAAAATTCAATCCAAAATGTTGAACGGTCTCTGAGAAAAGTGGCTTTTTAGTGTTTCTTGGAGCGTTGGGGAAAAATCTTCCTGCGTCTTTCATTGGGACGAAAGGTCGAAAATTTTTTTGGGTTATCCTTAAGACGTATAGAAGAGATTTTAGTGGCGGAATTTTCAAATTCAACTTCTGTCCTGATATATGAGTTTTCAAATTTTAACACTAAAAAAAAGTTATTTTTTCCCTTTTTATAAACTTTTAGGTGTGTTTAAAAAAGGTAGGGCTAATATCAAGATTCCGTCACTAAAATTTGTCGACAAGTCATCAATGAATAGAGTCCATGCAAGACGACTCATGTAGGTGTCAACCAGGAACGCAGGAAGTCTTTCTATGACAAAATTTTTTGTCGACTGAGCAAAGCTGTGAAGTTGAGCGTAGAAGCCAACGACAACTGATCTCAATGCTATTTCCTTCCAAATGATAAAGAAACTACCCACTTAGCTTAAAGGTGTTCAACCTGTTGAATCTGAAACCTTCTATGCACATTTTTATCTATGAACTTTGAAAATACAATTTTTTGGAATTTTGGCGATTTTTTCACCAGGGTCCCCCTTAAGCCTACTCTGAAATAAACCTGCTCAATGCTCTTTCATTTGGGAACTTACTTCAGCATTCTTCCTCGATAAGTCTTCAAACAATCGTCCATCATTGATGCTGGCGTAATGTACAGTTGCAGAACTCTAAGGAACAAGAGGTTGTATGTTTTATAGCTGCAATGAGACAGCTCAAATTTATTGATCAGCAGTAAAGGGACAGGCTCAGTTGCACACGGAAAAAAATATTAGTTGGTCGAACAGATTCGTCGATGGTGTTTAGCCCAACTAAGATGTTTTCGTTCGAAGAACGAAAACTTGTGAGATGAGCGGAAAGTTCGTTGCAGGAATAAATTGATCGTCTCCTCACGTCAGCGGACCGGTTCGTTTGGCTTGGCACGTCCAAAGCTAGTTCGCTACTGCAACGATGGATTCGTTGAGGCAACGAACTTTTCGGCTCGTCTAACGAGATTTTCGTTACTAGAACGATAATAACTTAGTTCAACCGCGGCATCGGTTGGGCTAACTAGATATCTGTTGGACTCACTGAGTATTCTTTTTTTCGTGCATTTGATTTGACACTATAATAACAGGAAAAGTAGCGATACACATCGGCAACTTTGGCCCGTCCCGTACATCAAAAAGTGTGCAAATTTCGCCTTTGTTTAACTCCAACGAGATTTGATCCCTGCGCTGGGGTCAAATAAGATGTTATTTTCGTCATCAGTGCACTCAAAAACATCATAAACAATGCAGGGATCCTTACCTTAACTTAACATTTAACTAACACTGCTTTCATAACGTAACATAAGACAATGTTCGCTACAGGTTAAGGGTACGGACTTTTGAAAGTACTTCCAAAAGTATATCCACAAAAACTCGAGACACAAAAAAAAAAAAAAACTTACCCTTTTGAAAAGATGTTACAGGTTAAGGGTAATAACTTTAACTCTTATGATAACGTTATGATGCCCTTATGAGGTAAGTTAAGGATCCCTGAAACAATGCGAAAACTTGAATAAAAAGAATGTTTCAAATATACCCCACTGGGATTTGAGCCCCGGTCCAAACTGCTTTGATTCGCTCGAAACCAGCACCGTTGACTTGTCTCGTCGCCCTGATTCCAAAAATACCCCTACATGCCCTTCTAGCTGTATCCGTTGCCGAAATCCTCCTCGACCCCATGTAGACCATGACCATGATGCACCTGCAGCAGCGCCCCCCGGTGCTCGGATCGGATTTGCTGCCACCGGGCGGTTCTTAGGGTCACCCAACGAGGCTGCATACCAAATTTGGTCAAGATCGGACCACGGGAAGTCCTCGGACGGACGGACGGACGGACGCACACGCACAGCAAGCATCATACTCTATGCCCGTCCATCCGTCATTTTTTTACAAAAAAAAAAAATTCCAATGCTAATCGCATTGCACGGTGTTCCCATTTTCACATTTGGTTATTTTGAAATAGCCACGTATTGGACCGTGGCAGTGCCAACTGTTCAATGATTATGAGAAAATCCAAAAATTTCAAAGTGCGCATGCGCTAAATTCAAACCAACCAATAGAAAAGGAGTTCTGGTCAAACCTGATTCAGTTAACACCATGACCACCTCACTCCATCTCGCGACTTACAGTGCTCATGTTCGCCAAACGAAAGTCACCCGCGTTCCGAAATCACCCCTCCCGAGTTTGTAAAGTTTGTCAAAGCAACCATCGTGCTGCTTTTACGTAGTGAGTAAGAACTGTTCTACAGAATTGAGGAAAACATGACAAGACAACCGCAGCCTTTAAAAGCATGCCAAACAATCCAACCTCAGCAACAATGGAGGGGCAGTTTCAATGCGCGCCAACTCGTTTTTTCAGCCTCGCGATTTTCGAAAGGGCGCAGACGGCAAGAAAATCGGTGCCAACCCACGAAAATTAATTTGATGCGTCATTTCTGCTACGAACTTTTTACTAGTGACAGACTTTAAAGATGTTCCAACGTCGGGACACCGTGCAATGCGTTGGCATTAGCATTTTCGAATTTCACGGCGTTTTGAATTTTTTTATCGGCGAAATTTAAATTTTGACGGGTGGCACGATGGGACCATGGCGTTGCCATGGAGATTTTTTTTCATGTTTTAACCATTTGCTCAGAACACAGGCGATTTCTTGTTACTTTGATGAGCCAGGAGGTTTAGTTTTGAGAAGTGGCACATTTTTTATTTGAACCATTTTTTCATATCATTAACGGTTCTCGTTTTCGATTGTTGCAAATTTATGTTTTTCTAGTTTACGGAAAATTCCCACGATGAATTTTCGAAAAAAATTTGAATTTTCGTTTTTTCCATGGTTGAAATAGTTTAGCGTTGTTTATTTGAAAATCGGAGAGGGGGGGGGGGAGAATCCACGGACCTCGGACAATAGGGGTTCTTGGGAACCCCTAATAAACGGGACGGGCCAAAAACACGTCAGTAAAACATTCGATATAGTAGTGAGGCGTAAATGTAAAGCTTGAACGAAGCAAGCTACCCTTCTGCTCAGGGGGTGGCAACGGCCAAGGGAGAGCGTGAGGCGATGCTCGCGCCGTCAGTGCAGAGGTGCCGCACTTGTTCGAGATTACGAAAACTAGACACTGTTTTTCAAAACGCTTTGCACCGATGGAAAGGGCTTGAAATTTAGGGTGCATTAGGCTAATTGCTTTTCTTGAACTCGAAACTCCCCCCTTACCTAGTCTTAAGGTGCAGTAAAAACACCAAAAAACACGAAAAATCATAAAATTAAGGAAAAAACTCGAATGCGCCATGTTGATAAATGATTCCGCCCTAGTGTTCGGTTGAATTGGAAGTATCGGGCAGTCAACTAGGCCTAATGCACCCCAAATTTTGTGCTCTTTTGATCTGTGCAAAGCGGTTTGCAATCAACGGGCTAGATCTTACAATAGAAGCAAAATAAGTAACCCCTGCGCCTTGCTCGCGCATGGCTTCACGCGCTTCCTATACTAGGCCGCCCCCTGTTCTGCTCCTCTTTCGGCGTTAAACAAAGCGCTTTCCCGTGCGCGTGCTCATGGGAAGAAACGTTGCCGTAATTACCGTGCGCGTTACATAGGAGCATCTCCAAGTCACACTCTGCTAGAAAGAAACCACAACAAATCTACAAGAATAACTGTGAATTTTTTTTGTCAGGAATCTCAGGAATAGATTGAACTTTCAAAGCACGACCATTGTTTTACAAAGTACAATTGAACCTGCATGACGAGTGCAGTCCAGTTGAGGCCTCGTTGTTCTTTGTACAATCCTGTTTGTACTTTTTTTACAGTTTTCGTCGTACTTTTGTTGCACTATTCGCACTTTGGTTTGCAGTGCAAACAAATTTTGCTGATTTGATTTCTTTTCGGTTCCCCGTGTCACATTCAAACGAACGTGATAATTCAGGCATGTCACGTGCAAACGAACGTGACGGTGTTACATTCGTTTGGATTTGACACAACATGTATCGGGAACCATGTGACAGTCGCTCGCTGATTTCGTGCCACACCCGAACCCGAAGTAATGACACAAAGCAGTGCGGTGTGTCACATTCGTTTCACTGTAAATTTTCAATGTTTGTCACGTTTTAACTGAGATTAAAGATTTAACGTGCAAACGAATGTAATGTCACATTCGTTGGCTACCAGTGAATGGATCTTGTCGCAGCGAATTTCGATCTATGATTTTGGCCATGCAAACTTGGTGGTTTTCTTTTGGTTTTCAGAAGTGCTAATTGAATGCTCCCCCCTACGCACACACTCAATTGGGTCTGCAGCAGAGCGTTACTTTCTTAACGTTAGGCATTACCGTTACTTGTGGTAATTGTGGTTGTAGTAACCTTATCTTGAATTGACGTTAACGGTGTAAGTAACGATAACAAGGATGGGTCCGCAGTGTATAATCACACGACCACCATACGTCCTACATATATTATTCTTACCGATGTCTCAGTGCGTGTCCGTTCTGCTGGTAGCGATGACATACTTCAACCTGTATTGATGAGTTATGACGGTGTCCAGAAACTGCCTTGGTGTGGGGCACGTCCTGACAACAACAGATCTTGAAAAATTAGCAGATGACATGTAGTGGTGAAGAAATTCGTTATTCAGTGCGTAACATACCTAATTTGAACTCACAAAAAAATATGGACTATTAAAGATGGCCACTGTGGCCTGGTTCTGCACCAATTTTTTTTTAAACCCGGTTCCTGATTGAATCAGATTTTGTAGGTATTTAGTTAGTATCGTAAATCACTCTGAGAAAAAATGACGGCAAATCCTGGATAATTTTTTTGCCAAACTTTACCGTACTTCAAAAGCCAGTATCCACCGTACGTACAGTCTACAGCATTTACCGTAATTGTTTTACAAAATATTCCGTAGTTTCTTAACAGTAGTTACCGTTCTTCCGAACAGTCCATGCCGTAGGAAGGACCAGATCTGGTCTCAACAAAGGCCGCTCCCGTCCACATCAGGATCTTGAAAAAAGGGGGTCGACCGACTGAAAAATTTTATTGCACCTTTCGATAGGTCTCGTCAAGGCCTTTTCAACGAGTGGTCGGAAGGGGGGTCCAGGAGTCCGACTCCAGCAGTGACGTACATCAGGATCTTAAAAACGAGGGTCCGACCGTCTAAAAAAATTAAAGCAATGTTTGATAGGTATGAAAAGTACGGGATTGCCGGTTAAAAAAGTACGGGACTCTCTGTAAAAAAAAAAGTACGGTGTTCCCTGTTAAAAAAAGTACGGTATTGCCTGTAAAAAAAAAACCACGGTATTGCCTGTAAAAAAAAAACACGGTATTGCCTGTTAAGAAAAGTACCGTGAAGTCTGGAGTAATCAGTACAGGATTTACCGTGATCTTTTGTCGCAGTGAACAGAGGTGACTTCGCCATCCTGGGGTGATTTCGACAGGCACTAAAACACATCTTTTTACCTACATCATGATAATTTTTACTTGTTATACAAACGCCACGATCACCATCTTCATGCTCCACAACAATCCAAACAACGAGATGAACCTAAGTGTTGCTCCAAATGGTCTTTTGAGACAGTGCCGAAGTCGGCGGGTGGTTCCGTGCGTAGATGCCGTTTTAGCCACGTTAGAAAGTCAGAGCAAAATCAATCTTGCTTGTTCGACCTGAATTCAGCTGAGATGGCGTCAATTGAACCCCAGGAAGACAATCTGAGCGTGGGTGAGCTACAAGTTGACTTAAGTTTTCTCCCCCTATGTAATATGACGAAATTTACTGAAAATAAGACGGAAACTACGCTTGACGGAACTTACAAACAGTTTAACTGCAAATGCCTATCGCCTCAGAAATAATAGTGGTGAAACAAAGGCATAAAAACCATGCACTGTCAGAAAAAAGTCCGTAAATTTACGGAGAAAGTTACTCTAATTTTGGGAATAGAGGCTCCGTAAATTTTCCATATTTTTACGGAGATTTTCCGTATTTTAACGGAGATGAACCGCATTTTTGCAGAAATGAACGCATTTTAACGGTTTACTTCCCTCCTTCCACCTTCGATGTTAAGATGAAAGTGATTTTCTCCAAAACAGTTTGAGGATCCACTTGACCACATGCCATTAGGATCGGATAAATGGACGGAAACCCAAAGGCGAGGTCGCTTTAGGGAAGGCGTACTCTTGGAAAACCTAATCAGTTGGTCACCCAACCCATCGATAACGTGAATTAGTCTGTTCTTTTTGATAAGTAAGGCTTCTATTTCATTTCTATACATAACTTCCATATTTTTACGGAGAAAATCCATCATTCAAAAAAACCGAGATCTCCGTTAAAAAAATGGACAGTCTCCGTTAGATTTCCGTATTTTTACGGAGTTTTCCGACAGTGTGCCCTTCAGGGCTTAAACAATGTTTCACGCCAGGGTGTGAATCATTCGGTGCCCTTTGGGGTCGTCCACATGTTTTCAAGATTTTCCACCTGCTCCCTCCCCATGTTATCAGACTTACTCTGCAAACTGAAGTGTGTACATAGTACACTCTTATTAGAGCATACTTCCAAGTACACACTTATTTACAGCATACCTGCTAGGTACACACTAAAATAGAGTGTACATTGCATGTACACGCTAAATAAGAGTGTACCTGGCAAGTACACTTAAACTGGCCCATGCTTTTAGATAGGACTTATCGAGTGTATTTTAGCGTGTACATGGAAGGTACACACTTATTTGGCGTGTACTTGCCAGGCACACTCTTTTTTAGCGTGTGCCTAGCAAGTATGCTGTAAATAAGAGTGTACTTGGAAGTATGCTCTAATAAGAGTGTACTATGTACACACTTCAGTTTGCAGAGTAGTCAACGGTTTGATTCAATCGACAGAGCATAGCCGAGATGCATGCTAAGAGACCGGGCCAATCCGTCGCCATGGCCTGCGCGGCTGCAGCGAAGGACCGCTGGACGACTTACGATAGCACTCATAAGTTTCGTTTTTTTTTGTGCTGGTTTTATTAGTGACCTCGGTTTTTGAGCTAGGACCGCTCCTTCACCGCATTATCGAACGTTTTATGTCTAAAAGCGGCTATTTTTACACGGTAAAAACGGTTCCTGGTTTTCCGAAGGAACTCCCTGGAAATGGCCTATACCTTCATCATTGGCTTTCTGGGAAAACCCGGTTGCGTCTTTACCGTGTTGCGTTTTATCTGATTTTGGGCCTCGGAAACGGTCTGAGGCGGTCGGGGAGACCGTTGCATGGTTGGATTGTCATTACGAACACAAAAACCAACGTTTTCAGCTATATGGACCCCCCGGGCACCGCACATGTGAGAGTCAGACTTTTCTTATTTAAGCTAAAAATCGGCATTTTTGCCCTTTTTTTAGCAGATGATACCTTCGCACTTGAAACACACTTAAAACTACTATACACATGAAGGTCAGCGTGCTTTTACTCTCAAGTCCAAAAACCAAGCGCGTATCCTAACAATATGATAGGGGCTGGCTGCCGGGGCGGGCTGGTGCGTGTGTCTGGCGGTGTCACCGCCTCAGAGGCGCAGCCTGCGCGGAATTCGACAATACCTCCCCGGTACAGCGCCAGCGGCACCGGGCGTTAACAATGGCACCCCTTCCTCGCGCGCGACGGCCTGCGCGCAACATTGACAATACCTCCCCGCCTGACTCGGCGCGGAATATCGCGCAACAATGCCTCCCGATTCGGCCCGGGGCGCTCGGGCTCGGCGGCGGGCGGTGCAGGCCACAGCTCGGCATGGCTACTACCAACACCGGCCAGCTCGCTCGGGTCTATGTATTCAATTGGTCTAAGTATTTTGTTTCATACACAATTTTAAACACTATCTTTGGAATGAGCCCGCATACTACCCCGTATAAGAAAACCAAACGAGTATCATCTGCTTTCATTAACGTTCGTTGAATGAGATTTTTTTACCATTTATGGAGGTTGGTGACAGCCGTCTCACTCTATCATCATGTGATCAGGTGTGGTACAAAGAAGTGTAGGGATACCAGCCCCCACGTTTGGGCCGGGGAGCGCAGAGGCGCTGGCGGATAAGAGGGAAATTTCCAGAAAAACCATGTATTAGGCGCTGAAAAATCTTTTGAGATACCATGTTAAAAAGGCGTCCGATAGTGTGGTGAAGGAGCCGTTCCATCGCAAAACCGAGGTCACGTTTGAAATCAGCAAAAGGAACCGAATGTTTTGAGTGCTATCCTGAAGTCGTGCAGTCGAAAGTAGGGGAATAACGACGCACCAGATCTCCCATCATGCGCTTCGGTTGCTCCAACCGATCTTCCTTATCACCCCCCCCCCCCCGCAAGATTACGCTATCAACCGAATTTGCGAAATATGAAAAGAATTAGAATTCACCATTTGTGTTGCAGACACGGGACAATGAAAACAAGGAAACAGGATGACTGGTCTTTAAAAGTAATGAAAACTGAGAAGGTGTACACTCTTGGCAAGTTACTGACTGTTTTGCATATTTTGTCACTACTTTATGCAAGTAATTTGTGCAACCATAATACGTACTTTACCTTTTTTTAAGAACTGCTTAGGGACATTATTTTCCTGACAATTTAGTTTTGAATAGAATTTTACAAAGGCAATTAGTCCTAGTTACTTAGAAAATACTAAGTATTATTGTTGCTTATACGAGTGTGTAATTAATGAGAAAAAGGTCAGTAACGTGCTGAGAGTGTACAGGGTTATGCAAAGCTTAGATCCTTAACAGTTTTTCTAACATCTGGTTCTTTTCAACTGGAAGCTGAAGCAACAGGAATTAATTGAAACTTTTTTTGTTTACGACTACAGAGGAGAAATAACAGGGAATGAAAAGATTAAGATTTCAAAATAATATTTCCTGTTTACAGTTTCAACATTCCTCTTGTTTTCTAAACCGGCAGGTTAAGTATACTAACAAGCAGTTGACGCCGTGCAGCGAGCGCGTGCAGTATCTGCGCACATCGCGCGTTCGGGTTATCAAAATCGCCGTAGTGTTATGCCAAAAAAGTTGCGAAGTTACCAAATAAGTTGATTAATATGTTGATTCATTCATTCGAACACGGTAATACTCGGTCCTGGTTTTCGTAGAACACTGGTAAAACTAAAGCGTAGTTGTACGCTTCATTCAAGCGTACAACTACGCTTCAAGACTGTGCGCCCTTCTTGAAGCGTACAACTACGCTTTAAGGCAATTCCCCCATTCATTTAGATAGGAGGAAAGGAGCACATGAACTCTTGTACGCTTGAAGAAGGGCGTACTGGCTGTACGCTTCACGAAGGGCGTAATAGTACGCCTTAGTTTTAACAGTGAACCGTCCTGGTTTTCCTAGGCATTTAGTACAGGAGAAATCAAGACGGTCCTGGGAAAACCACACTCTCAGCACGTTACTGACTTTTTCCTCATTAATTACGTACTCGTATAAACAGCAATAATACTTAGTATTTTCTAAGTAAGTGTGACCAATTTCGTTTGTAAAATTATACTAAACAAAAATTTCAGTACATAGCTTAATATTTTCTAAGTAGTTCTTTAAAAAAGGAAAAGTACGTATTATGGTTGCACAAAGTACTTGCATAAGTACTGATAAAATGAGAAAAAAGTCAGTAACGTGCTGAGAGTACAGGACCGAGTTCTACCGCGAATTTGAGAAAAATAAAAAAAAAACAGAAAAGACAGCTCAAGATTGTATATAGATCTTTTACAAACCTGAGCGACAGAAATTGTGGACGTGGCCAAACGAGGCCGCGGCTACAGCTGCACTGCACTGCCTTGCATATCCGACATTCGCACTACGACAGTGCGCTTCAAGGTCGCGGCGTCACTGTTGTACAGTTCGCTTTGATTAGGCTCTACGGATGCAGTCACGTGCAGCACGTGCACGAGGAGGGTGGCGGTCACACTCCACTGCAAGAAAAAGTGTGAATAGTACAACAAAAGTACAACGATAACGGTACAATAAAAGTACAACACTGATTGTATTAAGTACAACGAGAATTGTACAAACCACAACGAGGCCTGTAGTGACCAGCACTCGTCATGCCGGTTCCATTGTACTTTGTACAACAATAAATTCCTGATAAAATATTTGCAGTAACTTGTGTACTTTTGTTGTGGTTTTATTATATATTTTTATATTACGTAGTAGGGTGCAGTTCGGAATTCACGACAGAGCTGTGACGTCACTTCACTCACCCCCCAGAGACAAATGTGCGACGGGTTTTGTAAAGAAACAACAGGACACATGGAGCCGGGAGTCGGCACTGGCCACTGGCCTTCACACTAGATGAAGTCAAAACTTGACTCAAGTTACAAATTACAAGTTAACATTCCATATGGTCAAAATGAAAGTGGCTTTCTAAACTATCATCATTATTGTAAATCTTTTAAAGTTTGAATCGGGAAGTGGAAGTATTTCTTCTTGTGGTAGCGCCCGATAAACATTAATTCGCTTTCCAAGTTTTGAAAGTTGTAATTTATGGCTGCTTTATTGACATTGGAAGGCACATGCCTTGGACTCAGCTTCAAGTTTTGGCTTCTTCAGTAGTAGAATAAATGCGTAGATGCGTACACTGTTAAAATAATCGTTAATTTACGAGATTTTGTAGAACAATTATGTTGCTTTTAAACGACATTTTTTGTTACGACCCGAGTCGTAAATATACGACATAATTGTCGATAATTTTGATAGCGAGACGTTCCGTTTTAAAACGAATCAAGTCGTAAATTTACGACTTAATCGTAAGTTTACGAACGATCGTAATTTATTCATGGAATATGTCGTACATTTACGACTCTTGTCGTAAATTTGTGTTATGAATCGTAAATGAACGACACAAATCGTATATAAGCGAACAAAATTGTAGCTTTTTACCAACTTTTCGGGAGTATCAGATTTTAAAATATGTAATCGCGTTTACGACATTGTCGTAGAGAAATGACCTTCTAGTCGTTCAGTTACGACGAAGTCGTTTAAGAACGACTTCCGTCGCTATGAAAATTAGCGACTTTTTTGTCGCTAATTTACGTCAAAATTTCTGTCAGTGTAAGTGCGTAAAATAAAAGTAGCCTGCCCCCTCCACAGCACCTCCCGGCCGGCGCTCCCGCGCCCGACCGCGCCGCAACACTCAACACTCCTTACCTCGCTCCGGCGCCCGGCAGCGCAGCAACACTTCTCACCCCGCCCCAGCGTGCGGCCCCGCGCCCGGCCGCACCGCAACACTTCGCTCGCCTCACTCCGGCGCGTCGCCCAGCGCTCGGCCACGCCGGGCCGCGCCGACCCACAGTGGGCCAGAAGACCGGCGGAGGCGGCCAAATCACGCAAAAAAATAAATCGCCTCAGAGCTTAAAAGTTAGCACCAGTGCTGATTTATCTAGCTGTGTACGCCCAGCTAAATTTTTAGCCACACAGCTAAAAATTATTAGCTGGGTAAATTTAGCTCTGGCGAAAACGGAGATTAGTTAAATTGAAAATAACTCTAACGGCATTGAAGAAATCTTCATGATGAGGTTATTATTAGGAGGCGCGGGGACATCTGTCTACGACGGACCAGCCGCCCTGAGACGTGACTCTCCGCCGGAACAGTCGTGTCCCAAGAGACTTCAAAAATTGTTGACCATGCGCGTTGACACTAATCGATTTCGTGGAGCATCCGTTCCCCGACTAACCCTTCTCTCACTGCTAGCCATCAGCGCGAGCGAAGCGCCACGGAACGAACGTAGCCTTGCCCTATCTCCTAAACATTTTTGCTGCATTGTAAATCTCATTTTGTAGTCATTGATTAGCACTGCAGCAAACTGATGTAGCCGAATCCTCCAAAAATATAGGTTCCGGGAAAGCCGACCTCCGGCAGACCCTCAACTAAAGGAGCAGCGCTACTCAGCAGAGGTCGCTAGCAGAGTTGCAATTTTTTTAGCTGTGGTGCTAAAAAACGCCAAGTAAGAAATTTAGCTCTGGACTGACTTTTATTTTTTTGCGTGAAACTCTAGACGCGTTTTGAGCTCCAGAGTCGCTAAACAGGACTCGAACCGAACGTGTGACCCTACCAATGGATTGCTCTCCGAACGAGGAATCCATTGGTGGGGTCACACGTTGGGTTCGAGTCCCATTTAGCGACTCTAAAGCTCTAAACACGTCTAGAGTTTTGGCCGCCTCCACCGGCCCTCTGGCCAACTGTGCGACCCAGCAGCGGAGCTCACATTGCCCCGGCACGTGCCGCAGCGCCCGGAGGTATGGTGCATTCAGTGAACCCTGTTCCGGTGCGTTATAAGGGTTCGATCTTTTGTTTTGCTCGTTGTTTCGAGGCTGTTTGCCACACTCATGATGGCACCAAGAAAAGGCCTGCATAGCAAAGGGTCGCCGCGAGGACAGGATTCACTGAATGGACCATAATGGGCGTGAGTCAGAAATAAGCCGCTTAGGGAATATCCATTTATTATCAACAATACAAAGAAAAGTACAGATCTAATATCTTCCCGACACATTTGGCACTGATCAAAAGCTGTCCAGCAATTATCACAACACAAATGAGCACATGGCAGGAATGTCACACTCAAGGTCTTGTCATAGCGCATAATACAGTCTTCATCGGCAAAGAGTCGACGGCTCGGGACCGGACTTCGACTCTTTGCCCACACGAAAACCGAACAGCACATGGTGGTAGACAAAAGCTCCGGTAGTGCTCCGAGCTCGGGAGGGCCATAAAACCATTGTGGCTCGAGCTCGCCCCCGCCGCGTAAGCGGGGGGTGATTATCAGCGTAGGTTGTCATTTTAGCTCGAGGATACGTTTGAAATAAAAGGTTCCCGAAAAAATTTCTTTTTGCACGGAGGCGATATGGGACTACTAGAAGGGTAAAAATGCGAAGCCTCCGCGAAATCGGCCCACGCGTTTAGAAATGACAGCCCAAAAAAGATTGGGAGAAATTTATAGTTCATAATCAAATTTCCAATGGCTGTTTTTTCAAGTTCTAAGGCAAGGTAACGGTCCTAGATAATGCCAAAGAGTGGTCAAAACAGAAGTGGAAGAAAGTAAAATGAACCCCAGCTAAGTGCTCAGCACAGCGCTGAACAGAACAGAGAGAAGCGCCGGGCAAACAGGCAACCACAGGCGTATGGGTGCCATGCGCCTTACGGCAATTTGAGGTTATGTTCGCCATTTCTCCCTAAGACAAAACGATTTAAATGCAGGTCTGACGAACTGTGGTGCCCATTAAGTGCATATAAGTGACGACACAATTCATTCTGATCAATCTTGTTACGGGACAACCTGATTTTTATGCTGAAATATGCAGTTTGAAAAGGGGTGGACGGAGTTCATTTCTTGTACCGTTTACAACCACTGTATCTCGCCACGCACTGGTCGCTAGGCTGAGATACGATTCTTCCGACCAAGCGCTTATCAAAGGGGCCACTAAAACCTAACTTTTGAAGAAATCGGGGCACTTTTGGACCATTGGTTTTCGAGAAAAGGGGGTGGACGGAGTTCGTTTTTAAAAACATACGCAGCGGAATCGAAGACTAAATTCCACTTGGATTCCCTTCCCGCAACACCAGCCAGCTGATTTTGGTGGTGGTGGATGCAGAACAGAAAGACGCACAATTCCTGACTCGGGACGCATTACTAAAGCTATTTTTGCGATTTTGGTGCCAAAATAAGCACTGAGGACGGAGTTCGCATGAAAACTGGGGGAACAATTTTGATGACGTATTGTTTCACACCTGTTGCTTACCGAAAGTCACCGTGGCCGATGATGTGACCCCACATACTTTTTTTAAAATGTTGGTCACAAGAAAGTCTGCATTCATCTCGCAGAAGGTTATAAACACCACTTTTCGAAATGGACTTGGTGCGGGGGAAGTGGACGGAGTTCACTTTTGACCACTTCTCGATATTATTACGGCCGATTCAGAAGTGGCAGCTCAAAACTCAAGATTGGGGGTAGTAAAGGACCCCAAGGGGCGAGCTCAAAACAAATTTCAACATCCTAAGTGGTCTAGTTAAGAAGCACTACCCTGGGGAACGCGAGTGACAACCTACGGTGATAATCACCTGGGACCGTCGCACGAAGTCGACTCTTTGCCGATGAAGACTGTACAATTTTTCATATCTATGGTGGAAGACGCCTGCTCCACAACAGCCGGTGGCGGAGCATCGGCGGCGGTGGTGGCGCCTCCACAGCATCAACAGCATATTTTACAAACTGACTCCCCCGTACGGTTAGAACGTATGCGCAGTTGGGCCGCAGTCTGGCGTGGCGCACCCACGGATCCGAGTTGCTGTACCAACCATCAATTTCGATCCCGCAAAAGGCACACAGCACCCGATCCCCAAGTTTTGTGTAAAATAGGCCAGCCCCCGCCATGTCATCCTTGTCACACATTATTGACACAGACCACGCACCGTAAGAATTAAAGCTCTGGTCATAGGTCCGCTGGTTTACATGCATAGGCGTTAATTTCTTGACAATGCCAAATGGAGACGACGGGAGCTGGCCAGAGCGCGACCGCGCGTAATCATTTAAATAACCCGGCCCCGCCGACGCATATCCCACGGGGACGCGCGTGCGAACAATCGGACAGTGCGGGTTAAACCTCAAATGCTCATTAACAAGGATGTCGCCAAGCTCCCAAGATCTAATTCCAAGCCCGCAGCAGAAACAGATATGCAGTCATCTCCCACTCCAGTCCAGAAGAAGCCCGCCTGAGCCAAGTCCGCCGCACTCAAATACTCCGAGTGGAATCTTTCAAAACTGCGAAGTCGAAGTCTCGTTTCCAAGGAGGCGTGGGTGTGGGTTCGCACTCGGACGCGCCGAGGGGCAGACGCCAAAGCACTGAAAATTTGCTGTCACTTCATGACAAAAACGTGGGTGATACTTTCATCACTTGCAAATTATGACATTCTCATCAAAAATTGATGACATTTTCATCAAAGCTCCTACACATATTGCATGGGCGTGACAACAATGCCATCAACTGTTTTGATGACATTGTTGTAGGAAAATTAGCCTTGAAATTGTCATCAAGTGACGACTCAAATTTTCTCAGTGAAGTGGCACCAACTCGAACTCCAGCGTGGGCGTGTGGTCCGGCACGGCGAGACCTTGGTCCGATGCAGACTGCTCCGGCATTGCGTCACCCAACACCGCTGGCGCGGCGATCTCTTATGGAGGCATGCTGCAATGGACTGCGCTCAACCGATCACTGCGCGACGATTCTTATATAGTAGGGATGGTTGCGGCTCCCCCCCAAGAAATGTGAAAGGGACTGTCCTATCTCACCAGGGAAGGGTGCATCTGAATCTAAAGGTTAGCAATCTGAACGTACAAGGGCCGCGTTCGAAGATATCTGCAGAATCGTACTTAAGCGAGACCAGACGAAGGGCTGGTATCACACCGGCGGCCAGCAGCACCAGTGCAACACCTCTCCAGCCAGCCCGAAGACGCCCAGCCAGCGGAGGCCCTGCCCGGACTCTGCCTGGACTCTGCTCAACGCCGCCACTAAGGGACTTAGCCGCAAAGGCAGCACCGACCCAGCCCGGACTCTGCTCACCGCCGCTGTAGGACTTAGCCGCAAACGCGCGCACCCGCGCCGAACAGCTGGTAGGTCCACGCGGCGCCAAGCCGTCAATGTCAATGTCGTGACCGCGACCATCGCTAATGTGGGTTTCAGTCCACAGCCACCGCCCGGGACTCTGTCGAACGCTGCACCGCCCCGAACAGCAGGTAGGTCAGCGGTTCCCAACACTCTCAGCATCTCTATGGACTTTTTTCCAATATGTCTATAGTAAAAAGAAATTTACTGTAGTCACAGTGAAATGTACGATTAGCCGTAGTAAAAATATACAGCACACTAACTGAAAACCTTTTATTGACTTTATCTTCTGTAAAGCACAGTAAAAACCTACAGAGAAGAATAACTGTGTGAATGCCGTAAACATTTTTCATGAATATAGTATTTTTTACTGTAGATTATGGGAAAAGTAATGTGGTACTTATAGTGAAATTATACTGCGTGTACCACGGTAAAAGATTAATGAGTGAATTCAAGTGGCCCAAATGGGCATTTATTTGCAGCAATTGATTTGAATTGACAAGGCGAACAAAAAATGTCAATGCATGACATAGGTTTGGATGGGAAATAAAGAAGTTATTGAACCCATTTTAGCACGATCGAAGTTCCCAAACAATTCCAAAATATTTTTCTGTAGACTTACAGACTACCTTTTCTGTGCATCACAAAGAATTTTCACTGTTGTTGTAGAATAGTTTTACTGTATGCACAGACAATATATTCTGTTGTCATTGACATTTTTTCTCGTATCTGTCCACTGATGATATTAAATTACTATTGCTGTAGTAAATATTTGTCTGTAATACTGTATTTTCCTTCATGAAATTATCTGCAGCTCACATAGAATTTTTTTCAGCAAAATACCGTGATTTTTTACTATATTATAGTTACGCTCTAAAATCACTAAGCCACAGAAAAAAATTTTCATAATAAAGAATAAAAAGTCTATAGAAGATTGAGAGTGAACCTTGGGGTCGCGACCCCATTTTGGGTCGCGGAAATTTTTTGTTGGGTCACGGCGTGGTGCTTGGGGTCGCTGGTTAAAATTGGGAGCACAAAATAAAACATGAAATTTTAGGTACTACAGCTGTTAGAGACAGAACAACACATACACTGTGGCAAAAAGGTACGGAAAATTCTGTTAATTTTTTGCCAGGATCCTCCGTAGCCCTCTTATCAATATTCTCCGTAGTCTCTTACAGTCAAGGGGTGACCCACTGTAAAATTTTATGTACAATGATTGTGTGAAGGTGCAAGAATGTGCAAGATTTCTGGTGTTTTTGCCACACATGTTGCCTACTTACAGGTGTTTTTGGCTCCTGAATGTGGACTGTGGTCAAATTCTGTACAATGAATGTGGGAAGCTGTTCCCCCCTCGCTTACAGTATTCTCCGTAGGGCCGTACGGTATTCTCTGTAAGTCCGCACAGTCTTCTCCGTGGGACCTGGAAGACTGTATAGTCCTACGGAGATCACTGTGAGGTCCTACGGAGAATACTGTGCGGTCCTAAGGAGAATACTGTAAGAGCCTACGGAGAATATTGATAAGGGGGCTACGGAGAATTACCACAAGCTGTTTACAGAATTTTCCGTAGCTTTTTGCCACAGTATACCAGATAAAATTGCATAATGTACCCAGTTCAAAAATTCAACAGAACACAATATAAAAATCAAAAACTAACAAGTTTTAGGGGGACGGGGTCGCGAAATTTCGACTGTGGGGCCGCGAAAGTTTTTGGCAGCCATCTTGGGGTCGCGAGACGAAAAAGGTTGGGAACCGCTGAGGTGGGCCCACGCCACGCCGGCAATGTCAATGTCGTGATTTGCGGGTAATAACCCCGGAGACTGTACTACAGTGCTAGGCATTCCCATCGTTCTTGATGATTCTCGCCTCTGGGAGATAGGTGTTTGTCAAATATCTCTTCCATTTGTTAAAAAAAATCAGCTAGCTACAAATATGTTACGCGATGCTGGCAAAATCACAGATTTTATGACTTTTTAACAAAATGTTCTCACGCCATTCTTCCAGTAAACGGCACTGCCGGTCGTTCTGGCACTTTTAATCAATAATAAGGACCTTTAGTAAGTTGTTTTCGCTGAACCAACTCAAACATGTGTTTTCATTTCCTTGATATCAAATTTTAAACGAAAAAGAGCCCCCGGAGCAGGTAGTGACAGAACACTCTATTTACCGTATTTCAACGATTTAAACGTTTCACAACATCGATTTGACAACCGCGAAGTCAATTGTCACCAATTGTCACACAACGGAGAAATAAATGAGACTTATTTGTACGACAATTTCGTAGAACATTGAATTTGATTTGCAAAAAAATTGGCGCAGTTCAGAATGCTTTGACATAAATAAAAGCTTAAAGAGCCTAAAAAGGATAATTTTGAATTAGCTGGAGCGTCGCTCTATGCTGGTTATGTGAGTTATATGACCTGTCACTAGGTGCCCCGGGCTGTGGCACCAAGTGACAAGTGCAGAGGTCTACGGGAAGCTATTTAAATAATAGAAATAGGTGTTGTCAAAGCGCAACAACGGGTCTTTGCGGTCAATGAAGGATCAAAGCAACCTTCTGAAGTGTAAGCAGATTCATTTCTCGCACAGTTTCAGAGTGAGTGCAGTAGTAGAATAACACTGGTAAAACTAAAGCGTAGTATTACCCACTGTTTTCAAGCGTAATCAGTTTACGCTTGAAATCAAGCGTAACAGGCACATCCGCCAAGATTTTCCCTATCTAAATGCATGGGGTAATTCTAGCCTATGCTTGATTTCAAGCGTAACGTCTTCAAGCGTAACTTTATGCTTGACTCAAGCATAGAGTTACGCTTTAGTTTTACCAGTGAAAAGCGGGGCTACTTTTCAAAAGTAGCCCCCCTCCACAGCACCCTCCACACTGTGGCAAAAACCTACGGAAAATTCTGTAAGCAGCTTGTGGGAATTCTCCGTAGCCCCCTTATCAATATTCTCCGTAGGCTATTACAGTATTTTCAGTAGTAGAATAAAAGCGGGGCTACTTTTCAAAAGTAGCCCCCCTTCCACAGCACCCGTCCAGGCGCTGCCCCAGCGCCCGGCAGCGCTGCAACACTCCTCACCTCTCTCCATCGCGACGCCGGCGCCCGGCCGCGCCGCAACACTTCTGGCACGACGACGGGCCTGGGCCGCGTCCCTCCGCCAGGCCGCCCTGCGCCCGGCAGCGCCGCAACACTTCGCGCCTTGCTCGGCCGCACAAGGCCACGCCGCCCCACCTCGCCCCTCGCCGTCCGCCCGCCACTCTCCTCGAGACCGAGGCATCGACCACCTCCTAGCTCCAGCTGCGCTCCCGACACACGGTAATATGGAGCGCCCCTTCGAATCCGCCGCCGCGCTCGAAGGTAATAGGTGTGACTCAGAAACAATGGAAAACCATCTAGGAAACATTCATTTTTTTAATTATCGACAATACAAGGATACAGGTTACAATTAAGGCAAGAACACTTTAAGGACGGTCGTAATTTCCTCCCGACACATTGGGCAGCGATCAAAGGCGGTCCAGCAATCATCACAACAACACAAATGCGCACACGGCAGGAATGTTACACTCAAGACCTTCTCATAACACATTATACAATTTTTCTTATCTACGGTGGAAGAGGCCTGCTCCACAACGGCTGGTGGTGGAGGCATCGCCGGCGGCGGGGCTACCGGACTATCAACAGCATTTTGGACAAACTGACTACCCCGTACGGTCAGGACGTATGCGCAGGTGGGCTTCAACCTGGCGTGGCGCACCCACGGATCCGAGTTGCTGTACCAACCATCAATTTCGACCCCACAAAAGGCACACTGCACACGATCTCCCAATTTAGTGTAGAATAGGCCGGCCGCCGCCATATCACCCTTGTCACACATTATGGCTACAGGCCAGGCACCGTAGGAATTAAATCTCTGGTCATAGGTCCGGCGGTCTACATAGATATCATAGGTCCGGCGGTCTACATAGATAGGCGTTAACTTCTTAACAATGCCAAATAGAGGCGCTGGGAACTGGTCAGAGCGCAACCGCACGTACTCATTTAAATAACCAGGCCCCCGCGCCGCAAATCCCCGCCGAATATGCCGAATATGCGGACAGTGCGGGTTAAACCTCAAATGCTCATTTACGGGGACGTCGCCAAGCTCCCAACTTCTCACTCCAAGCCCACAGGAGAAACACACGCAGTCATCCCTCACCCCAGTCCAGTAAAAGCCTGCCTCAGCCAAGTCCGACACACTCACATTATCCGAGTCAAATCCTTCAAAAGAGCGAAGTCTTGCCGCCAAGGAGGCGTAGGGGTTCACCCGGACGCGCAGTGGGGCAGACGCCGAAGCGGCAGGACCGGGCACAGCTGCTGGCTGCTCTGGCGTGGCGGGGGATTGCGTTCGAGGCGGCATTTCCGCGAACTCGAACTCCAGCGTGGGTGTGTCCCCAGAAGCAGCAGGGCCCGGCGTAGCGGGAGACTGTACTGGAACGGCTCGGGGGGAAGACGCCAGAGGCGGCATCTCCTCAAACTCGAACTCAAGCGTGACCGTGTCGTGCTGCACCGCGAGACCTTGGACCGGTGCAGGCTGCACCAGCACTGCCTCAACACCGCTGGAGCGTCAATCTCTTCTGGCTGCATCGAACTGCTTCTGGCTGCAACTGCGTCGAACTGTCCGCTCCACCGCGCTTCAGTGGCTGTGATTACTCCCCCCCCCCCCACACCCCCACACCCCCGGACTCTCCTATCACGCCCTTGAAGGGCGCATCCGAACCTAAAGGGACTGCGTTCGAAAATATCTGCAAAAATCGTACTTAAGCGCCACCCGACGGAGGGCTGGTATCACATCGGCGGCCAGCAGCACCAGCGCAACACCTCTCCAGCCAGCCCGAAGACCCCCAGCCAGCCGGAGGCCCTGCCCGGACTCTGCTCAACGCCGCTAAGGGACTTAGCCGCGAACGCTGCACCGACCCGGCCCGGACTCTGCCCAACGCCGCCGCTAAGGGACTTAGCCGCCGGCTGCACAGCAGGTAGGCCCACGCGGCGCCGCCGCTAAAGCGAGTTTCGGTCCACAGCCACCACCCGGGAGCTTGCCGTACGCCGCATCGCCCCGAACAGCAGGTAGTTCAGCTTGGGGTCGCCTGGGGACGCTGGTTAAAATTGGGAGCACAAAATAAAACATGAAATTTTAGGTACTACAGCTGTTAGAGACAGAACAACACATACACTGTGGCAAAAAGGTACGGAAAATTCTGTTAATTTTTTGCCAGGACTCTCCTTAGCCCTCTTATCAATATTCTCCGTAGTCTCTTACAGTCAAGGGGTGACCCACTGTAAAATTTTATGTACAATGATTGTGTGAATGTGCAAGCATGTGCAAGATTTCTGGTGTTTTTGCCACACATGTTGCCTACTTACAGGCGTTTTTGGCTCCGTGGAATGTGGTCAAATTCTGTACAATGAATGTGGGAAGCTGTTCCCCCCTCACTTACAGTATTCTCCGTAGGGCCGTACAGTATTCTCTGTAAGTCCGCACAGTTCCGTAGGACCTGGAAGACTCTATAGTCTACGGAGATCACTGTAAGGTCCTACGGAGAATACTGTGCGGTCCTAAGGAAAATACTGTAAGAGCCTACGGAGAATATTGATAAGGGGGCTACGGAGAATTACCACAAGCTGTTTACAGAATTTTCCGTAGCTTTTTGCCACAGTATACCAGATTAAATTGCATAATGTACCCAGTTCAAAAATTCAACAGAACACAATATAAAAATCAAAAACTAACAAGTTTTAGGGGGACGGGGTCGCGAAATTTCGACTGGGCCGCGAAAATTTTTGGCAGCCATCTTGGGGTCGCGAGAAGAAAAAGGTTGGGAACCGCTGAGGTGGGTCCGCCACGCCGGCAATGTCAATGTCGTGATTTGCGGGTAATAACCCCGGAGACTGTACTACAGTGCTAGGCATTCCCATTCTTCTTGATGATTCTCGCCTTTGGGAGATAGGTGTTTGTCAAATATCTCTTCCATTTGTTAAAAAAATCAGCTAGCTACAAAAATGTTTCGCGATGCTGGCAAAATCACAGATTTTATGACTTTTTAACAAAATGTTCTCACGCCATTCTTCCAGTAAACGGCACTGCCGATCGTTCTGGCACTTTTAATCAATAATAAGGACCTTTAGTAAGTTGTTTTCGCTGAACCAACTCAAACATGTGTTCTCATTTCCTTGATATCAAATTTTAAACGAAAAAGAGCCCCCGGGGCAGGTAGTGACAGAACACTCTATTTACCGTATTTCAACGATTTAAACGTTTCACAACATCGATTTGACAACCGCGAAGTCAATTGTCACCAATTGTCACACAACGAGAAATAAATGAGACTTATTTGTACGACAATTTCGTAGAACATTGAATTTGATTTGCAAAAAAATTGGCGCAGTTCAGAATGCTTTGACATAAATAAAAGCTTAAAGAGCCTAAAAAGGATAATTTTGAATTAGCTGGAGCGTCGCTCTATGCTGGTTATGTGAGTTATGACCTGTCACTGTGCCCCGGGCTGTGGCACCAAGTGACAAGTGCAGGGGTCTACGGGAGGCTATTCAAATAATAGAAATAGGTGTCAAAGCGCAACAACGGGTCTTTGCGATCAATGAAGGATCAAAGCAACCTTCTGAAGTGTAAGCAGATTCATTTCTCGCACAGTATCAGAGTGAGTGCCAAAATCCAAAAAGTGTCACTAGGTGCCCCACCCTCCCTTACTCCACACCAGGAAGTGTGGAGTCAACGTTTTGTTTTACAGTGTGTGAGAGCGCCCGGTGGATAGGCTTCCCAACGTGCACGAGGGGAGTGAGGTCAAGCGCCCGGTGGACAGGCTTCCCAACGTGCACGAGGGGAGTGGAGGTCCCGCGCTGCTCATTACCATTACCATTAAGGGCTAGACCACACATGATCGTATGCCCTCGTTTCCCCTCTCTCGCGTCGAGCGCGTCACACTTATGCACACTTCTCGCTCTGTCTCTCTCGCCTTCATGGCTTGAGCCCTGAGGTGCGAGAGAGACAGAGCGAGCGAGACGTGCGAGCAGCGGAGTCGCTGCACAGAGTGTTTGAGACCCGCCGAGCTATTCGGAAACATTGGTTTCTCTCGCACCCGTACGGAGAGCCCCATGAGTGCGACAGAGACACAGCGACGAATGTCCATTCTGAATCGCTCGGCCGGGCCGTGGCGAGCACGGCGCCCCTGGCGGCAGAAGCGGGAACCAACTGCAGCCAGTCCCGTCCAATCGGCTTGCTTCTCGAGCAGAGCTCTCCTCCTGCATAGCTTCCCTGCCGATTATCGGCAGTCGCATCCGCTTAATCGCAGTCGCACTTGTTGGCAGCTGCCGGTCTGCTAGGCCAGTCTCTTGGTTATGCTTGAAGCCTGACAGTAAGGTAAAGTGAGGTTAAGGCAAAGTTATTAACCATCGATGTTGAGAGTGAAGCTCTGCTTGACAGCGTGCCGTAAACTCTGATAGAGTTTGACAGTTTACCAGCCTTTGCAGTTCTGTTTCGGATTTTTGAAACAAGCGCATTGGTAAGGATACTGATTTGTTTACATTTCACCAAGGGGTCCCTCACTCGGAATTTTGCTGTTCGCTTATTACTTGATTGTCTCGGATTGTTTGGGATTCTGTATGATTTTGTCCCGCTTAACAGGCGTTTTTGATTCAAGATTGTGGGATTGTCTCCTCCTAGCGTACACAGATTGTTTAAGTGTGGGACCCTTTGCATTTCACCAGGTGACAGCGTTCCATGAGTCAAGTCAGCTATATTTGTTTAAGTTGCGCAATGAAAAACTAGTGCGTTATTTCCTGTGAGAAGTTATCCCTGCGCAAGGCCCAGTGGCTTGTCAGAGGTGCCGGATGCAGGTGTCACTATCATAGTTTATCAGTAGATTGGTTCCGAACATCGGCCCATCGCTCCGTCTCTCTCGCACCGCCACTTGGCTCACCACGCGTGCGAGAGAGACGGAGAAACAACAGCGCAGTGAGTAATCGCTCCACAGTGGGCCAAAAGACCAGTGAAGGCTGCCAAAACTCTAGGCTCGTTTTGAGCTCCAGAGTCACTATTCACGACTCGAACCGGACGTGTGACCCCACCAATGGATTCCTCGTTCGGAGAGCAATCTATTGGTGGGGTGACGCGTTCGGTTCGAGTCCTATTTAGCGACTCTCGAGCTCAAAACGCGTTTAGAATTTTGGCCGCCTCCTCCGGTCGTCTGGCCCACTGTGCGCTCGGTTGGGCGCGGCTTCGCGCGTTCAGCATCGAGCGGCCGGCATTGCGCGACCGGCGGGGAGAGGGCGGGGAAGGGGGAGGCCCCAAGGTCACTGTCTGCCCGGCTGGCGGCTCGGCACGGCTCGGTCCCCGGGACGGCCCAGACGAATCGGGCATCAGGGGTAAGGGGGAGGAGGGCTGCTCTCTTTCGCGCGTTCCTATTTGACTGACGTCGGTGGCACGTACCTCTACGTTTATACTGAGCGCTCTAGTGAGCGACAAGCTTATTTCTCTCGAAAATGCTGTCGGCTTATACGCCCGCGACTTGCGAGTGACTAATGAAATTTCATATTGTTTTTCAATTTTCTGAGTTTTCTTTCTCTGCTTTTTTCATTGATTTCAGTCTCCCAAGTACCATAATCAGAAAACAGTTCAAATTTTTCCAAGTACGTATAAGTTCAAGAGAGTTTTGTGCCGGGAAGAGGTTTACTTCCTTGGAACTGCTCTTAGTGAGACCTAGTAACGTTTTCTCCAGTGCAATTAAAATCAGTGGCACATTTCATAAAGTCGATTGGCATTGTTTTTCACAAACCATTGTAATTAAAATTGCAAAAAATTGTTACTTGGTTCACAATCATGTTATGAAAATTATCCGTTGTCGGTGCCCCAAACTGCGTAACATAGTAAATCGACAGCCCCTTAGTGCGGACATTGTGAACTGCTCACTCTTAGCCTCGTCCTTACTTTTTTTGATCAGTTCATAGACCTTTTCTCTTTTGCTTACGTATAAAGTTTTAGTGCCGAGTTTTTGTTTTAAACAGAAAAAGTCAAAACGATGCTGCGCGTGCTCTGTGTAAGTTACTTTCCTTCCCTGCTCACATTTTCTATGTACCAATACCAACGCATGTGTATGCGTATAACGTCTTGTAGCGTCCACTCTCGGGTACTTCTTTAACATCTGTTCCACACTGGTAAAGCTGCAGCGTAACATTTCCCTCTGTCTTGAAGCGCCATCAGTTTGCGCTCGAAATCAAGCATATTAAGAAGATTATCCGCTCAGATTGTCCCATGGAGGGTTTTGGAGGGGGAAACGTGAATCACGTAATGGCTTTGATCGTAACTGTGTGCCTGATGGCTACGCTTCAGTTTCACAAGTGCTAGCGGGCCAACCTACACTCTAAGTCCTATGGTGAAGATTCTCCATATTACGGTGAAAATTCTCCATAAATGGTGCTGCAGCGGACGTCGTAACTTACATTTCAAAATCCATTGTACCTTACAGATATTTAGTCGAATTTCTTTTGTATCATGGAGAAAATCTGCACCATTGGTGCAGCCTTTCACCGTAAGACATTTAGAGTTTTTTTGGCTGAGCGATAGCGAAGCCCTTGCCGTGTTTGGGCGCGCTGAAAAGTGACTGGTCGTGCGTCTGTCTGTTTGTACTCACCAACGATTCTCAGCAACTACAGTGGCTATAGTTTCAAGATTTCGTATTTAACGTCGCCTTAGTACCCCCCAACACGAGTTTGTTTCAAATCGTTGTTTAGTATCGTTTGAAATATTCAAAACATACTTTTGAATCAGGTTATTGGCTGAGCGATAGCGAAGCCCTTGCCGTGTTTGGGCGCTCCAAAAAGTGACTGGTCGTGAGTCTGTCTGTCCGTCTCTCTGTCTGTATGTAATCACTCACGTTTCTCAGCAACTACTGAACGAATAGTATCCAAATTTCACACCTGATGTCTCCTAAACATCCTACAGGGGGAGTTTATCTCAGATTAACAATTATCATCGTTTGAAATATTCCAAACATCGTTTTGAACTAGGTAATTAGCGCGGTTAGGTTGGTAGCAGTGTGTGGCTGACCAATTTCTCATACCGGCTGCCGCGCTTGCAAGTCGTCTGCAAGACGGGACGGCACTTATGCAAATAAACAAACTAAAGAGCAAAGGGGTTCTCAAATAGGTTCTGAGATAGTTTTTTAACATTCTAGAATGATTGAAACCCTTCCGGAGTGTCAACAGAGGAAAATACGAAAACTGAATGTGAGCATGGTTTGCGTGTTTCGTTCCCCTCTCCCCCCTCCCCCGTCACAGGGGAATCTTCCTTTAGGTCAGTGCACTGTGAGTGTAGTTGTGGATTGTAAATAGAATGTTTCCTTTGCCTTTGTGTGCATCTACTGATTTTATTCTCTTTGAAACTATCCTGTTTTTTTAAATTTCATAGTAAATGAAATCAGGTAAATGCGTTGAAATTAGAAGACATGTTAATTGTCTTGGTTTGTCTCGGGAAATGACATTCTATTGCAATGCTGCAAGCTAACATAAATATTCTAGTACTAACATCTATTGATTAAAAGAATCCATAAATAGATGTATTTAGTGCAATAAATAATCCATATATTTAGTGCTAATAGATTTTGAATTGATATTGGGTTCAATGACACGATTCAGGTTTTGAGCGGTGGGTGACTTGGTAATTGGATTTAATGACACGATTGCTTTCACTTCACCAAAGTTTGTGTCCGACAACTGGAACCAAGTATTGGTAATGGTTTAGAAGCTGGTTCTCTGAATGTAAGCCCAATGTTAATAGTATACTGTATTCTTTTACTCCAAAGATAAAATATCACGAGGCATGATTAAGGTAAATTATGTTGGCGTATTGAGCAACAAGTGGCCTCTGCATTTGACTTCATGAGACGATTCACTGAATTTGACAAAACTTGTTCTCCGTCGAATGCTTCAGATCAGCCTGCCCTTAACTGAGTCACTTAATGTAAACTATGATTACATATTCCAGTCTATATTGTTTAATTCACTGGTTTAAAATGAAAGAATGACAAAAGGCTTCTCAAATATAACTAATAAATTTGTGAATTCATTAGTTGGAAGAAAATGATGTATCCAATAGTGATTCAAGCAGACGAATAGCAAATTAAGCGATTCAATGCTGGCAATGGAATGTTACTCGACTGAAGGAATCGCATTGGTGTGGCATCAAGGTATTTGGTGACGACAAAGGGTGATCCATGAAGACCAACCCAGACCCATTCTTTACCCATTATTGATCAATTTGATATCAATATTTTTCAATCGAATCTCATATTGATTTTTGGAGTGCTGATTATGAAAACCACTTCCATTTCTACTCCAGACTTATATTTTCATCTCAAATAAGGTCATTTCGGACCAAAATTTTCAGGTCGAGTTTTATATTGTTTCCTGCAGTGTTTGATGAGGTGAACTCAAAAATAACTTCAAAATTTTTCCCAGACTCACGCTTTACCAAATTTTGACCAAATTTGGACCAAAATTCTTGAATTGAGTTCGATGTTGATCCCAACAGTTTTTTGTGTGCTGATAACGCAAATCACCTCCATTTTGACTCCAGACTTATATTTTCATCCCAAATTAGGTCATTTTGGACCAAAATTTTCTAATCGAGTTTTATATTGTTTCCTGCAGTTTTTGGTGCGCTGAACTCAAAAATGACTTCCAAATTTTTCCTAGACTCACGCATTGCCGAATTTTAACCAATTAAGGACCAAAATTTTGGAATCGAGTTTGACGTTGATTCCAACAGTTTTTTGTGTGCTGATAACGAAAATCACCTCCATTTATACCCCAGACCAACATTTCACTGAATATGAGCCCACAAGCTGCACATTTCGTCTACATAAGCAGAGTCCGAAATGCACAAATTCGCATCGCTCAGCCACACTACGCGCCCACACTAAACGGCGCGTACCCCTAGTTAGCATGGTTAGGTTGGCAGCACTGAGCACTTACGAATTTCTCATACCTGCGGCCGCGGCCGTGGCTCTCAAATACGGGACAGAAGCAAATAAAACAAAATAACGAGCAGAAGGGTTTGGAAATGAGATCGGCCATAGTTTTTCCACATTCTAGAATGATTAAAACCCTTTTAGAGTATCAACACAGCGAAATATGGAGAATGGCAGTGAAAATGATTTACGTGTTTCGTTCCCCTCGCCCCCCCTCCCCCTTTCGAGGGGAATCTTCTTCAGGTCAGTGCACTTTGACAGAGCAGTGTAAAAAGAATGTTTTTATTTTGACCTTTTGTATTGTGGGCATCTACTTGTTTCATTTTCTATAGTGTCATCCTCTTTTGTAAATTTTCATAGTAGAGGAAATCAGGGAAATGCATAAATAACTTGTGTTGAAATTAGCAGGCATACTTAGTTTGGACTCGAGAAATACATTCTATTGCAATGCTGCAAGCTGACAAGAGTGCAAAAGTACTAACATGTGTTTATTAATAGAATCAATGTATGGTTGTGTATATTTAATCCTAATAGAGTTTGAATTGATATTGGGTTCAAAGAGACGACTCAGGTTTTGAGCGGTGAGTGAATTAGTGAATGGATTTAATGAGACGATTCCTTTCACTTCACTGAAGTTAATATAACTGGTACTACTCAGTATTGCATACCTGAGTAAGATAAATTGTGTCGGTTCATTAAGCCTTGGGTAGCCTTGGCATTGGACTCTATATGACGAATCACTGGATTTGACAATAATTGGTCCCCGTTAACTGGTTCAGATCAGCCTACCCTAAAGTGACTCACTTAATATTAACTGTGATAACGTATGCCAATCAATATTGTTTTATTCACTGGTTCACAATGAAAGAATGACAAAATGTTTCATAGATATTACTTATAAAATTGAGAATTCATTAGTTAAGAAAAAAGAGATATCGAATAGTGACCCAATCATACGAGTAACCAATTAAGCGATTCAATGCTGGCAATTGAATGTTACTCGACTGAGGGATTCACATTGGTGTGGCATCAGGGAATTGGTGATGACAGAGGGTGCTTCATGAAGACAGTGTAGGAATGTACAGAAATTGAGTCTAGATAGTTGTTTGTAGATTTCAGTGTACTAGTCACAAAAGCTACATTTATTTCAATGCCAAACCTACACTTTCACCTAGAGCTACGCAATTTGGGGCGAAACTTTCTAATTTGAGAGTCATGCGTTTCCCTGCAGTTTTCAGTGCGCTGACTTTAATATTGACTTCTAAATTGTCCCCAGACCCAAAATTTAACCGATTTTGGGTCAAATTTTATAAATTGAATTGCACATTGATTCTTGAAGTTTTTTGAGTGCTGATAGCAAAAATCACTTCCATTTTGACATCAGACTTTTATTTTCATCCGAAACGAGGTCATTTTGGACCAAAATTTTCAAGTCGAGTCTTATATTGTTTCCTGCAGTTTTTGGTGTGCTGAACTCAAAAATGACTTCCAAAATTTTCCCAGACTCACACTTACCCGAATTTTGACCAATTTTGGACCAAAATTTTTAAATCGAGTTTGACATTAATCCCAGCAGTTTTTGGTGTGCTGATAACGAAAATCACTCTCATTTCGACTCCAGACTTATATTTTCATCCCAAATTAGGTCATTTTGGACCAAAATTTTCAAGTCGACTTTTATATTGTTTCCTGCAGTTTTTGGTGTGCTGAACTCAAAAATGACCTTCAAACTTTTCCCAGACTCACATTTAACCGAATTTTAACCAATTTTGGACCAAAATTTTTAAACCGAGTTTGGCATTGATCCCAGCAGTTTTTGGTGCTCTGATAACGAAAATCACTTCCATTTGTACCCCTGGTCTAAAGTTCACTCAATATGAGTCCTTAAGATGCACATTTCGTCTTCTCAAGCAAAGTCCAAAGTGCACAAACCATGTCAATTCGCATCGCTCAGCCACACTACGCGCCCAGACTAAACGGCGCGTACCCCTAGTTTAGGTTTTCTAATGTATCCGTTTCATTTCCAACAGCCATGGAGGGCGACGGCGGTGACCTGAACCAGCTGGCGCTGCAGCTTGTCATGGACTGGCTACCCACCCAGGACGTGGTCAGCGTCGGACAAGTCTGCCGGAAGTGGCGGGAGGTCGCAAAGGATCCTTTCGTGTGGCGTTCGCGTCAAGCGCCGGACAGTGAGTGTTAAACTGAAAACGCAATGGTCGGACGCACGGCCAAATCGTGGCGTGACAAAAAAGTCACGACAAAAATTGGCGTGACACGAAATTCACGCCGATAAACGGCGTGACATGTGAGTCAGGCCCTCACACTGAAAAACCGAACGTGGTCTAGACGGCACCAACTGGTGTGGTCAAATGGATGCCATTTTGACCGCATCAGTTGGTGTGGTCTAGATCACGTTTGGGGCGTTTGGTGCGGTCCCACACCAAACGTGGTCCAGACCACACCAACCACGTACGGTTTTTCAGTGCATTTGGCTTGAATGACAATGCGTCTTATGAGACAAGTCGTGCCAAAAAGCGGCATGACAAGAAATTCACACCAAAAATTGGCGTGAATCTTTGAGTCACGCCGATAGATTTTCAGTGTGAAAATTGGTTCAGAACCGCTAAGACAAGGACTAATTAAATTCCACCCAGGATGACGTGATTACGGCATGGAGTGCGGCCACTCTCATTTGAGGCGTGCACTAGATTACGGAATCGTGGGAATTTTACTGGAAATTTCGCGTACAATTTTGCTATATATGTTCTAAAACGCCATGAAAGCGACTATTTCGTCAAGGATTACGTGATAACCGCACGGATTACTGGAGATTACTGGAGATGTTGGCATAGATCTCAAATATATGAGATTGTGTGGTGGTGACTCTTACATTGAAACGTTTCACCAAGCATCATGACGTTACGTTACGTGACGTCCCATTCGATTAAAAGGACTGACTTATGTCCCATTTTTTCGCTTCCTTAAGTGTGCATTCTGATTCACAGTGAACCGATCGCCCGAGGCGTCCGACAGAAAATTATTTTGGCGAGTCATCAAATTTGCACCATTTGTACGGAAGATGAGCGTGGAGCAGCCGGAAGAATTTCTTGGAGGACAGTGGTAAGAAAACCATCAATTTCAGCTGAACTGCCGGTAGTTTGGGCTAGAATTCCGATTCAGACTTGAATAAAGGAAATTCTTTTCTTTTATAGGCCTCAGTTCTACGAAAGCCTTGGCAACGAAGACACCGCTAAAGTAAGTGCAAATTGTATTTTGTATATGATCGTGGAATTTCGCACTTTTCTGTGAAATCAATGCTGTTCAGAAATGTGCACTTTTTACATACTTGAAAGACCCGACTCCAGTTAATACAGTAAAACATTTGTAACACTGTGTTTTGCATGGTTTATCCTACAATGTGCGTAGGTACTGGTTTTTGGGCAACCATTCCTTTACATTTTCCATTACAAGTTCAGTTTCTTCAGTGTTTTTTTTTTAAATAATATTTTAGGTGCTCTGCCCTCTTTCTGTTTTAAGCACGGAGCTTTGAAATTTTTGATCATTTTTTGAAACTGATTTCATTGAAACTGAACCGATCTTTGAGGCAGTATTTCGACACCATGACCTGAAAACCAATGTCATTTTCCGAACCCCAATTATGTTTGTAGCGTTTTCAAAACGTTCAATGAGAATGAAAGTCACGGAGGTATTCTTTATCACCTGACTTTGGTGGGTGACCCTCACCCAGACTTGTGTGATACTATCTAGGTTATATAGATTGCTGAATCACCCAAATTGGGTGCTGAAACCTTTCTCATCCGACTTTGGGTGATAAAATGATTATCACCCAAATTCGGGTGTTAAGGCCGTAGGAGCGCAATTTTTTTTTTTCGCTAATCGATAGTGATTGATGTGTTGAACCATCATGTCGAACCGTTTTGCCCTGCGACGCTTAGTTTAGGCGTCGCGACGCCTCAAAGTTCGAAATTTTAACATTTTTGGAAGCACCGATTGAGAGAATGAAAAGTCGCAGCGACCTGAAATTTTGCACACACGTTGGCAGTGACCATATGAAGGGCAAGTGGTGTTTTGATTTGCGTCCCAAGTTCCAGGAGCACTCCTGGAACGCCTTGAAAGTAAGTGATTTTTGGAAAGCCACTGAGAGGGACCTAATAATACGGAGAGAAAACGAAACCCCAAGTGCCCTAGGCCCAATCTTCCTCTTTACGGCAAAGTTTTTCCGATGACGCCACGACTTGTGGTTTTCGAGATCCGTGCGTTAGAAAACTACCCAGATTTGCAGGTCCTGCACCAGTAGAGAGAGACAGGCTGCTTCGGCCGATGTGTTGTTTCCGTCGCACACCGGAGCTCGAGGCAGGTAGTCGGGGTCCGGGGTGACGCGCCGGGCGGACAATAGGCGAGCCGTCAAGGAGCCGTCTGCAATGCAGGCGGCACCGGGCCCCGACCAGTTTTGGCCGATTTTCGTCGCGATTTCGGTAGAAATTATCGTAGAACAGGAATTCAAACACCATTCGACCCAGCTTTTTACAACGAATCTATTGCCGCATTTTCCAAAATCGGAAAAAGGCTCGTTTGAAAATTTCTATTTTGGGTCTTGGGGTTATAAATCAGCCTGTCATCATCGTCGCCTCGGCGCAGCCCATTGTGAAGCAGGCCTCTCCATACAAAAGGGAGGCGGTCCCTTCGCTACCTGAAAGCTTAAATTTTTCTAACGCGTCGTTTGACGCTGATGGGATGTTCCACTCTAAAAAAAATGCCTCTTAAATTTCATAATCTGGATTTGAAGTTATTTGTAGAACTATGGATCTTAAATTTTATAACATTTAAGTTCTGAAATTTTATAATCACTTGTTCTGAAAAATCAGAAGCGGTTTATCAAATTTCATAAGCAATTTATAAGTTTTTTCATAACAAATTAGTTATAGAAACTCATATCCCGTTCTGATTCTTCATGTCAGATAATGAAATATCAAAAATGATGTATCAATTTTCACATTGAATTGGCTATAAAAACTTAGATCTCATTCTAATCCTTCATGTTACAATTTATGAAATCTAAGATCGGTTTCAAATCATATTCTGAATTTCTATACACAAATACTCCCAGTTTACTTGATGTGGAGGAGCTAAGGAATTCGAGAATTCACTGTCACAACAATTAAAGGTGATACCGTGTATTGAATAAATAAATAATACATACATTTGAACAATGTCTCAACTAAAGTTAATCAGTCTTTAAAAATTTCATTATGGCATCAATAACCATAAATAAACATTAATTTTCTAACAAAAAAGTCAATTGACTAAATTGACAATTGACTAAAGCATTTCACAGATTGTGAGCAAATACAAGGGAAGTCTCCCAGTAAATAAATGGCACTCCAGTTGACTAAAACACGAAACAGAACGAGAACTGTTAAATTGTACAGTAAAGCGCGTTGAGTAAATGCCAAGCTGACATCATCCTTGCTGTTGTCTCTGAAATCAAAGCAAAGACAAATTGTGAAACTAAATAACTCTAAATTAAAGTATTGTTAACACCTATATGAATTGCAAGTACATACCGAATTCAAGCTCCAAGGTGAAGAGAACGCCTGCAGGCTTTCAAACAATTGAGCCACTTTGGGACAGACAGGATTTCTACTTTTACTGTTGCTCTTGGTTCCCTTGTTTGGATTCAGCAACAGAAAACACCTGAAAATAAACTTAAGTTAGCCCACAATAATTAACTTCATCATAAAAGCAAGACTCTGAAATGTTTACCTTTGAATAAACTCCAGCGTAGCCTTTACCTCAGGTGTGTACCGGAAACCAAACACATAGAAAGAAAGGAATGCATAGAGAATCCCCTCCAAAAGACTGTCAGTTTCTATAACCACATCGCTCAGAAGGACCACTGTGACTCTTGAACTGTGATCAAATATTGAGTGTCCTAAAAGAAAAACAAAGGATAAACACAAAAAACAATTAATTGAATGATATAACAATACACCATAAAAGCGCAGTACAAAGGACAAACTCACCACTTACTACAACGATAGGATTTCCATTTGCACCCTTGGCTGCATTTAGGAGGTCTGTGTTAGAGGCTCCATCCTACAACAAAAATAAAATAATCATTATAGTCCCAGTACATAAAAGCCTCCCCTGCTCACTACTGCATCAGTGCTACATGTTAAGAAACATACCTTGAGCACTTGGAGGAATACCTCCTGTTTTTCCCGGAAATGCCAGAAGAGTAGCGGAAAGATGGCACTTGCATTTGTGTCGCCTTCATCTAATACATCACAAGACGCTTTTAGAGCCAGTAACTCACTGATTTGTTTTGGGACACTCCTCCTCCTTTCAGGGGCAGTAAGGCAGAGGGTATTCATATATTTAAAAATGTCACTGGCCTTTGCTCCAAGTTCTGACACCCACACATTCACAACATCTTTGCCCAGCAAAGCAGTTGCGTGGCCGAAGAAATACTTGGGTTCCTTAAGATGAGGCCACCTAATGAGCACATTGCGTAGTTTGGAAATCGGTCTGCAGTTGATTATGTCCACTCGCTGAGTGGGGTAGGTGGTTACCATCAGGTTCTTGATGAGGACTTCCGACTCCATGGTAAGAAGCATTTGTCGCCTCTCTTCTTGATCTGCAGGAGTTTCGTTAGGTGGAAGAGGAGGGTTATAGTTGACACAGCCATAATCATCAAATTTGGAAGATTGGACTTCATTCCCAATAGGCTCTACATCATCAGCATCTTCGGTATTAGATTCCACAATCAGGCGGCGACGCTTCTTTGCTGGAATTCCAAGGCATCGTTGCTTCACATACTTCTTGTGGTTTAACAAGTTATAGATCGAAGTGGTCACACTTTCCAGTCCTGTGTCAATGACAGATCCGCCAACTGTCACATTGAAGATGGGTTGATATTTACCACCTCCATACGATAAAATGGCTTTAACATAGCTCTGACAAATGGGTCTAGAATAAACTGGGACATTGTCCTCAATAAACTTGCCGCAGTGGTGTACTACCTCCTTTACAGCTCTCTTCTTGATTTCACGAATGTTTCTTGGGAGAGATTCCTCCCGCATAACATCAAGAACAGGGTCAAGAGCTTTGCAGATGGGCCCAATAGTTAAGGGAGGAGGGGTAGGCTGAGCTTGAGGAGTTACTGGAACAGTTGAAGACCCGTTAGAATTGCCGCTGCCACCAGAATGTGACTCATCGGATGAATTACCACTGCCACAATCTAGAACAAAAAGACCCAAAAACTTCAGTATATGAACTACCAAACAGCACTAAGTGGGAATGTTTAAACACAACAGACATTAGCTATAAATTATCCATCATTAAGTGATTAACATGGATAAGTTGAAAACACCCAGTAACATACCTATGGTTTCTGGAGTTCTGTTCGTGGGGCGTTCTTGGGGCACTGTTGCAGTCCAAGTACACGATTGGGGCAGGAGGATTAGACACAGTTGCTGGCCAGGTTGGTTGGACAGTTCAGTAAATGCCTCTTCCTCATCTAAGTCTAACCCTCCTTGAGGTCCATTCCCTTCCAAGCATAGCTGCAAGCACAAAACAAACCTAGGAATGACACATCTGTCAGCACATATCTTTTTGAAATATTTTTACATCCAACATACCTTATATTCATCCGGGAGGGGAGGAAGCCCAAATTTTTGTAGAGCCTTCTCCATTAACTGGGAAAGATTTGCAGCCATCACAAGCTTCTTGATAGTGCGGTCCTGGTTGTGAACTATTACGAGTGGCATCTTTGAGAGGTTAGGGACCCCTGAAAGAAAGCACACAACAGTCAAAGACAAAACCGATGGGACAGCATCGCAGGCGTGTTATTCGCGATGTGTTTGAACCGTGAAACTACATATGTATTCGTACGTCACATCACTTTCAAAGTCGAACAGTCAAGCAAAGCAGGAACGTTCGGCACTCCAGACAAAACCCCTCAACAGCGTTTAGGCTAAGCGTGCCTACATCGTCGCTTCCATCAACGAAAACCTTTCAGAAAAAAAACTCGTTTTGAAATACCTGTTCAGGAGATGCTGTGCTTCTTTGCCAAGATGGGCAACGTCAAGCAGTGCAGGACTGAGGACAACTGACAGCGGCGACAGGTGCAACGAAAGTGAAATCAGCAGTGCCTCGCGGAGACGCCATCAGCTGTTTGCACCGGAAGCTTCCAGGTTGCCATTTTGAAAAAGTCAACATGGCCAACCTCGTACGGATGAAAATAATTTTTGGAAATGTAGTAAAATGGTGTAGATATGGCAGTAGAAAACATTTCAAACCCAAAGATTGAAAAGAAATTTACTTCAAAGTATAAAGTATCATTTATTGGATTGACGTGTACATATTTTTCGTGAAACGAATACTAGTAAACTTTTTCTGGTGGTAGCCTTGGAAAAAGAACAAAAGGAAGAAGTCTGAAGTTTATAAAATCCACCAGTTAAATGGCAACTACCATCAACAACACCAAAGTGAAACACACTTACTCTTGCTGCTCCGAGACTTGTAGAGTGCAATGGTTTCTCGCATTTTATTTGCTGACTGTAAAATCGAAGATGGGGTAAGGCTGGCGGGAGCAACCCAATTTTTTTAAATTGTACAGTACTTAGAAATGCTCAACATCTGTCCTACCTGAAAACTGTTTTACTTTTGAGCATTAGCTCAAGTGTTGAATTTGATAGAAATTGTACATTGTTGTAGGTTTTAGGACTACAAGACACTGACCACAGCAACAACAACAACTCAGAAACCGCTATGGGGTGCCACGATGAGTCGGTGTGGGAATCGGATGAGCCAGAGTCTCTCAATAAACTCAAGGTATGGTACTCCACTTGACTGGAGATATGACTTATTGTGTCAATATCAATATGGTGAAATCATCTAACTTCCATTTTAAACATTGTTCCAGGCATTGGGCCAACAAGAAGCCAACAACAGTGACAACTCTGAACCCACAGTGGCCTGCCATGATCAGTGGTCGTTCGAATTGAGAGAGCCAGATTCACCCACAAAATACAAGGTAAATGTAACTTCAGCATTTCTTTTGTCACGCTATGGTATTTCAGGTATAAAAAATGTGAATCTAAACTAGTGTGACTTTTTGTGTCAATGTAAATATTGTGAAATCATCTAACTTCTGTGGTAAACATTGTTCTAGGCATTGGGCCAACTAGAAGCCAACAACAGTGACAACTCTGAACCCACAGTGGCCTGCCATGATCAGTGGTCGTTCGAATTGAGAGAGCCAGATTCACCCTCAAAATACAAGGTAAATGTAACTTCAGCATTTCTTTTGTCACGCTATGGTATTTCAGGTATAAAAAATGTGAATCTAAACTAGTGTGACTTTTTGTGTCAGTGTAAATATTGTGAAATCATCTAACTTCTGTGTTAAACATTGTTCTAGGCATTGGGCCAACAAGAAGCCAACAACAGCGACAGCTCTGAATCCGTAGTGGCTGGCCATGATGAGTGGTCGTTTGAATCGAGAGGGCCAGATTCACCCACAAAATACAAGGTAAATGTAACTTCAGCATTTCTTTTGTCATGCTATGGTATTACAGATAAAATAAATGTGAATCTAAATCATACTTTTTTCTTACAGTTGAAACAGCTTGAAGTCAGAGTTGAATACCTGTCACATCAAATGGAGCACTTGCAGTGGCACAATGCAATGTATAGAAGTGCATTGGCAGCTATACCTTCTGGCCCTCAGACATTCAACATCATGAGAGAAGTTATAAAAGAGAAGAGGTCAAAAACTCCATTATGCCTTGAATGTGAAAAAGATGATTTGATTTCTAAACTGGCGTCATACCAAAATGCATGTCCACTACAAGAATCTCAACTTCAATCGCCTCCCTCTTCTTCAATTTCACCAGTGTTTTGCTCGACAAAGGTAAATCAAGAAACTGAATAATTCCGAAATGTACTCTATTTGTATGTGTATGTTAAGTTAACCCATCGTTTATATAATTTCAGAGGAAAAGGCGACAGAAGAAAACAGAAGAAAACAGTGAATATCTTCCACTTTAATAACTTAGATTCTATGATTTTTATTATGAGTTTTATTAAAATGACAACATATTAATTAGAATAAATGTAAATACAATTGTCAAATAAGGTAGTAATCTGTCATCCCTTAAAATCTTCTATTTTTAAAGTTTACATCAGAACATTGCCACAGAAAATACTGCTCTGCAGGCGAACAAAAGTAGCAGTACCAATCTTATAATCACGGACAACAGAATATGATAACAAAGATGAATGTTCTACACACCTGTACATCTTCCTCACACCCAGCTTGTACACCCTTAAGTGCTCAATGAATTCTGCTTCCAGAACTTCAACAAGGAAAAATACTGCTAAATTATTGTCATGAAGAATTAAAACGATTCTTCCAAACTGGACTTCACACTGATAGTGAGTTTGCTGCACTAGTAACAACATTCCTTTTTTATACACTGTGCCTTTTACTACAATAGATGCACATTCCTGCATGAGATCTGGTAAATTTTCTGGGAAGGCTCTTTGTATATCTAAAGAGTACAGGTTTCCATGAAACTCTCCTGACACATTAGGTTTGATTTCACATTGCAGATTAACTCCAGTTCTCAAGTAGCTCATGAACAATTCATGCTTTAGGCTGAACGAGAATAAAATATTTCTGAAGTTCTTGAGCATTCGAGCAAAGCGTTTAAAAAAGGAGTGCTTTGATTCAAATCTCATGGTCCATACCTGAGCCAGTCCTCCAAAGAAATACACTAAAAATGAGTAATGTGTTAAATAATGGTGTTTTGGGCGTAGCAATACACCAGGGAATGTCAGTTTTCTTAAATCAAGATAATCATAAACAATAGACTCTAGGTAAGCAAGCACAGAAGTATGAGAGTAAGGCGCAGAAACAAGTTCCACTATTTCGCTTAAAAGTAGCAGTGCCCGCCACACTAAATTGTTCTGCTTCTCTTCCCAGTCATCAACCAAATCCTTGATAAGTAGAGGGAGCAACCTCAGAAAGCACCAAATTTGCATTGCTCCGCCTGAAATTTTTTCACAACCTTCGGTGAAAGTGTTTGGCTTATCCCTGTAGTCAGCACAATTGTACTTAAAACTGTCAATTTTTTCATTGAGTTCAGGGACAGTAAACCACTTTTCAGAGACAAAATAATTCACAAATAATGCCAGATCATGAGCAACTACACCTTCATGAAGGTCATGGGCAAGGCAGCTCGCAAGGCCTGGATTGCATACATGAAAGTGATCCAGCTTGTTAAACTCACTGTCAAATTTGACACCCATCCTATGGCGGGGACCAGCTCTTAAACAATCATTATAGGACTCTGGTGTACGCAGAGGGAACTGCTCATAGTGATTAGCATGAAATGATGCTCGATCAACTAGACAATAGCGACAAAAAAAGGTGCTCCTGCTAAAATTCTCATTGAAGCCTCCAACGGAATGATGACCTAAATTGTCACCTGAAATACATACTAAGCCAGCCTTAACAGTCCCATGCTGTGGTAAGAGAACACCATTTGTTTCAAGATCTTTCAAATCTTTCACAATTTGGCCATACACCTTCTTGTGATTAAATTCTTTGTCTTTGTATAGGGCCACAAGATGGATGGAATTTACATGAGTGCGAATGTGACGAGGAATGTTCAAAATGCTCATGTACACACCAGTAATTTTGTGTTTGTTCTTTCCATAGCCAGCACAAACTTGAAATCCATCTTGATACAGCATCAACCGAATTGATCTTGGATTTTGTTGAAAAAATGGATTATTTTTGTAAACAAGTCCATCTGTAATATCTTCTAAAATATTAGGGTCCAATTGTACAGGAGGCTCTAGGCTAATAGTAATTGACTTGTCCCTGAAAGCAGCTTTCAAAGTCTCAGCTATTGGAACATAAAAAAAATAACATTTTGGTTTGACCAAGGGAAGCTTTTCAGGTTTAACAAAATCAAACTTCTTCTTATAAAACTCTGTTCTGGTATGACTGCTTCTCAAATTATGATGGCTTTTCTGATGGGTGCTGTATGCTTCACGTAGGACAGTCTCTAAGTTTTGTGCAGTAATATTTTCTTGAAGAACTTTTTTTTTCAATTTAGAAGACACCTCATTATATGACTGTTCATGCAGTAGCTGAAATTCCTTTGAAATATACTGCACTGTTCTTGCTGGTATTAAGCACTGAAACTCAAGCTTCAAAAAGAAAGTAGCCAGGCACTCCTGATAGACCTCATGATCGAATAGAATTGGCTCAATGGTCTCTTCAATAGTATCTTCAGTTTGAGCAGCTGTAATTATTTCAGGCAGCATTTCTGCACAGACAAAGTTGCTAGGATCATCACAAGGAACTTGAACTGGCCCTTCTTTTCCCCGATGCATTCTGCTCATATGACAACTAAAAGAGCTTACGTTGCGATAAACTTGAGTACAAGCAGGAAATGGACAACGTATGGCTATACCTGACAGGAGATGCATTCTGAGGTGCTTGCTAAGGTCTTTACAGGTATGGAATTTTTTCTTGCAAACAGCAAGCGAGCACACATAAACTCCATCACGAGAGGAAGGAACAACAGGAGCTGATGGATATAGCGTTCCTTGCTTGCATTGTAGCCCATGTACACGAATAAGGTGTGTTCGCAGGTAAGCCTCAGAAGTGCACACACACTTACAATCATCCACTCCACAAGGAAAGTGTCTATTGACATGCCGATGGATAGTCTGATGACTCAGGTAGTCCTTGATAGAAGAATTTGTGAAGGAGCAGAAACGGCATGTTAATTTGATTGCAGACACACCTGTAGAATCAAGGATAAAAGTGGATTAGTGAGAGATATTTTTAAAAAAAATTAAGCATTTTAACAATTAATACATACTCATTGTTGGTTGTAGCAGGAAGTAAATGGTTCCCAAAAAATTAAGCCCCAAAAATAAAAAAGTTCCAAAGTGGACATTTCCAATTTGTGTTTTGCCAAAGTCTTATTTGTTCCAAAAGATCTATTTCCCAATATTTATTTTCCCTCCGAATCAACTGATTTCCAAAGGGCGGTGGAATTGTTAGGTTAGGACTTACTGGACCTGCATAAGGAAGAAGGAGTGCAGGGCAACGGCAGTGACGGTGTTCGAGGAAGGGGCAGTGCAGGTACAGAAGGAGCGCGAACACTCACACGCCCCTAACCCAGCGGTTCCCAACCTTTTTCGGTTCGCGACCCCAAATTTGGAACAAAAAATTTCCGCGACCCCCGGGAAAATTTCGCGACCCCACGCGACCCCTCCTTTAGCAGCCTTTGATACAAAGTGCGATAATTCACCTTAGTTTGGGAGCAGTATTGCCGCAAAGTTGATCAAAAGGGCCACAAATGTTTTTTAAAAAATCGTTTTTTGGGGCCGACTTTAAGCAGCCACTGCGTCTGATCCGAGGCGGTATTTCGTCCTCCCTCGACGGGCATTTGGTCTTTCGACCTTCCTTTAGCATGCCTTTGTTACGGAGTGTGATTATCTGCCTTAGTTTGGGAGCAGTATTGCCACAAAGTTGATCAAAACGCTCAGAAATTTCTTTGAAAAATCGTGTTTTAGGCCGACTTTAAGCAGCTACTGCGTCTGATCCGAGGCGGTATTTCGTCCTCCCTCGACGGGCATTTGGTCTTTGGACCTTCCTTTAGCATGCCTTTGTTACGGAGTGCGATTATCGGCCTTAGTTTGGGAGCAGTATTGTCTCAAAGTGGATCAAAATGGCATTCAAAGGCATTTTTTACTGTTTTCATAAACTTTGAGACAATACTGCTCCCAAACTAAGGCCGATAATCGCACTCCGTAGCAAAGGCATGCTAAAGGAAGGTCTAAAGACGAAATGCCCGCTGGGGAAAGGACGAAATACCGCCTCGGATCAGACGCAGTTGCTGCTTAAAGTCACCAAAAACAGGAATTTTAAAAGGCATTTTCGACCGGTTTGAACAATTCTGCCACCCGGGGAAAACAGCCGCGACCCCAGGCGCCCCCAAACCACCTCGCCGCGACCCCTCGAAATTTTTTCGCGACCCCATTTGGGGTCGCGACCCTAAGGTTGGGAACCGCTGCCCTAACCGAGAAGAGGTCGAGGCTGAAAAGGCACTCGCCTCAATGAAGCGGATCGCCACTGAGCATCCAGAGATTCCGAAGAAGTGGCGTGACCTTCAAACCCGCATCCGCGCCATCGTTGGAGACTACCAGACCTACAAGGATGAGCACCGAGTCCTGGACTACCTCCGAACCCTGGGCCACCACTTCCAGCTATAAATTGTTTTTTTTTTTTCCCCTTTTGGGGAATTTTTTTTTTGGGACTTCAAAACATTTTGGGAAAATTTGGGAAAAAAGGAATAAATATTTTGGACAACTTTTTTTTGGGCATTACAGTTTTAGGGAAAAATTTCTGTTGGGACAATAGGATTGGGAAAAATGACCGTGAACCCACCCGCTCCTACGCCCTTAACGTATACCTCGCCCAAACTTTGCAACTGATGATAAAGACTCCTTCATTCTCAGTGTTCGCGGACTCTGTTGTGAGATATCGCCCCATATGCATTAAGTGAAATCATTAATTAGTTTTGGCGCTTCCTCCCCAGGCTCGAGGTCTCCGCATCCGGTTCGGACTGGAAGGCGACGAGACGCCACAGTGGGCGCACAAGATGCTGCGCCGCCTCGGCCCCCACCTCGAGATGCTGGAGGTGGAGAACCCGAGCCCGGCGGACGCGGCCGTGATCCGGGACCTCGTCCTAGGCAAGTGGAAATCGCTGTGAATTTCGGTGTACAAATCCAATGAATTTCAGCTGAATTTCGATGAATTTCAGTCGAAATTCGATGAATTTCAGTCGGAATTCGATGAATTTCAGTCAAATTTCGATGAATTTTAGACGGATTTCGATGAATTTTAGTCGGATTTCGACGAATTTCAGTCGAATTTTGACGAATTTCAGTCGAAATTCGATGAATTTCAGTCGAAATGAGTTTCACTTGAAATTCGATGAAATTCAGTCGAAATTAGATGAATTTCACTCGAAAGTCGATGAATTTTAGTTGAAAATCGATGAATGTCAGTAGAAAATCGATGAATTTCAGTAGAAAATCGATGAATGTCAGTAGAAATTTGATGCCTTTCAGTCGGATTTATATGACTTTCAGTCAAAATGCGATGAATGTTTGATGAATTTCGGTGTACAAATTTGGCTGGAGTTATTTCTCCTTGGTCACAGGCCCGGGCCCTGGCCCCCGCACCCTGCACACGAGGACCTGGACGGACCAGCTGCACGGCGTGGAGGCGTGGCCGGTCGGCGAGCGGCCCGCCCTGGACGTCCTGCACGTGTCCCTGGTGTTCGCCGGCACCGAACTGCTGCGGGTGTTTGGGCGAACGGCCACCCGCCTGGAGGTGGAGCTAGATCTCGACCGCAGAGTGGTCACCTCAGAAACGAAGAGTGACAGCAGGTAATAAAGCCCGAGACCTCTCTCTCTCTCTCTCTCTCTCTCTCTCTCTCTCTCTCTCTCTCTCTCTCTCTCTCTCTCTCTCTCTCTCTCCCCCCCTTTTTCGAGACCGATTGCTAACGTGCGACGCCAGTGTGCTCCCCGTGTTTACCTAGTTTTAACTAGTTTCTAGGCTTTAGAACGCCTACCATCACTGTTCCACCAAAATGTAAGGAAGATACCGACAAGATGTGACATCAATTGCAGCTTGCTGGTGCCTCCCGGAAGAATAAATCAACTTTAACAAATCCATCAACCAACCCGGTAACTGTCATGGCTGCCTTCCGTGAACAGCTTGGCAACAACAACATCTCACTTAACTACGCCCAAGCCGCCTCTCAAGACTCAAGAAATTTCTCCAGACCAAGAACAGCATCCAATTCTTCAACAACAACCCCAGGATTTATCAACAACCAGATTTTCACCAACTCTTCAGTAAGTCAATTTGAACTTGACCAGCGCGGTGCTTCAACATCCTCTGGAGACGCTCACTTTTCCGGTGGATTTGGCGCCAAAGCCCCTTCCGACCAACATCGACCAGCAACGATCGACAACATGCGCTCCTCGAACGCACCCAACCCAAACAACAACACCAGCAGTAGCAGAAGACCACTTGTGGACCGAAACAACGCAAGTACATCAACAAACTACAATCCTTCAAGAAAACTAGCCATTGTCATCGAAAATGCCAAGACAATATCGCAAGACAAATGCTTGCGAGCAGTCGCAGACATCATCTTGGGATCCAATATTCAATATTGCACCCGATTAAGTGGCGGGCGGGTATGCATGTACCTAACCAATGAAGAACACGTCAACACAATCTGCCAAGGAGGTGGAATCATCATCGACGAAGAATATTTACCAGTTAGAAGATACGTCACCGAAGCCACCAAATTCACCATCTCCAACTGCCCCCCAGAGTACCCTGATGAAGAATTAAAGAAGTTATTGGAGCCTTATGGAAAAATTGTTTCCGAACCTTCCAGACTAAAGGTAAACACAGGCCATGACGATCTCAAACATGTAAAATCCTGGCGTCGCTCTATCTACATCATGATCCCAAGTGAACACAATGACCCGCCAAAGAAAATACCAATGGTGAACAGTGATGGCAGTAAATTCCTTCTCTATGTGGAAAGAGATGAATTGGTGTGTGCACACTGTCATGCCCCAGGACACACCATAGACAAATGCAAGAAGCGTGAAATAGACGACATAAATTTCCCACTCATCCGACCAGCAGCAGCTACAAGACTTTTCAACACAAGAAAGCCATCTCAATCTAACTCCGTCCCACCTCAAGATCCCCAACCAAGAGAAGCAGCAGACTTCATGCCTACTTTTTCTGCGCAGCCCAGCAATCAACAACCAATCACTCAAGATAAACCTCAACAACAAGTAAGCATTTGGGGAGAAATTTTATACCCCCAAAACTTATCAAAACCAAACCCCACAGAAGAGAGAAGACAAGAAGAAAATGAAATTTCATCGGAAAATATTGTACCTTCACCAGCAGTCACAACTCAACCAAAAATATCACCCTTTGATGTGTCAATAGGGAGCTCAAATGATGAACAAGACTTCAGAGGTTTTGAGATAAGTGAACAAATTTCTGTAACTCAAGACTCTCTGCGGGTTGAAGTTATGGATATAGATCCAAGCATCAGTAAGTTACCAGCCAAGAGAATGCACTCCCCAACAAATGAAGAAGAATATGATGACTCTAGCAGTGGAGCAGACCAAGCAGGAAAGCCAGATAGGAAAAAAGTCAAAAAAGCAAAGGAGCAATTAGCAGTCAACCAATTATTGAGCCACATGAAGGAACAGCCATCTTATCTCAGCCAAGAAGATTTCCGATCCTTCTTGTCAGAGTGCAGAGGAAAAGTAAATACACTGAAAGTTGCGGCAAAATATACTACTAATATTAGTGCATTAATAGTCCAACTAAATGATGCAGCTAATATTTGTCAAGATTTCAATCTACAAAGAAGAATCAAACGTGCAAGTGATGCACTAGTCACCAAGTAATCAAGATAAACAAAAATGTTCACTTTATTTAATTTATCTAATTTATTTTTTTCTCTCTCTCTCTAAATTAATTCAAAGAAAATGCTATCCCTTCTGTCACTCAATGTCAAAGGATTAGTGAGTGCTCACAAACAAGTCAGCCTTCAAGATTTTTGTCAACATACTTCAAGCAATATTTTACTACTTCAAGAAACAAATTTGAAAGAAGACACAAGTATGGCAAACTTACAAAAGTTCAAATTTTTAATTAATCCTCCAGTGCAGTCAAATTCTGGAGTAGCTATTGCCATAGCACAAGAATATTTTCAACAAGTAGACTTAATTTCTCATACCATACTTTTAGAGGGCTACTTGCA